ACGAGCGTGATTGACAGTTTTGAAAAGTCTGAATTTGCTGTTTTTAACGATGGCTGAGTTAACCTTATACTCGGATTTTGGACACGGTGCGGTTTGTGCGCGCTCGCGGCACAGCACCTTTGGTACTGGAGTAAGTAGCGAGCCGGAGTTCGGTAAAGTTAGCTTGATATTCACAGATTCGGACTTCCGCGGTGAATATCTTACGAAAGCTACGTTGTTAAACGAAAGTAATTGTGCCAAAATGATCACCTCTACATGGGCTAACTACTACAACATCGATTTTTCTAATCCAATGCGCTGTTTTAATGCAGAGAAATCCATTGAATCCAATGCGCCGCAAGTGCCGGGAAAAGCACTTAGGGAGCGTCAACAAATGCCAATACCAGCTGTGTAAACGAACAATAGTTTTTATTTTAAGCCAAGTACACGCACTAAACTCTCAAATACTATAAATAGCTACCATATCTAACTACTACAACCTTTGTTTTCAGCATTTGTTTCTTTTTTGTATTTTTTATGAATAAATAGGATTTAATATTAATATGAATTTTGAATAACTTTTTTTCAAAAAGGGGCGTGGTCACCAAATTCTCAGGTATCATCAATAACTGCCATATCTAACTACTACAACTTTTGTTTTCAGAAGAAATATCTTTTTTATATTTTTATGATTAAATATGAATATTAATTTTGAATAACTTTTTTTCAAAAAGGGGCGTGGTCACCAAATTCTCAGGTATGTTCAATAACTGCCATATCTAACTACTACAACTTTTGTTTTCAGCAGAAATATCTTTTTTATATTTTTTATGATTAAATATGAATATTAATTTTGAATAACTTTTTTTCAAAAAGGGGCGTGGTCACCAAATTCTCAGGTATCATCAATAACTGCCATATCTAACTACTACAACTTTTGTTTTCAGCAGAAATATCTTTTTTATATTTTTTATGATTAAATATGAATATGAATTTTGAATAACTTTTTTTCAAAAAGGGGCGTGGTCACCAAATTCTCAGGTATCATCAATAACTGCCATATCTAACTACTACAACTTTTGTTTTCAGAAGAAATATCTTTTTTATATTTTTTATGATTAAATATGAATATTAATTTTGAATAACTTTTTTCAAAAAGGGGCGTGGTCACCAAATTCTCAGGTATGTTCAATAACTGCCATATCTAACTACTACAACTTTTGTTTTCAGCAGAAATATCTTTTTTTATATTTTTTATGATTAAATATGAATATTAATTTTGAATAACTTTTTTTCAAAAAGGGGCGTGGTCACCAAATTCTCAGGTATCATCAATAACTGCCATATCTAACTACTACAACTTTTGTTTTCAGCAGAAATATCTTTTTTATATTTTTTATGATTAAATATGAATATTAATTTTGAATAACTTTTTTTCAAAAAGGGGCGTGGTCACCAAATTCTCAGGTATCATCAATAACTGCCATATCTAACTACTACAACTTTTGTTTTCAGCAGAAATATCTTTTTTATATTTTTTATGATTAAATATGAATATGAATTTTGAATAACTTTTTTTCAAAAAGGGGCGTGGTCACCAAATTCTCAGGTATGTTCAATAACTGCCATATCTAACTACTACAACTTTTGTTTTCAGCAGAAATATCTTTTTTATATTTTTTATGATTAAATATGAATATTAATTTTGAATAACTTTTTTTCAAAAAGGGGCGTGGTCACCAAATTCTCAGGTATGTTTAATAACTGCCATATCTAACTACTACAACTTTTGTTTTCAGCAGAAATAGTTAGATATGGCAGTTATTGATGATACCTGAGAATGTGGTGACCACGCCCCTTTTTGAAAAAAAGTTATTCAAAATTAATATTCATATTTAATCATAAAAAATATAAAAAAGATATTTCTTCTGAAAACAAAAGTTGTAGTAGTTAGATATGGCAGTTATTGATGATACCTGAGAATTTGGTGACCACGCCCCTTTTTGAAAAAAAGTTATTCAAAATTAATATTCATATTTAATCATAAAAATATAAAAAAGATATTTCTTCTGAAAACAAAAGTGGTAGTAGTTAGATATGGCAGTTATTGATGATACCTAAGAATTTGGTGACCACGCCCCTTTTTGAAAAAAGTTATTCAAAATTCATATTTATATTTAATTATAAAAAATATAAAAAAGATATTTCTGCTGAAAACAAAAGTTGTAGTAGTTAGATATGGCAGTTATTGATGATACCTGAGAATTTGGTGACCACGCCCCTTTTTGAAAAAAAGTTATTCAAAATTAATATTCATATTTAATCATAAAAATATAAAAAAAGATATTTCTTCTGAAAACAAAAGTTGTAGTAGTTAGATATGGCAGTTATTGATGATACCTGAGAATTTGGTGACCACGCCCCTTTTAAAAAAAAAGTTAGTCAAAATTCATATTCATATTTAATCATAAAAAATATAAAAAAGATATTTCTTCTGAAAACAAAAGTTGTAGTAGTTAGATATGGCAGTTATTGAACATACCTGAGAATTTGGTGACCACACCCTTTTTGAAAAAAAGTTATTCAAAATTAATATTCATATTTAATCATAAAAATATAAAAAAGATATTTCTTCTGAAAACAAAAGTTGTAGTAGTTAGATATGGCAGTTATTGATGATACCTGAGAATTTGGTGACCACGCCCCTTTTTGAAAAAAAGTTATTCAAAATTCATATTTATATTTAATTATAAAAAATATAAAAAAGATATTTCTGCTGAAAACAAAAGTTGTAGTAGTTAGATATGGCAGTTATTGATGATACCTGAGAATTTGGTGACCACGCCCCTTTTTGAAAAAAAGTTATTCAAAATTCATATTCATATTTAATCATAAAAAATATAAAAAAGATATTTCTTCTGAAAACAAAAGTTGTAGTAGTTAGATATGGCAGTTATTGATGATACCTGAGAATTTGGTGACCACGCCCCTTTTTGAAAAAAAGTTATTCAAAATTCATATTCATATTTAATTATAAAAAATATAAAAAAGATATTTCTGCTGAAAACAAAAGTTGTAGTAGTTAGATATGGCAGTTATTGATGATACCTGAGAATTTGGTGACCACGCCCCTTTTTGAAAAAAAGTTATTCAAAATTCATATTAATATTAAATCCTATTTATTCATAAAAAATACAAAAAAGAAACAAATGCTGAAAACAAAGGTTGTAGTAGTTAGATATGGTAGCTATTTATAGTATTTGAGAGTTTAGTGCGTGTACTTGGCTTAAAATAAAAACTATTGTTCGTTTACACAGCTGGTATTGGCATTTGTTGACGCTCCCTAAGTGCTTTTCTCGGCACTTGCGGCGCATTGGATTCAATGGATTTATCTGCATTAAAACAGCGCATTGGATTAGAAAAATCGATGTTGTAGTAGTTAGCCCATGTAGAGGTGATCATTTTGGCACAATTACTTTCGTTTAACAACGTAGCTTTCGTAAGATATTCACCGCGGAAGTCCGAATCTGTGAATATCAAGCTAACTTTACCGAACTGCGAGCCGGGTGGATTAAACTCACCAAACTGTCCAGTGCTGCCGTCGCAAATCGCCCCGCGTAGTTCTGCCTCTTCGCCAAAATCCAAGTTTCTGTCGGGGTATAAGCATGGAGATGTATCCGCGGTGATGACTGGTCCCGGGTTTGGTTGAACATCGCCAGCGAGCAGAAGTGTCAGTATCAGGTAACCAAGAAGTTGTTTCTGCTGCCTATATATTTGTTTGTGGAGCCCATTGTTTTTCACTGTGCTATGGAATACTGCTTTGCCATTGCTAAGGACATTGTGGTATGATGTATAGTGTCCAAATGAAATATACAAGTAGGCATAATCGGTGGGAATCCCAGAATGTGCGTAGAGGGAATTTGCATCAGCTGCTGGTGGCGTGGATGACTTAGCGAGACATGCTCTGACGGAGCTCAGTACAACACAGATGATATATGTTGCAGTCCACGCAGTGATCTTAAACTTCTTTAACTGTTGTGTTGCTCATTTTACGACACAGCTATACAACTTTGACAGAAGCTTTGTTTGTCAATGCTCTCATGTTCGTTTGTCCTTAAACACAGATGGACGCTCTGTCAAATGAATTATGCATATGATCATTATTGATGCTATAGACCAAGGTAAAGGTGTGCACATGTAACAGCAAAAAACTGCGCATAAAACATGATCTGGAATATAGAACTGTGCTCCTGCAGTGGGACATGTGGAGGTGTTTATCCTCTGTGTAATAAACAGGCACAGACTTAAAACTTCTTTTACAATTTCATCCAGTACCACACAAGCTATTGTAACTCTGTAAGTATGCTTCATAAATAAACCATATGCATTCTTATGGATCAGCTTTCATGTCGGCAGCCAGGTCTAAACCAGGATGAAACTGTGTCCAACCCGGGATCAAACCTAGTCCCAGCACTAAAGCAGGCCCATTCTAGGGCAGGCTAAAGAGTCGGGTCCAAATAGGCCAGAATAATCCCAATTCTCTGTGAACAACTTGACAAAGGCACATTGTTCTTGACATGATTTGATGGTTTATAATGTTTTCTAAAATCTATTTTTTTGTATATACATTTTTTGTTTGGATAAAAAACACTTACTTTCCAGTCAAAGCTATAGCCTCTCCCTGGTAACATGACAGGAGTAACCCTCACACTAAACTAGCGTTACAATGCTAAATATCAAACTCTATTTGGAGATACTGAAACGATAATGAATAGATTCAATATTTGATACCACAGGGATTTTGACAGGCTCTTTTTTTGCTGTTATTTAACTAATTTCTTCCAATGTATTCTGATAAAAGTTGCTCTGATGTCAATATTTAACTAACTTTTATAACTTCCTATTCTTGACCTAAGAATCATTTTCCATAGAATCTTGGAAAATGTATTCAGAACATATTTTGGGTCAAGGAAATAATAAAAATCCGAATGATTCACAAGTCTCATCTTTCCTCTCTGCAGCCTGTCCTAGTGGGTACTTCAAGTCCGTGTCTGGCCCCACCCCATGTTCGCTGTGCCCCCCCAACAGCAGGACGAGTCTGGACGGAGCCTCTGTGTGCGAGTGCCGCAGCAGCTTCTACCGCGCCGCCACCGACGCCAACTACTCCGCCTGCACCAGTGAGTGACCGCAAAGCATCAACATTCACCAAGAGCATAGTTTGAAATGTTCCAAATCTCATCGGCTCTAACTGGAGGCTCAGGCAGAACATGTAATACACTAAAGTCAAACAAAACACATGTAATTCCTGCAAAAGTGTTCAATTTTGTTCCTGTAAGCTGGTGTCACAAAGTTTCCTCTCAGTTACTTTGCCAGTGCAGAGAAATTTTTTTCAACTTCTTAGCAGAGGCTTTCATCTAAGTGAGGTCCACTTAAATTATGGATGTGCAACTGCTCATTTCATTTTGTGCTCTCTGCAGCTAAGCACCAAAGATGTCTCATGGGTGTTTGTCTTTACTTTAAGTAGGACAAAATCAAGAGTTCTGAACCAGAACTAAACAACAAGGAAACAGATTAAAGCCTTCAACTTTTAGGCACTGCAGTTATCCCCATCAAAACTTGCACCATAGTTATCTTGCAGCTGAAGTGGTGGTGACGAGGGCCCACATTCATAGCAATTTTGAATATTGTTTTCCAGAAATGTATTTATTATTGGCTCAAAATGTATCTTCTGAACATTTTATTTGATATTATGATGATTTCACTTCCAAGTTCAATATTTGGATGTAGGCCTAGAGCGCACTGCCTGATGTCTCAATGCCATGTAATTTTGCAATAACAACGTTTTTCAAGGAATCTATGGACGATGCCCTTAATTTAGAACAGAGAAACTTCCAATTAACACTGCATGCATTATTAACCGTACACGTAGTCCATTGGTGACGAGTAGATTCACAAGTTCTAGTGCACATGCAGTATCTGAGTCCTGCCATTTGAGCAAGAAATGGTACTACGTTTTTTTCCGCCTGTATATGCGTTAATATTAGTCAAATAAAATCTCAAAGGATTTATGCTGCATTCTTGACAACGATTGCTCAGGACCCCATGCTGACTCTCATTAAAGTACTTTCTTTCCTCAGAGATATGTTTTCTATATATCTTTATCATGTTAGGAGTGTGTGGCCCTAAGCTGAGGCTGAAAGTCTGTATACTATTCAAACACCTTGAATAGTCCTCACATCCTCCTTGTGGTGTCATACAACCGCCTCGTTGTTGAATCCTGATGTAAACAATTCTGTATTCTATATTCAGTCTAAAAGGGAATCAAACTGAGACCCCTCTTGTCTGTCTGCAGCCCCTCCGTCTGCTCCTGTGGCTCTGACCTGGGAGTATGAGAGCGGCGATGGAGGCGTGTCCTTGAGGTGGCGCCCCCCGATGGACATGGGGGGTCGCAGCGAGGTGTGGTATGGCGTGGTGTGTCGCATCTGCCCCTCGGCCATCGTTTCCAGCCCCACCCAGTGCTCGTGGTGCGGCGAGGGCGTCACGTTCAGCCCGTCTCAGACAAACCTCAAACAGACGAAAGTGACTCTCAACAACCTGCTGACCCGAGTCACCTACCTCATACAGGTAAACTCTGGGAAACTCACATTTCAACATTCATTCAGTCCTATTACACAAACAGTCCTGCATGGCCATTTAGGGTTCTGTTCTGCAAATCTTTTGTTCCTCCTTTTCATTGATGATCAAAGACGAAAGAACACAAGCGCTCTGTTGTTGTGTCGTAAGAGGATTTTTGTGTTACTTACATTTATGAAAAACACTTTGTCACCACTCGGGCTGGGTATTTTGTGGAGCTTGCCAACATGATATGCATCTTTGCATGACATGATATGTGTCTAGATACTGGGGACCAATAGATACGATTTCATTCAATATTTTTCTAAACGATATGGTTCCGTAGAAAATAAAGGCTTTTGGCTCCTTATTTAACATTTTTACTTCATTTAAGTAAAAATACAACACCATTGACATTGTCCATTGTTCTGATCTGGGATTCAACCACTGCTCACTCTTTCACTAAACCCTGTCTTGTATTTTATTCATAAAGGACAGATGTTTTTTCATTTCATTGTATTTGCTGAACAGCTGACAGAGCAGGGGACACTCGTGCCTCGGCTTCTTCAAACACTGTGGAATATTAAAGTAAATAAAAGGAAATCTCTCTTTGTAATCCACACGTGTGTGTTGATGACCCACAGGTGCAGGCCATGAACGAGGTGTCCGCTCTCAGTCCTTTTCCTGCGCGCTACACAAGCATCAATTTCACCACCAGTCAGTCCGGTGAGTACAGAGCAGAGACAGAGAGCAGAACAATGAGCACTGTAAAACATCTACCATCTATTAATTTAGGCTTCAGGACACTTTACAGTCCAAACCAAAGTGACACAAAGGAAGCATAAAGCAATGGGAAATAAAAAATGTGCTTTCTATCTAGCAAGTCCAATCGTCCAATTTAAATTTTGGTTAGCCATTGGTTTAGTCTTCAGGTTAGTGGTAATTGGAATGTCATTTAATAATTTAGATTTACGATTAAAATGAGAAAAATCCCCCCAATTAAGTATTATAAACAACAATTGACATCTTTAAGATGGGGTACTTCCAAACACAAAAATAGAACAATCCTTCTGACTACAGTAGTTCCTCGCTCAAAGAGCATGAGATTAAGATAGTAAAATAAGATTAAAATCTCTATCTGTAGCATAAAAAGAAGCAGTTTGGTTCTATCGATCACAAGTTTTCATACATGTTACATATTTTTGGCTTTTTGCCAATATAAAAAAAACATACAGGGCTCAAATTTGTATTAGATAACATTAAACATGAAGACATAAGAAGGGTGAAAAGTGTAGGTAACCCACCTTTAATCAAAGGAAAACAACTGTGAAAACTCTAAACCTTTGACGGTTTATCCTGCAATTCCTCACTTTATGCAAAACCAAAATCTCAACCTATAAATGAATCTGGTTATTAGCTACAGTTTTGAAATGACATAAATCAATATCTTGCTTTTTGCAGTGTACTGTGTGTGAGTGTGTCGCAGACCAGAGGTTGCTTGAGGTTACTAAGTCTGGTCCGCTTCCATCATTGTCAGTGTGGTGCAGAGGGAAAAATAAAAAAGGGACAAATGAGAGATCAGACTGCATGAAAGGCAGACAAGAGAAAACAGACAAATGTACAGACACGCGTCACGCACCATGAAAAGCCTCAGGAAAACAAATCTAATGAAGCCTTATCAGAAATCCAAGCACTTCCTCTGCAAGTTACAATATATTCATTATCTTTGTCTGGGATTCATACAGACCCAGACTTTTTTTTAAATCATACTTCACCTACTTGACCTACATTGGATTTGTTTTTTTCTCTTTGAATGTGGAGCATTTTTCACCCACACCTAATTTAATTAACATTGTTTTACTTGATGAGCAGACATCCAGACTGAGCACCTTAAAATTCATGCTCTACTAATTATTCCCTGGAGCTTTGTAGCATCGCCCCCATGTGGACATTTCAACAACTGCTTGGAGATCATTCAACAAATGCTTAAAAGATTGATTTATTGTCAATTTATTGTCACAAAAACGTAATTTAAATGTATTGCATGTAAAGTAAGCGGACAGTAGCTGCTACAAATACAACTAAGCTTGAACTAATAGTTTGTGTGATATTATCATAGGTTTCTCCTTCTATCAGCTCCTTTTTCATTCATATTGAATTCTAGCTTTTTCCTTGTATTTTTAAATCATTTTTGAATATAATAATGATAATTTTAATAATGATTCAGCTTTGATTCTATGTATGTACTTCAAAATCAATATGCTGTAATTTTCACTAAAATATTTCTTAACTCACTGACTGCCAGGCATTTTCAGATTTGAGAAGTGCATTCTGCCAGCAATTTCAGGTGATTTGACCCAACTTTGAAGTGCCACAGAATATTCATTTTTTAGACGATGTAAACACCAAGGGCACCAAATTAAAGATTAACCTCTCTGCTTTACTCTGAAAAAAACAGTTTGTTTCTACCTCTTACCGTTCTTGCGTTATTCGCCATAGAACAAAGCATACTTTCACCCATAACACCTGGTCTGAGCAAGAAAACAGAGAAAACGAGCTGTATGTAAACAGGAACATATCAAGCAGAAAAGATACTTTTAGTTGCTTTAGTGACAACTCAAAACATCTTCACACTTGTTCCATTACAAAAATTATAAAAACATGACTCTGAAATAATACTTTTGATGGCAAATTGTTGGCAATTTATTCACAGATAGAAAATTTAACTAAAATTTAACCAAAACGTCAAACAACAACAACACAAAGATCAATAAAACTATAGATGTATAAAATAGAATGAAGCATGTGAATTTGAGTGTGTGTGTGTGAATGTCAGTGTGCGAGTGAGTGTCTGTGTGAATGAGTGTCTGTGTGTGTGAATGTCAGTGTGTGTGAATGTCAGTGTGTGTGAATGTCAGTGTGCGAGTGAGTGTCTGTGTGCGTGAGTGAGTGAGTGAGTGCGTGTGAGTGTGTCCGATAAATCATGATCAGGTTTGCTGAACGAATCCGAGGCATCAGTAACAGCAGCAGCTGATACGCTGAGAGAGGCGGAGGGTGTGTCTCTGCTCGGGGCTCTTGCTCCGCGCAAATATGGCTGCAGAGACGGACCTCCACCGGGGTCTCCACTCTCTCCCCTCTCGACCCCACTCACTGATCCGCGAGTAAATCCCTGAAGCAGTGTCAGCTGCTTATAACTATTCTTTTTCGCCATCACTCTTGCTATACTATCGCTAAACTAGATCGCTGATCTGTCTCAATACTACGCTATCATCGCTCTGCTACAGCAGCACGCTGTCCAAAGACCCCACACTCCTCCTCCTTCTCTCCACTGACTTATGACCTCTCCTGTGGTGCAATACTGCATCCTACTGGTGGTGATTTATCATTACAGGTACATTTGCACTATATATCAGTGTTGTGGGTCATTCACAAGGTGCGCCAGACATTACTGCAGCCTCCCGTGTAATAACACGGAAAACTCGTCATACTCGTCCATGGGCAGTGAGCGTCACTATTCAACATGACGACTTTTGTCGTCATGGGCAGTGAATGAGTTAAGTGCCAATCACACAGGCGCCGCATCGAGCCTCAGCCAATACCAGCTCAGGCCAGCATCGAGCCTCAGCCAATCACACAGCTCGGCAGCATCGACCTCAGCCAATTCACACAGCCTCGGCCAGCATCGAGCCTCAGCCATCACTCCAGCTCGGCAGCATCGAGCTCAGCCAATCACAGCCTCGGCCAAGCTCGAGGCCTCAGCAATCACAAGCTCGGCCAGCATCGAGTGCCTCAGCCAATCACAAAGCTCGGCCAGCATCGAGCATCAGCAATCACACAGCTCGGCAGCTCGCGCCTCAGCCATCACACAGCTCGCCAGCATCGAGCCTCAGCCAATCCACAGCTCGGCCCAGCATTCGAGCCTCAGCCAATACAAGCTCGGACATGCCCAACTGCCAACCACTGACAGCAAAAACACGGCAGTTTAAAAGCAGCAACTTCCCTACTAACCAGCCCTTCCTGAAGCTCTTGACACCACGCCTCCCAGCACTCTCAGCTCGTGAAACAGCAGAGAGCAATAACATACAGATTACACAGACAGTTGGATAGACACATTGTGCTTTGAGGGATTTTTTTTCTCGGGATGAGCACCTCCGACTGGGGGCAATGTGGCTGTCAGAGGGGGGCGGGGTCAGGGAGGGGGTGAGTCGGAAACACAATGAGGAGTGGAGGGAGGGAGGGGGCAAGATGGATAGGTAGAGGGAGGAGGAGGGATCCGAGCTGGAGACTGAAGACTGAATAGTGTTGAGTTGTTGTAGATAGTCCGGACTTGTTATTATGGCCTTGGCCGAGGAATGTGAGATAAGAGTGGAGAGAAGACACAGCTGGAGAAAAACACATCGCCTGAGAGGGACAATATTATATGCAATGTCGCAGTCAAAAACAGGCAGATATTCTATTAAATCCAATTAATCCGAATTGCGGCGCCCTCAGACCTCCGTACACAGGGGCAAATCCAAGCCGGGTCAGAGAGTTCAAGCCTGACAAACAATGTCATTCAATCTCAATTCCAGAGTTTTATGCCCATCGAGTGAACGAGCTGCGAGATCTTTGATCAACTGTTCCACCAACACCACTCTCCGTTGTCCAGCCACGGCACTCTCAACCACGACTCGGTTAAGCTCCTTGTACATCCCATCAATTTTGTTGGCCAGCAGGTCGTGAATCTTGCGAACTGCCATGCCTCCGAATTTGTGGTAGAAGAGAACCGCTCCAAACCCAAACAGGAGGATTCCCACCACCAAAATGCCAAAGATATATACGTCTTCCGAATCTTCAATAGACAGGGTCGACAGACAGAGGGGCTGAAACTTGTTCCAGCTGTCAAGCGTATACCCCGCAGGTGAAGTCCCGTCCGGGCACACGGTGCTCTGTGAATTGGGTGGCAGCTGATTGCCACCTACCCGACCCAGAAATGGATTAAGGGGTAGAAAATGGATGGATGGATACTATTTGTTTATATTATTTGGGGCGACAGTAGCTCAGTTGGTAGAGCATTGGCCTTAGGCCCAGAAGGTCGTGGGTTCAATTCCCACCTCTGCACCTTCTCCACCGACTCCCACTGATGACTGCTGTCGTTGTGTCCTTGGGCAAGACACTTAACCCCACTTTGCCCAAAAGCCCCCACTGAAAGATCAAGGCTATGCTCACACTCAGAGAGCAGCCGTCCTCCTGTGGACTCACCACCTGCAGAGGATCAGTGAGGGGCTGGTGCTATGAGACTTGGGTGGCATCTCTGATTGCCACCCCCCTGACCCAGAAATGGATTAAAGGGTAGAAAATGGATGGATGGATGGATGGATGGATGGATACTATTTGTATAAGATTAATCATTAGGGGTTTACTTAATTGCTAAACATAACTTGAATAGGACATAGGACACCAATCACTTGCAGGGTCACTCCAATGCCAACCTATTGATAAGTAACAGTATTTCAAAGCAGACAGTCAAACTATAAAATATGAATACCACTTGTCATAGTGTAAACAATTCCTTCTTCATTGGTTGTTAAACAGGGCAGTAAGATCCCGGTGCGGTGGACGGCTCCAGAGGCATTTCAGCACCGGAAGTTCAGCTCGGCCAGTGACGTGTGGAGCTTTGGTGTGCTGATGTGGGAGGTGATGTCTTATGGAGAGCGGCCATACTGGGACATGAGCAACCAGGAGGTCAGTGCCGCACGATGAACAAATGTTAGGGCCACTGACTGTCCCATCTGCACCCCCTTTTGTTCCCACAATACACAATCCCCCTGTCCCGCATGCGCTTTGTTCATCCACACTGCTGCCTGCAGTTTGTAGTCTTTCTGCGTTATCCAATGCCTGGTGCCCGGTCTCCCAATGTGTCTTGTGCACACAAATTGTAGAGTGACTAAGATTAAGAGATACTTTATTCATCCCACAAATTTGCATCACAATTTAAAGAACATTAGGAATGAGGAGCACACAACACAAGAGACATGAATATTAAGTTTAGCATAAATCTATGAAAATATAAGAAGGTAAAACCTCAATCTTTAGCTTAATAAAGAAGCAATAATTACTGCGTTGAACGGCCCTCGCCGCACCGCAAAGGAGGTGGCGCTGACGCACCATCTTCCTGCAGCCCTGATGGGAGCGACACTGTGCATTTTGAATTCCTATGATCAGTGATTGTGTGTCTCTATTGAAAAGGTAAACCTCATTCTCCCCATGTAACACTTTTATCAGTCTGTAGGGGGTGCTAATGCTGCAATTTCATGATTCACACTTTCAATTTACCCAAATCCGAGACTGGAACAATCAATTCAAATTTTGTGCAAATCGGACTTTGTATGTGCATAGAGAGGGCATTTACTTTGCACAATAGCGCCCCCTACAAATTCAGATTTTTTGTCTTATTCCAAAGAACACCAAAATAATACAATTTGTGCCACAAAAAAAACTTGTGGCAAAATTTGGTGAGTTTTTATGTTTGTTAAGTGGGTTAAATATGAGATCAGACAATAGAAAACCTAAATACCTTTATCCCCATGTAAACCTTTACTCAGTCTGCAGGGGGCGCTAATGGGTCAATGTCATTGTTCACACTGTCAAGTGACCTAGGCCCAGTAGTTGAACAATCGAGTAAAATTTAGTGAAAATCAGACTTTGTAAATGTGCTCCTGTTTGCAAATACAATCTGTGAGTGTGTCCCAAGCCCTCTGTGCACAGAGGGGCTCGGCCGCGCTCTGACCAATCAGAGCAGTTCATCAGAGCGGGAGTTAGAGCGGGAGCGAGACGGGCAGAGTTTGTGGCACTAAAGTGTGGATTTAAAGAAAACCAAAGGATTTAAAAAGAAAAAAAAGTTCAGGATGACAAGGGACACTAAAATCCTAATAATAGATCCATGGTGTGTCCATACAGTCTCCATTGGATAACATGGGAACTTCACACCTCTCCATGAAAATAACCACAATTTGGGAGTCTGTCACGCTCAGACCGTTTGACTAATTCAAATTCTATGATCAACTATTGATGGTCCATGTGTTGAGATGATGTGGAGCGATTTTCAGCAAAATTAGCTGGTTTGATGTTTGAGCGAGGAGTATATTTCAGAGATTTTTCAGAGACAATTTTTGCATAGACACAGAATGAAGAGTGTTTGTCGTCGCCACGGCAACAGGGTAAAAAATAAGTATTGGTTGTCATTGACTTTTTGAATCCAGAGGACAAAACAGAATTATGTGCAAAATTTCACACATTTTGAAAAAACTAAATTTAATCTAGCCCATGTAAAACTTTGACATAGTCTGTAGGGGGCGCTAATGAGCCAATTTCAATATTTCCACATTCAAATGACCTAGACCCTGGAGCTGAACAATGGATTAAAATGTGGTGCAAAACTGACTTTGTATGTGCAAACGGGAGCAAAAAAAGTCCTATTTTGCCGCTCCGCTGCTCGGACAAGGTTTAACTGATCCAAATTCTATGATCAACTATTGATGGTACATGTGTTTAGACCATGTGGAGCGATTTTGAGACAAATCGGTGAACTGGCCGAGGAGGAGTTGCTTTCCAATCGACATGTGTGAAATTTTTCCATTTCCCATTGAAATTAATGAGCTCCCTCTTTGTCAGGGGGCGGAGCATAATAACTTTTTTTTCATGTCTTGACCAGTGGGGGAGGTTCCCAGCTCAAAAGTGGCCAAAATGACGTGCGCTGACATGCTTGCAATACCACCCCGGGCCGATGGGGGTGGACCCAGAAGTAGAATTAGCCAATGCTAACATATAGCATTGGCAGACCTCTCGAAAACGTCTTTACAGGATGGACCAAAAGTTGGCTCTTGGCCCAAAGCTCCGTTCCACATGTGTGTCAATGCTGAGGGGGGTGGATTTTTTTGGTCCACTCTAGTTTACTTGCTGTGAATTTTTTAAGTCTCTCGTTCAAATGAATGGAGTTGCGCCGGCTGACGCATGCGCAGATGCGTTTTTTCACAATTTTCTTGTGGGCGGGACCACTCGCGGCCATTTTGGATTGCTCCAGTAGAGCACATTTTTTGGTCCATTAGTTAGAACTGCAGAGATAGGCGTGACTCTGTCCATTAATATATACAGTCTATGGTCTTGACTTGAGGAACATGTGCACCTCACCATCATGAGGTCACCTACCCCCTCCATAGGACCCCATTCATTTCACTGTGTACTACGGCAGGAGTAAAGCCATTCCGTGCCTCCGGCACGGATTTATCAGTGTTTGGGCACGTGCCGTTGCGTGTAGGTCACAATCTCCGGGCGCAGCTGGGTACACACCATTTACACTGTTACAAAACCAATCACAAATCTGAAGCTAACTTTTGATTCTACACTTGTTTGTATGATGTTGAGCAATTTTGAGCTCTGTTAGTCAAACGACGAGGCTGGTTTGTTAAATGTGCAAAGCATACGTGTATTTTTTTTATCACTCTGTAGGGGGCGCTAATGCTATATTTTTATGTTTTTGACCAAACCCAAGAGTTGAACAACCAACTCACGTTTGGTGCTAATGGAACTATGTATGAGTAAACGAGTGCACATTTGAAATTGTCCAATTTGGGTACAAAAGCAAAATATTCTGCTCAGCTGCTTGCACACCATTTATCCGATCTAAATTCTGCATCTTTGATGGAACATTTTCAGACAAATTGGTGAAAAGACCAAGGTGGATTTTCTAGTAGTGCAAAGTGAAAATGTGAGGGAGTTTGTCATCGCCATGGCAACACAAAGGGAAAGTCATACACCTCATTACTTTATTGTAACAGAGTATCATGACAGAATTTTGTGCAAAATTTCAAACATTTTGACAAAACTAAATGTCTTTATGCCCATATAAAACTGACAACTTTGGCTTACTCTGTACAGGGCACTAATGCTTTATTTTCATGTTTTTCACTTTCAGCTAACCGAGACCCAAGAGCCCAGCCGACTCACATTTGGTGCTAATCGAACAATGTTTGAGTAAACGGGTACCCATTTGAAATTGTCCAATTTAGGTTAAAAAAGTCATTTTCTGCTCCACTGCTGGCACACTGTTTAACCGATCACAATTCTGCAGCTAACTTTTGATACTGCACGTGTTTATATGATATGGAGCGATTTTAGAAGTCCTTGAGAGAAAACAACTCTAGGTTTCAATGGTACATAATACATTTTAAAGGGTTTGAGTAGACGCACGCAACCATTGTGTTTTGGTGAGGGACGGGCGTCCGTCACTCATCGCCACATCTTGCGTTGTGAATGCAATATGCCCGTACACTAGTTCGGCACACGGGCCTAACAATACTGCATCTTCTTGTGCAAGAAATATATAGTTGTACAGTATGTATAAGTCTGCAGATAAATCAATCATACACTCTAGTACTTGAGGGTAGGGTTAGGGTAGCGTAAGGTAATTGGGGTGATAAGTAATTAGCTCTGAAGATTCAAATATTCACTGTGCTGTAGCTACTGTACATGTTAGCAGCATGCTAAAAGTAAAGTGATAGTGAACTCATGTGGTCCCATTTTGCACATTCTAACAATATTTCATATTATGTGCGGCTGATGTGTGTGCTCGTGTTTTTTGTGGTTTTGCACACAGGTGGGTTTCTATTTTGTAAATCAAATTCTCATTCGCTCCCATCTGAAATGAAACGGTTTAGAGCTCCATAACTCCTTAAAAGCTTGTGGTGATTCCCAGAGGTCAGAGTGCTCATTTTATTTAGCCCACATGTGTAACACCAGTAATCATGTAGCTCTCATTTGCATAACGTGGATTCTATCTGCTGAAGAGTGACCTTTACAAAGTGCTGTGGATACACTCTTCACACCTTGTGCCTTATTAATGTCAAATTCTAAAACATTCTGGTGCGCTACTTTATATTTCACAAGGTCATCATTACTAATTCACCTTTTACTCAAAATGTTTGATTCTATACAAGGTTCATTCATTTTGAGACACTGGGGTGTGAAAAATTATCACTTTGGGACTGATTTTAGCAACGGTTTAAAAAGAATATCTAGGAAAGCCTCATTATTCAAATTACTGTCTAGTGTAGGTCAATTTGGCAAACCTATGGTGAACTGCTCCTGTAGCCACAGCTGCCCTGCATTAGACTGACAAAATTATGGCTTAAAGGAGATATACCTGTTTCTGCAAGCTTTGAGAAGCCCCTCAACTCGCTCACAGGCTTCTCATGTCCCCTACGCTCATCCCACGGAGCCTTCTAGTTGTATTTGCGATCTGATGCTAACATTAGCATGAGCGCAACTTAAGATGTACAACAATCACTGATGAAATGGAACAAAAGCAACGCACTGCTAACAAAATATATTACTGAAAGATTACCGCTAGTTTTGCGTCCGAATGTGGTCCGAGCACAGATAGTCTGAGGCGGTCCCGCAGGTCTCTCCCATAGACTGTAAGTCTCTCCCATAGACACGATGTAAGCTAGCTATGTTCACCCGGGCTTGGTTTCTTCTTTGATCATTTTTTCGCTTTAGTTCCCTCTTCTCTTCCTCACTGTTGTGTCGTTTGGGCTGTTTTGCTGTGTGTGCAGTTACAGCAAGAAGATAGCCAATTCTGCTAACATGCTACTGTGTTTAGCAGCGCAGTAGAGGCTAGAGGACGCCGCCTCGTTCTGTGAGTGGAGCAGGATGAGCGGCCCACTAAGTCTCTACTCAGCACTTTTTACTTTTTTACGAGTTCATACACAGCTCAAGTTTACAATTACATTTCGGATTATAATACAACTCGTATGTGGTAATAAGCATTTTTATGAACCGATTTAAAAATAAATTGGGTATAGCATCTTTAACTAGGTTAAATTGGATCAATGCAAGCTTCATTCACACATGAGTCACATTTCCACCGCAGGAGTTCCTGGTAAAAGGAGCAAGGGTGGGACATCTACAGGAACGTCCTCTCCCTGGGTCCTCTCAGTGGCCGTGTCTCCAATGCATTGTAGGACCCCTCAGCCACGTCATGAGTTTCAATCGCCGCATAATCAATAATTATTTATTTTACAGTCAGAACCACTCCACTTGTTGTGGTCTTTGAGTTTTTTATAGTCCTGCTTAATTTTTTTTTTTACTTTTCACGGCATTGTTTCACGGCACTGTGATGAATCCCCAGCGCTGTGCCTCAAACGCCGTCTGAATTTCTACAGTGTCGTAGGAGGCAACTACATGCACCTCGTCATCCGTCCGTTTATCGTACATTTTGCTGTTGTTTGCTGTTTCCAGTGGTGCCTGCTGGGCTACTGCTGCGGGATTTCTAAAAATGCCGGTTGTTTTGGTCCTTTCTGCTGGCGTCAGAGCCTGCTTTAGCTTTAGCCAATCAGTGCCGGGTTAACCTCAAGCCCCACCCAGGAACTGTTCAGGGCCGAACTGAGTACCTAGCATGGAGGAGGTACCGCGTTGGTTTCCGTAGAAGTTCCTGTAAATGGCCCTGTGGGGGAGGTTCTTGCAGTGGAGACACGCACCAACGGGCAAACCCTGTAAAATTAGCCCAAGTTCCTGCGGTGGTAAAACGCCATCAGCAACTACAAAATGCACTGGTCTCAGCTTTGATAAAACCGTTATTTTAAAACCTTGTTTTACTGGTTGTTGTGCTTGTGCAGGTGATGAAGGCGGTGGCTGATCAGTTCCGCCTCCCGGCTCCTCATAACTGCCCCGCAGCAATGCACTCTTTGATGCTGCAGTGCTGGCAGACTGACCGCGGAGACCGGCCCGGCTTCGATGTTCTGCTGTCCTCATTGGACCGCCTCATAAGACATCCCGCCTCCCTCAAAGCTGAGCCCACACGGTGAGACCTCAGCCTCGTGCTACACTTATCTTTTGTATTGTGCTGTTTGACTTTTCTGTTGCTCTGCAGAAGCTGTTCCCAGCCGCTCCTCAGCCCCACCCCCACAGACCTGTCCTGTGTGGCCACCGTCAGTGACTGGCTGAAGGCCTTGAGGTTGGAGCGCTACCAGGATGCTTTTGACCGCGCCCACCTGGACTCGTTGGACAGAGTCAGCCGCCTCAGCATGGAGTAAGTGCAGAGTTGTTCGATCATCATTCAGTTTGATACCCGTGTCTTAGATAGCTCAGTCAAAGCCTGCTCTCTGTGCCCTCAGTGAAGTGCAGGCTCTGGGGGTGAACCTGATCGGACATCAGAGGAAGATTGTGAGCGCTGCGCAGCAGCTCCGGACCTTCCTGGCGCAGGGGCAGGTGGAGGTGTGAGGCCTCGTGCTTCAGTTCAGTCTGTTGTAAATGGTTCCAGTAACCATCTCGCAGAGCATGTTCATGCCACTGAACAGTGTTGTCTGATAAACTGGGCACTTTAAAAAGAAAAGGCGAAAGATCAATGGACTGGTCCCACCGTGACTCAAGAGGCTCTGTAGGAGGAGCTCTGAGAGGACCACAAGCTTTTAAAGATGAGAACTCCGGGTTCTTCCATATTTGTCACTGAATTTCACTTTGCCTTCGTCTGTCCTCACCCGTCCTACCTCTGACCCACTCACATCTGTCACAGCTGCATCCTGACATGTTTTGTACTATATGTATCAGCCGTGTCTCCACACTGACAACTGCGGACAGACAATCTATATATATTTGTAAAAATTACTTCTTTCTTACCTGAAGGCCAAATTCTGTGGGGAAAAAATGGGCAAAAAAGGTTTACCTGACCAAAACTACCTACTGCCAAGCAGCTCTTTAAACGCTCAGTGGATTTTGATGCTGCACATTTGTTTGTTTGGTACTGTTTATTAATGACTTGTTTTTCCTGTTTTTGACACAAGTTCAGCGCCGCTGAGTAAAGCTGCAGAGACTGAGGCAGCATCTCCTTTGTACATTTCACTGATCATGTTTAGTTTGGTTCTAACGTATTCACTGTCATTGAAGCATTGTGAATGTGTGGTTTTGGATGGAAATCAGATTTACACTTTACTGAAAGCAAAATGCTTTGTGAGCTGCTGTATGTGTGAGTGTCTGATGTTCAGATGACTGAAGTGTGTCGGGCTACACACGCTATGTGTTTACATGTTCACCAGTATTCCATAACTGTGCAAATTTGTAAAATAAATAAGAATTTATTTAAGAAACCTCACGTTTGACTTTATTTTTAATTTTCATTACACTAAGCCATACAGTAGATACATTTATAGATAGATACTTTATTGATCCCGTGTAGGAGAAATCAATAAAGTAATCATGAGGTTTGTTAATTGTGAAAAGACCTGATGCACCGATACAAATATCAAATATATGTTCTGCACGGAGCTCTTAAGTAGTTTAGGGCGCGTCGTTCTTTGATTATTTTTCAAGCCGAATCTCAGGTCTGTCAGCCGTTGATGTAATGGGATTATTTGCTCATGCTCTATTATCATTGCTCTAACTTTTGATCATAAAAAGTGGTTCTCTTGTTACTGACAAAATAAGCAAACATTATTTTGTAATAAGTACGCTGTGATTTTGGAGGAAAATCCAAAGTATTGAGATCTCGATGCATTCATAAAGTACAAATGCTCTCTTCTTCCATGCATTACATACGTTCATCCAATGTTGAGTTCTAATTCACACATTTTACAGGACTATGAAGAGGACATTGTGTTTCTGATTTCTGATTTGATTGTTGCAACAAATCTAAATATCCATTTTTAATAACGTGGTTCTGGTTAATTATGTGGACGCTCACCTTGTGTCACCTTGTAACAATGTTAAAAAGTCATCTCATGGTCATGGTTTTGTTGTGGTCAGCAGTTTGAGAGGTATCACACGATGACATCTGCAGTGATCAGCAGCAGACTGCGTTTCCCAGAATGCACTGCTGCAGATTACTGTCAGATAGGCCTGATAACAAAATGCTAGGGGACAGTGTCCACTATAACAATGACATTAACAGGTGCTTTGTCATTCCTCGGCTCAGATCTGATTTCATGTAGTTAGGTAACACTTGGTGATGCACCAAGGTGGAATTTTGTTCACAAAATGCTGGTGTTATTATTGTTCTGAATAAACAAAACGATGATACATAGAAAAAAGCAAACAAGAAGAATGTGCTTCACAGGAAGAGGGTTCTGAGTTTAATTCCTGGGTCAGATGGGGCCTTTCGGTGTGGTTTCCTCCAGGTGCTCCGGTTTCTCCTAACATGTACAATAGTTCTGGGTGAATGAGTGGAGTGCCACACCCATTTCATGGACAACAAGACAAATAGATAAATAAAGTACGAGTTAGGTTTGTGGAGAAGCAAGCCTACTCACAGCGGGGCCACTTGTTTTTTCAGGTCCATAAACTTGAAGGGAATAAAACTTGTTACTACATACTGTATATCTGTTCTTTTTTATTGACAATTGATATTTATTTTACCATCATCGTTCATAAATCAACAAAACTTAACCACAGATTCAAATGTGCTTGTGAATAATGAATATTCCACTTTCCTGTCTGAGCACCGCTGTGTCTTAATACTTGTTTTGCCAAATGCACAATGACATTCTGTTGTGAAAGACTCCGGACACCTGCCTGAAACAGTGGGCCACACTCACCACAAAGTTGTGTTTTTATGCTGTTATTGTTTCCATATAAAGACAACAACAGATTGAAAACCACTGGTCTTTATGATGCTGCTTAAACATAGGACGGCCGGAGGGTAAATAGCTATTATCTGCACTCGGGCGAATGACTGCCACATTAGCAGGGCCTCTGCAGAAATCCTGTTGATCCTGTGGTTCACCGGACCGAGTCATGACCTAAAATTGTACAGACAAATACCGGCACTTCAGAGCGAGGACGAGCCGTTAGCAACATTACAGCATCAGAATTATCCACTGTAAAAACAATCATGACTTGATACTTTTCCTCATTAAAAGGATTTGAATTGTTTCATTTTGCCACATAAATGGTGGTTTGATTCCATCAGACCTCAGAGGCTAAGCAATGCAGGGCCTGGTTAGTACTGTGATGGGAACACCAGGTGCCACAGTGTAAAGTGCTAAACTGTCATTGTGCCCTTCTGCAACACACTTCACCCAAATTGACTAGTATGAGTCTGGTGTGTGGGAACAATGAGGGTGGTTAGAGGGGCCGATTTGTATTGTTCTGTTTGTCAGTGAATTAATATTAACATGTGAAGTGTCTTGGAGCCTCATGAAAAGTGCTGTTTAAATATACTGCAAAATGTTGATATTATGCTTTTTGGATCATATTATTTTAATAATACATTTTTAAAACAAAACATGGGGGTGGAGTCCTCCACACATTAGCTGGCTAATAATGATGAGAATAATACAGTTATAATTTATTGTGAAACTAATATATTAATTAATACATAGGTTTTAATAGAAATATCAATCAATAAAACTAAACTTATATTTCACATGAAGACATTTGAAGAGTAGGATTCTAAACATATTTGTCTATATGAAGTAAGAGGCATCTTTACTTGTATGATTATGTGAAAGGTATTTGCAATGATGTGTGCACTATATTTGGACTTTTGTTTTGTTGGTCCCAGAGGAAAGTGAGACAGACCTTTCGGACATGTTTCTTTGTAATGTGGTAATTATGGTGTGTAAGGGTGACACATGACAACGCTGCTGTTTAATCACTGTGGACGCGACACAAGCAGAAACGTGCCTGAAACTCACACATCATACATCTGAGCTATTTTCATCATTGTTTTAGCAGGAGCCTAATTCTTTACTAAACACAACACAAGTGTCGCAATATAGAAAAGTGAATGTAAATACATTTATTAATTACACAGAAAATGTATGAAGTGCACCAACATTACTGGGAATTACTAACCATATTTCTTGCTTTGAGCTGATTTGATAGATTGTAGTCCTGTATTTCATAACTATATTTTTCATTGAGTATTTAAAATGTTCGCTCCAGGTTCGCTCATTCGCTAAAATGGAAAATTGTGTTATTTGAATGACTCATTATTCTCTTTAATGTGAGCAAGGTACAATTTTAGTGATTGTAACAACATGAGGCTAAGGGGAAGTAGCTGGGGGGGTGCCAAAAGAACCTCTGCTTCTCAAGACATGTGTTTGATGCAAAACTGTTTATAAAAATTGCTACACAAATAAAGTGGATTGGATTTGAACATGCTTTTATTGGTTGAGTGGAAAAGCCAAAAGAGAGTTTGAGTTTCTTACTGAATAGAGGGTGTTTACATTCAGACTGCATTCATTATAAATATCCTCGTCTTGAGATTATTTTTTGCACTTCTTTCTGCCCATCTTCTACAGCTGTATGTCTGATGGATGAACGGTCAGAAATATCTTCAAACCAGGAAATAATGAAGTCAAAAATACCTGCACCAAGATAAATTAACATATAATAACTGAAACATTACATGACATTATTTTACTTTCTGTGAAGAGCTGTGTGTAGATTGGACCTTTGGACAATCCAGCAAGAGGGTTAAACTGTGGAACTCTCTCTGCACTGGACTAAAACTACAGACTAACATGACCATCTTCAGCAGAGAGCTACAACAGAGTTGTTCTCATGTGTACATTTTATTGTAATTGTTTGAAATGTAATTTATCAGTAAAAGCCCCCTGTGGACTGTGGATTAGTGTTTAAAACTGGCACATGTATTTAACACTTTCAGTGATGCATCTGGTTCGTTCAATGTTTTTGTTTTGTCCATATGAAATAAAAAATGAAAGCCGCAAGCGGCAATGAAAGCCCTCGCCACTCTTGCAGTCCCACAAACGGCATGCAGTGTACTTGCCGAATTTACAGCCTGATAGGACCAGAATTGCGCACAGAAAAGCTCACAATAGGACTCAGTGCACCCCTAGTGGTCACCTGTGGGACATGCATCCTCTGCGTAATGCAGTATTTTTAGTAGTATGGATGTAAAGAAGATAGGTCAAGTCATAGTAGGTGTGTATTGTCACACCTTTTCGTACAGGTTATTACCAACTGTTAGGGATGTGAGTTTCAGCTCTGTAGGTCTGAGCCTGTGGCCAAGAGAGCATCAAACAAGGAGAAATTCCCCACCGCCTCGCATGAAAAAAGGGAAAAATGTCTAAATTTTTCTTGAAAATTGTATAGCTTCAATCCATCCAGATGGGACAATTACATAGTAAGTAAGTAAGTAAGTAAGTAATGTTTATTTATATACCGCTTTTAACAGACCAGAGTCACAAAGCGGTTTACAATTGTCATTTTTGGGTATTTGTCTCTCACTCCACACAGAGATGGGAGCGGGGTCGCCAGTACAGGAGGCGCATGCCAGACCTATTGTACATAATTTTAGTTGTAGGGGAAACCGGAGTACCCGGAGGAAACTTATGCAGACACAATGCAAAAACATGCAAACTCAGAAAGGCCCTGACATAGTAGAAGTCACTGCGGTGAAAAACCGCCTGGAGCGAATTCAAAAATACAACACCTTGAACTGCCTGTAGGTGGCGCTGTTATATTCAGTTGTGTGTTGCATAATGTTGTGTTCGGGGTCATACGCTGTATTAGTGAATTTTAGGCTTGTCTCATCGAGATCTATCACTGATCTGAATTTTGTGTGCCTACTCTAAAATATGTACTGTATGTCTTGCAAATTTGAAATTTCCAGGGGGGATATAGAGTCAGGGTTTGTCAGACAATCTCAAAACAGTCACATTAGACATTTGTGCATGTCTTCAGGATCAAAAATCAAATCCTTTCGGTGGGAAAAATAATAATAATTAGATTAATCCAACAAATAACAATATTGGATAACAAGAATAATAAAGAATAGAACAGTGTGTAGAGCAGCGTGTAGAGCAGTGTGTAGAGCAGCGTGTAGAGCAGTGTGTAGGGCAGTGTAGAGCAGTGTGTAGAGCAGTGTGTAGGGCAGTGTGTAGAGCAGTGTGTAGAGCAGTGTGTAAGGCAGTGTGTAGGGCAGTGTGTAGAGCAGTGTGTAGAGCAGTGTGTAGAGCAGCGTGTAGAGCAGTGTAGAGCAGCGTGTAGAGCTGGGCGTTGCTGTGTCTGCTGATGCTGCAGGAACTCAGTGGCTCTGCAGGTTTGGGGAATGTGATGGATCCACTGATGCCAGACGATGTGGCCCCTTGTTTCAGATGCATCCAGATAATGGAGTTTCTGCACGACAATACTGATCTCAGGAGAAGAATAATCAATCATTTATTCTTGTATTACTATTTCCCTGACAGTGTGTTTTAAGATTAAACTTTATTCAACCAGAAAAGTCACATTGAGATTAAGAACCTCAGAGACAGCAAAAGTTACACACAATTCCATAGAATTACAGACCATAAAAACAGTTACATTAAAGGTATATGGGAGGATTTCCTACTTCCGGGTGGATCCTTAAAACTATTGGTCCTCCTAATGGTCAGTCATTCTGTGATACGTGCACGTCAAATAAGACCAGAGAGTTTTGTTCAAAAAGTGGAGAGGGCGGTTCTTTCAAAAAATTTCACTCAATCTGGATTTAAAATCATTCAAATTAAGTTCAGTTAGACTTGTGAGAAAACATGTAATTTTTGTCCCTCACTTTAGAAACTGAAAAATGTTCTGCCTTTGTGTCTCCCAAACGCTAGATTCCGGTGGGCCCCTTTGCAGATTGAACAAAATCCCTTGGGAAACCTAATAAAAAAATCACACTTAATTTTCAAGAATATGTCATATGTCATGCAGGCTTTGGAGGCCCCTCTGCAGTGGGTCTGAGGCCCCTTGTGTGGGAGCCCATTTTGGCAAGCACTCCATTAATTTGTGTGTATAATTTGTACTACTATTTGTTTTTCATTGTATTATTGTATCTTTATTCAGTGTAAAACTTAGTCTTGTTCAATCAACAAAGAAATTCCCAAAGGTGGTAATCCTTTTTCTACAACAATCCTTTTTTACAGTGAATCTTGCAGCTTGGTGAAAGTGTCTCGCTGCACTTTCCCTGTTCTACCTGTCTGAGTCTCCGCCCACGTCTCCTCCCTCCTGCTGCTTCATATAAAACACTCCAAGGTCCACATTTCTACTTCTCCACCGGGACTTTTGAGTTTAAATATTGGATTTTACCAGACAAGGTACATTTCTTTGTGACAAGGACACTATATGCACTTGTATGAACAACCACTACTTTCTTAAACCAACCGATCAAGTTTTATCAACAAAAAACTCAAGTATAACTGCCACAATGGATATTAGATTAGATTAGTCCTTTTAACTCTTTTTTTCTCCTTTGTAAATATTGATATAATTTTATATTATTTGTAGTTGTGAAAAAAGGGTTGATGTCTCCGTCTTTGGCGCGCTCAGCTCCCAGCGAGCTCAACCATTGGTGGACACAGCTCCGGTTTCGCCTTCAGAACAAAAAAGGATGGAACGAGATGTTGGACGAGACGTTTCTGATGCACACCAAGAAGTAAGTCCCCGAATTTAATTAAAATTATAATATTTGTCCACCTCCTGTGGACTCACCACCTGCAGAGGGTCAGTGAGGGGCTGGTGCTATGAGACTTGGGTGGCATCTCTGACTGCCACCCCCCTGACCCAGAAATTGATTAAAGGGTAGAAAATGGATGGATGGATGGATGGATATTTGTTTGATTCATGGTATATCTACTTACATTGTTTGTGTGGAGGTAAGTTATCCCAACAATGGCAAATAATTACTGGTTGAAATAAAAGATAATGTGTTAAAAATGATTGAAACAACTTGAAAAATCTTGAAACAACTGGAGAAAAGATTCCTGCTGTTTGTGCAAATGCATAAGAAATATATATAATTATAAATAAAATAAATATAATTTCCCCTCCCCCTGCTCCAATAATATGTAGAATTTATTGCTAACCTACTTATAGTGTTTAAATAAGCGGCCGTCATTTTTTGGCTTTTTATAATCCCCATCTGCTGTCATTTTCTGCTGTATTTGTCACTTGTTTTTAAACCAATTTTAAGCAGTCCTGTCCTAGTTCACATCATGTCAGATCTCGTCTCTGAACTGCAGATGCTATATTAGGAGTTTGCAGTGTAATAGTTACAGTGTGGTCAGCTGACCGGCTAAAGCTTCTTGTGGCTGTAAGTATTTCTGTCTCTCCACCTCAACCTCTTCTTATTATTATTAGTTTTCTTGTGGCACCAGCAGTTATGTGAGCACGTGTGTCAGAAGGTGCTCATGTTTCTGAAATATTTGTATTTTATTTTTGGCAACATCAAGTTTTACAGTGTATTGCATTGGCTACGAAACTATTTAAGCAGAGGAACGAAGTGACCGGCCTCAATGTGTAAAGAAAAGCATTTTTGCGAAAAAACGAAATGAACCAAGAACGCATTTTGTACATAGCATCAAAATGTTCAGCATTAAAGGAAAAGTATGAAGTTGGCTCCATTCCTGGTTTAATAAAGTACAATGAGTGTCCCTGTATACTAAAAACGCAGACACACACACACACACACACACACACATTCACACAAACACACACATACAATACAGCTACTCGCACTGATTACTCTGATGTGTCTGCTCGGGTTTAGGCTGAGACTCAATCAGCTGTGTTGCCAGTTTTTTTCCCCTAAAAAAAACTGGCAACCCGAACTGCAATCTACGCTATTTCTGCTCTCTGATTGGTTATTCAGCTTCAAAACAAAAATATTAAATGTTAACTTAAAAATCTGGCCCTCTTTGGTTATATTTCTAAATAAAAGTGAATCAGCACCATCAACCATTTTGATCAGACCATTTTTTTTTTACACGTTGATCTTGTGTGACACATGGCATAAACTTACATACAGTCCCTTTAATTGACCTGAACTGCACCACGTCTCATGCTGTGCTCACTTTCAGCATCAACGATATCCCTCTTTTCTACGCGGCAAAGACCAACAGTGTGGGCTGCATCAAGAAGCTGCTCAGCTCCTCCTCCACCAACATCTTTGAGAGAGGTCAGTTTTATGTATTATTTCATACAATCAAAAGTACACTCAAAATGATAGGATTTTTGTCTGTATAATGAGAAAAATACTCTTAGATTCAATTAATTTCAATGTATTCTTGCATAGCTCTAAATCACAACAGTAGATATCTCAGAGGACTTTACACAACCGTTGAATTTGTCAATACAGGTCAGAGAATCAAACATTTCAAACATACAAAATGCAATGATAAAAAACACATTGAGCCATTGGTCGATACGGGGCAGATGATCAATGTCCACAAATGTTGATAAATATCCATAAATGTTGGTGAATGTTGAGTGTCCTGGATCATCTCCACTGTCCCATAATTCTTCCTACTCATCACCAGCAGACTCCATGTGTTTTAAGAATTTGACAATGTAAATGATGGCTACGGAAAGAGAAGGAGCGGTTTCAAATCTGTTACTTGACAAAATAGTACAGGGTCAGGTGCAGAGATGTCATGATATCACTGAGTCACAGTTATTGTGAAGAAAAAAACACCACAATTTAAGGATTATTCACTTTTACTAACACTTTACTCAAAATATCAGAAAAATAATAAGTGCATATAAACAAATACACATATATGTATTATTGAGGTCTTACAAGTTTGACCTAAGTAATCACAACTGTCTGATAACCTCAAGGTAATTCCTGGTTTAGAACATAAATACATTTGAAAATTCTGACTTGATGTGAGCATGGCGCCCTCAGCCTCCCCAGCACTCACATGTGTCCATATGTTGTGGTTGGTTATTGTTTGTGTGCAGGTGCTCTGGGGGAGACGGCTCTGCACGTGGCTGTTATGCACGACAACATGGAGGCAGCTGTGGCTCTGATGGACGGAGCTCCAGAACTGATCAACGAACCCATGACGTCCGAGCTCTTTCAAGGTTCAAACACACAAAATCATGAGCAGGTGTCAGGAGAAGTGAAAGTAGAAAGAGACCATGGGACCATACTTAACAAAACATGCTCTTTTCCAATACTTCTTTCACTGATAACAGTAGTTCAGCCGAGAAATTTGGATTTCAAAATTAGTTTTACAGCCCCTAAATCTTGTTATTGTTTCCATTTCGATGTCCCGCCCTCCACCATTTTACCAATCAGAAAGTCTGTGATCTGGGTTGCCAGAAATCACTGTGTCGAGCTAATCTCACTGGTAACAGTAAAATGTGGCAGCAGAACTTAAAAAGGTCTCAAAACATTAATGACAAAACAAGGAATAAAAAAATGGATTTCTATCTTTGTCGAAAAGGTGTTGGTTATAGATTTGTTGTTGACAAATCTCTTCATTCAGATATTTATGTCCCAGCTGGATTCGTCTGCATATCTGGCAACCTGAGTCAGGGAGAGTGCAGTACCACTTTTGGCCAGAATTTGACACACTGCTCCTTTAACATCACTTGTCCAATGTTAAGTTTGTGAGTTACGGGATGTGATCATAAAATACAAAACATCTTTGACACAATCGTGCAAAAGGAGCAAGTTTCTGGACTTTTTTTTCACATTTATAGTCATGTGTTTATTTTATTCATTATTTATTGTTCACAGCTGGTGGGATGAATTAGTGTGATGTCAGAAATCCCTAAAACTTACATTCACAAATATTTTCTACTTTCAGTCATTACTCAAAGCTCATATACCAAATATACCAAAACTGGAAAAACAAAAACACTTGCAATATCAACCACTGGACCAACATACTCAGAGACCATATTTTATTAGAAAAACAAACAGCAGAGAAGCAGAAGCATATGGCGGCCTTCACTAAATCATGGACTCTATTCATAAATAACCTCGGACCACCGCACCTCAAGACACAGAAAACACCTTCCTAGAATTATTGCTTACACTAATAGCAATGTATTGTATTGTTGTTGTTATTATTATGATTATTATTATTATTTACATATGTGTGCGTGTGTGCGCGTGCGCGTGTGTGTGGGTGTGTACGGGTTATAGACATTGACACGGTAATATCATGACACTGCCCGTCTGTGCCAGCCCGGTGCGCGGATAAAGGCTGACATCTACCAGTGTCCTGCGCTCCGCTGTCCTCCGGGGGCCCCGCAGGAGGGGAGGTTACCATGCCCAGGCTCTTTTTTTTTTTAATGCAGCACATAGATTACTGATTTAGGGGGAAAAGAAGGAAAAATAAATAAATTAAAATACAATAAAAATAATACAATAAAAATGTATAATAATAATTAAATAAAAATAAAAATGAATGAATAAATAGATAAATATAATAATAACATGAATAATATGTGCATATGTGCATATAATGATAATACACAAGTCAGGGTAAGCGAAAGCTTATTTTAATGCATGACACGTTTAGTTAAGAAAAACACTTGGGAAAAAGGAACAAAATAAGAGGGAATGGGCCGGGCGTTGGCTCCCTCCCCCCCTTTTTGGGGTGGGGGCCTGCTTGGGGGTCTGTGTGTGTGTCGGATTTGGTTTTGTTGTTGGCTGGGTTCCGCTTAGCTTGGTGAAACTCAGGCGGGCAGACTTTATATCTTATTTTATCTGTGGGGTGTATGTGTGTGTGTGTGTGGAGTGTGTGTGTTTATGGGTGTGGGTGTGTGTGTGTGTGGGTGTGTGTGTGTATGTGTGGGTATAGACCATAGACTGTAAACATCATAGTATAGTTCCCCCCCCCCCCCCCTCCTATGTGCCCTTCTGGGTTTCTTTTTTGGCCCCCTGTATCTCCAACTACATATTGTTTGTAATCTCTGCAATAAAATATAATAAAAAAAAAAATAAAAAAATAAAAAACAAAAAAAAACAAAAAAAAGCTCATAACACACTGTGGGTGAGTGTGGGAACGAAGATTGAGAGCTTTGCCTTTCGATTCAACACACAAGTCCGACACATAAATCTCATAAATCTTAAATAATGCAAAATTCTGAATAAATAAAAAAGAAAATAATTATTTGTAATGTTGTTGTTGTTCAGTCCATGAGTCATTATGGCCTGGCTATGCACAGACCACCCATTTCAGTGAGACGGATTCTGAAAAAGCTTAATTTGCTGTTGCTGAAGTATTCTGCTATTTTCTGGCTCCTCATTCTCTTGTCTATTCCGAAAAGGCTTATATGATTTATGCTACGAGATATAACTCTTGATTTCCTCCTGGGGATCACACAGTCCCTGATCAAATGTTGCTGCCTCTGTCACCAGGATTAGAGAGGGCAGAGCAGGGACAAGTGAATGATTGAGTTGTTTTGTGTGAGTCCAGGCGTGACACCGCTGCACATCACTGTCATCAACCAGAACTTAAAGCTGGTGCATCAGCTGATCAGCAGAGGAGGCGACGCGGCCACGCCCAGAGTCACCGGCCTGTACTTCAGAAAGAGGATCGGAGGACTCATGTACTACGGTGAGATCACGTCCAGGCTTTGGATACAGGCTGTGATCGCTGAGCCTCTTCTTAAGTAGTTATGGAAACAATGACATTTAGTAAGATTATGTCAAGCTATTGTTATTGTGCTGTCTGTCGGTTTAAAACGTCCTCTTTCTTAATAGGTCAGGACAGAGACAGGTTTCAGACAACCATGACATGTTGGACAGTAAAGATACAGTATATAGATTATATTTTGTGAGAAAGTAAGTCAGTGATTAAGATTACGAGATGTTTTATTCATCTCACATTTAAGTGTTGTATTGTATCACAAGTTACAGAGCAGTAGGAATGAGGAGCACACAGCACTGGATCAATGAATAATAACTCTACAATAAAATAAAATACATAAAAATCTGTAACTCTGGCATAAAAAGAAGCCGTATAACATTTCTTTTTAGAATAATAAGGGAAAAAGTCTTAAAATCTCCAACTTTAGTCGGTTCACTGTTCGCAAATAGTAAACGCATTCCCATAATCAATATGAACAGCTCTGACATCTCTGTTTATAGAATACATCTCACATTTCTATTCAAATCCTTGGTCTGCTGTGACTGTCCAAATGGTCTCAGCATGAGTCATTGTTTACATGTATTCTCTATTCTCTTTTTTTAATTTTTTATTTGCATGTTATTGTCCACCCCAGGGGAGCATGTCCTGTCGTTTGCAGCCTGTGCCGGTAATGAGGACATCATCTCCATGGTGATAGATGCCGGGGCGAGCACCCGAGTCCAGGATTATCGAGGTATGAACCAAACATCTGGCCAGAATGTCCAACTGGTCTTTAGAACCGTCAGCTGCTATAGCCAATGCAACCTAATGATGGTAACATTTTGAGAATCTTTACCCATTGCATGATTGTGTTTATATTGTTAATTACTATGGCAACCCATGTCAAAAGGGACTTACCACGCCCAAAACATATTTATTCTTTTTACAACCAAAGCATGTTTTAACAGTTACATAGCATGGAGGCACCTTGGTTAGTGCTGTTGCTCCACGATAAGATCTGGGGTTCCACATCTGGGTGCCTTTTTGTATGGAGTTTGCATGTTCTGCCCATGTATCATTTCTTGATTTAGTTGCAAGAAGGAGACATGAGTGTTGTTGTTTTGGGATTTAAAACTCAATATAAAGTTTCCACATCATCTGTTCACATTTGTCCTTCCAGGTAACACTGTTCTCCACATCCTGGTGCTGCAGCCCAACAAGACGATTGCGTGCCAGGCCATGGACCTGATCATGGCCCGGGACGCTGAGCTGGACCATGCCTTGCCCCTTGACATGGTGCCCAACTACCGCGGACTCACGCCCTTCAAAATGGCCGCCAAAGAAGGCAACACAGTGGTGAGACTGAGGCAGCAGCAATTCATGAAACACCTCCTCTCTTCTTGTCCCATGACATTTTTATGAGACAGGGAAGTTCCAAGTTTCCATTAAAATCCTTTTTAAGACTTTGGTAATACCACTTTGGTGGAATTTAATGTTACAAAGGCAAATGAACAGGAGAAAAGGCAAGTAAAACATGATGGAGGCATTTTTATTAATTCCGATGCTGCTAGCAGACAATGGATCCTTGTTGCGCCACCTGCATATGCAAGTCAGATCCCATCAGACTTCTGAAGCTAAGCAGGGCTGGACCTGGTTAGTACAGTGTTGGCAGACTTCTGGGAACACCAGGTGCCACAGTGGGGCAGCTGGGGATGTAATGCCAAACTGTCCTGATGTCCTAGGGTAGACATTTCAAAATCAAGGAATGTTGATGCAGCACAGGAAACAATTGACACTATGAAATCAATCAACTAAAACAATTTCAATACAAGTGCCTTGTTTATACTGATAACATCTTGTGGAAAGAAGCTGTTAGAAAAATGAAATGTCCTGCATCTCAGCAAACGATATCTTCTGCCAGAGGGAAGAAGCTGGAACATGGCTTTTCCAGGAGCCAGAAGAGTCTCAGATAGCGTTAAAAAGCGTTTTTTTATCCTCCCAATTTTGGAAAACAGTTGCGGGGCCACATCGGCCGCCAGTTGATGATTAGTGCTCTACACTATGTCCTATCTACTCTATGATAGACTCATTCTAATCTCTGACATCTCCCTTCAGGCCTTTCAGCATCTTGTGAACAAGCGGCGGGTCGTGCAGTGGACTCTGGGGCCTCTGACCTCAAACCTGTTCGACCTCTCGGAGATCGACTCTTGGGCAGACAACATGTCTGTGCTGGAGCTCATCGTGGGGAGCCATCAGAGAGAAGTACCATAAAAACAGCAACAAATATTACAAATGACTAATGTGCATATAGAGATCTCAAAGTCTGAATGTTTGAATGTGAGGATTCAATTTGGACTAAAGTAGAACAAAAGTATGGTCTATAGAGAGCAGAACCAGTATTCTAATAATCTATAAAAGTAGTGTAATTTAAAAGGTTGTTATTATTCCATACTTTAAAAAAACATATGATGACACATCTTTTTTGTTACTTTTTTCACCCTGTTACATCATTGCTCCCCTAATGAAAAACAGACTTGAAATTGTTTTGTCTAACCTATATCTTTCAAACCTGGTGCACTATAGGGAATCCACTTAATCTTTAATACTAAAGTATTGTCTCCAAATAGTTCAATTACATTTTCAACTAAGTTTGCTGCATGCACTCAATTTAGAATTCAACACCAAGTGGCGAATTTCAGATTTTTTACTATTTGCTTAATGTTTATCTCTGTATTGTCTACTTAATATTTCACATTCTAACATGAAATGGCAAGTAAATTATCTCATTATGATGTTTAAAGGCTGGATGTTCAAAGAAAAAATATGAATCAGGTTTATGGTGACTAGAAGTCTTTTTATCAAAAAGACTTCTAGTCACCATAAACCTGATTCATATATATATATATATATATATATATATATATATATATATATATATATTTGAAAAATACTTCTTAGATGGTTACTATAGCACAAAAGTCGATAAATACGTTTTACAATATTATTTATTTTAAAAGAAAATATACAAATATTTATATTTCGAGCAAGTAAGTGGGCAGAGAAATAATTAGTCATAATTAATCACAAGCAGCTAAGGTACATTTACAACATATAACAAAGAGAGTGTAATAATACTAACACTTATGGATGCTCAAAAAGAAGTGGGAAGAAGTAAACACTTATTTAATCCCACCCCTAATTAATTCAGTCAATACATAAGTAAAGTAAAATAGTACCAAAATAAAGTGTTAGTAGTAAAGTCTTGTAATATATTTTCATATAGCTTTCATATGTGTGCTCAGGCCAGAAGGATCCTGGAGGTGACCCCTGTGCGACAGCTGGTCAGTCTCAAATGGACACTTTATGGCAAACACTACTTCAGGTGAATTAAAAGTAACTTCATCAAGAATCACTTAAAGTCTGATGAATCTAAACTGAGCACGTCCTGTGTCTGCTCCATGTCCTCAGGCTCCTGATGCTGCTCTATTTACTTTATATTGGCACGTTCACATTATGCTGCTCATACCGCCCTCTAAAGGATGCTCCGGAGAATTACACCCAGTCAGACATGGACAAAACTATTCGAGTTCAGAAGACACTGAAGGTATTCTGCTCATACATAAATTATTGTGTCTGAAGTAAATATTTGTACCATAATGTTCTTTAACATCAGCAATATATATGATCATAATCCTTTCTTTTTTTTACATTCAGGAAAGTTATGTGACGCATAAAGACAGTCTGCGGCTGGTTGGAGAGGTCATCAGTGTTCTGGGTGCTTTCATCATACTTTTACTGGAGGTAATGTCACCCATATCATTAATGTGTGCGCTGAATCAGTGTTCCTGTACCTCTGCTTGGGAAACACCAAAACATATCAAATCTTACAACATACTTGAAGTGGATTTGGAGCGTGGCGCCACATTGGATGAGTGGCTGTAGCACTCGCAACAAGAAGGGCATGGGTTTGAGCATCAACATCTGCAGAGGCGCTGTAGCGACCACTGCTCCAGACTGAGTGCCCTTGCTCAGTTGTTCCTAAAATATCTCTTGAAAGCCCCATAAAGTGTCACATTTCATTTTTACAATATCGAATGTTTTCTATTTAAATGTAAACAAAGCACATAATATTATATAATATACACAATATCATTATCATTATATAGTTATGTAATAGGAAAATGCTTTTTGTTTAAATCAACATGTATGTGCACATTTTCATTCCAACCAATTATTTTATAAGTTTTTATAAATGATAAGTACAGGTTGAATGGACAACATTTGGAGACTCCTCTACATTGGTTCTGAGGCCCAAACCTCACGGGGCCCCAAACCCCATTTTGCCCAGTGGCTTTGGAAGGATCTAAGGAGATCTAAGGAGACCAAAGTACCCTACTGGGACAATAAAGTGTACCTTAACCTTTCCAAAGAGTGCCTTAGGTTGTAGTCAGAGTGAGAGCCAAAATGTAGGTCATACTAAGACAAAAGAGGTTGGGAACAAGATGACGTTGTGTTTTGTTCCACAGATCCCTGACATAATACGAGTGGGTGCAAAGCGATACTTCGGACAGACTGCACTTGGAGGGCCCTTCCATGTCATCCTGTACGTATCATGTCTCAGCTTGTTCATAGGATTCAACATTTCTAACTGTCTTGAAACACCATAAACTATCACTACTTATAAGTTGTTGTTTTACTAGTTTAATGACTGCTGCAAGAAATGTTATAGTATTTACATACAATTTGAAGCCATACAAATCTTTCTCAAAATGTATTTGATAGAGTCCATCCTCTCTCCAATAGCCATATCTCTATAGAACTATTCCCATCAATAGATTAGATTTTCCTTTGTCGTAACACATCTTTTCTATGTTTTGGTCCAGTATCAGTTATGCTTGCCTGGTGGTGCTGCTCTGTATCTTCCGTGTTTGTCAGCTGGAGGGAGAAGCAGAGCTCATGGCCGTGTGCCTGGTCCTGGGCTGGTGCAATGTTATGTTTTTCGCCAGAGGATTCGAAATGCTGGGCCCTTACGTCATCATGATCCAGAAGGTACAAACCTGCAAACGCTGTGGTCTCTGACAGGGTGTGTTCACATGAAGCTGAGCCATGTTTCTTTGTTCAGATCATATTTGGAGACTTGACCAAGTTCATGTGGCTCAGTCTGATTGTGCTCCTCGGATTCTCCACTTGTGAGTAAATGCACAAGCAAAATGCAACAGCAAAATGGCAACAAAAATCATCATCATCACAGTTTTCAACCAACTTATTATTCTTTATAATTCAAGATCTCTTTAGATATACAAAAATTCAAGGAACAAAACAATATTCCGAGTTAGGTAAAAATGTGGGATGGATAATCTTGGAAAAGGAGAAGTGCTCACTGAAACACATTTAGACACATGTAAATGATTAATGGTCACATTTATTTAGTGACACCGATCACCCTTTCACATGCATTCATTCACCAGGGTCCGCAGACACTGAGGATTCACAGCATTCACCAATGGGACCAAATGTAGGTCAGGAGAATATTGCAGATAATATTTGGGACAAATGTGATCAGCTCATGACAAATAGGAGCAAAGACAAAAGTGTAGGTTTTACATTGTTCAGTACTAAAACTATTGTCAAAATATAAGACCAGATTACATCATTCTAGTGGATTTGCAGAGTCCTAAATCAGAATTTATGATCATTTGCACTTCTTATTTGTAGAGGCTGGTCTAGATGAGTAAAAAAAATTATTCATCAACCTCATTACTACCAACAGTCATGTTCATAACCAGTTTTAAATATGTATGAATTGTGTGTCTTTCCTGCAGCTCTCTGGGTGGTGTACATGACCCAGGACGTAGACGCCATCCCCGCCTATCACTCCTTCCCCATCACGCTCTTCTCTCAGTTTGAGCTCAGCGTGGGGCTTATAGACTTACCCGTGGACCACACCATCATCACGCCCCCTATCGTCCACGTGTTGCACTGCACTTTCTCTGTGGTCTCCTACATCCTGCTGCTCAACCTGCTGATCGCCATGATGAGCGACACCCACTGGAGGGTGGCCCAGGAGCGCGACGAGCTCTGGAGGACGCAGGTATATTGATGTGGAGAAAGTCTATGGCCAAGGAAGGACCTAGAACTAACGACATCTCCACACCCAATAGATCCATGGTTCACACTTACCTACAAACAACGGTTTATTTTGTATGCTGTTTATTTTGTATTTTAATGTAAAATGCAACCAAGTGAATGTAGGTCTTGGGGCAAAATAGTCTGTATTTGTGGATGTAACCCCACCAAAGACATGTGTTCATTCTTCAGTTTACATATTTATGAAACTGTTCTTCGAAGCATTTCCCCAAAGTGAACCCGACTTGGTCCAGTTAAAGTGAACCAGACTAACAAGGGTAAATGCGCCCTATCAGGACTAACCCCAGCTCAAACCAGAACTAGTCTGTGTGGATGAGATTCTGTAGTAGTGCTTTTTCATCCTGGGCAAGTGTTACTACTTTAAAAAAAGAATGCTACTAAAATGACAAACACAATACAATATGTAAGAGGATTCAGGATCAAACAAAGTCTCTCTGTCTTTCTGTGAAATTCATAGAAGCAGCACAGTGTAAGTCTCTTATGCAACTATGGTAATGTCAGCTCAAACAAGACAGAAATCAAACCCTAAACTTAATACTCTTCTTTTAGCTCCATCACCTCCCATTAGATGTTGGACCATGAGATGCAGACATCATGAGCTTGAATAACAGGATATATGTTATTCTTCTCACACAGGTGGTGGCTACGACGCTGATGCTAGAGCGGAGGCTGCCCCGCTGCCTCTGGCCTCGTCTGGGCGTCTGCGGCCAGAGCTACGGCCTCACGGAGCGTTGGTATCTACGGTGAGAGAAGCACCGTAATAATACTGTCACATGACTCCCTGCAGTCCTGAGTTAACATTGAGAACTTTGCCTTGAGTATCTTGTATATAGCTATATTTTTTTTAAACCATTGACCTCATATTAGAGAATTCAAACAAAGCTCACATGTATTTTAACAGTTTTGCATTTGCAACATTGTTGGCACACGTTATTTTTTTCTCCCAATAACAATATCATTCATCTATATATACATACAGATGAATGATTAAGATGGTCTAACCACATATTTCCAAATTGGATATGAATCTGAAATACTTGTTGGGCGGACAACCTTTGGAACAACCAGAATGAAAAAGCTGATCCATGTTTTGTCAAAAGCTCTTTTTGTTTGTTTGCAGCCTTTTTAAACTGACACAATGTAACATACATTATGATCCACATAAGTTATGTGTTGACATCAAATACCAAGTGTACGCACTGTGTTTAGCAGAACAATTATTTATAAAATATTTTGGCCATGTTTTCAGGGTTGAAGACAGAAATGACCCCATGATGCAGAAGATGCGTCGTTACATCAAAGCTTTCCAGGAGGAGAAGGAGGGACAGGAGAAGAGCGACCCCATGAAGGACTCCCACACTGACAGTCCGCAACTGCGCCCCAAAATCAGGGACCATGGCAGGGGGAGGCCCATGTCAGGGTGGCAGATCATCCGGAACAGTGCCCTGGGACTCAACATGGAGCCCTTTGAACCAGAAAACGATGTGAAGTTTGTGTAGAGCCTAGAGACATTCACAGAAGTCTGCAAACGTATAAACGCGGCCAAAAGCTTAAATTCAACGCTTGTTTTGAGTTGTCTGCTGATGCCAAGAAGTTTTCTTTTTGTGGAAAGAAATGACAAATGTTTTCTTTAAAAGAAACATAACATACAATCACAAATTATAAGATTGCTTTTTAAATGATAGCTGTCACTAATAATCTGCACTAGCTGCATAAACTAAGACACATCATATACAACAGTGGTTCTCAAAGTGGGGGACTCAAGACACAAAGCTGGGGGAAGCAAGATGATTTAAAAATAAAATCTACTATATTTTCTATATCAATGATTTGACACAAAGTAATATAAGTAAAATTGGGTCCAATAACACTAACAAATGACTTATCTTAATGTTATTCAGCAGTGGGGGTCACAAAGTGGTTTCAGGGGGCGCTGACTCTCACCATTGGATTTATCTTGAAATGTGAACCTGCTATGAACCAAAATTTGAAGTGCCCAAAACAGGATTATTATGAATCCATGTGTATATATCCTTTCGCTGTGTATGGTGCCTTTACAACAGCAGTATTATCCAATAGATGCGAATGTTCTTTTTGTATAGACTTATGTAGCAGTTAAATACAGCGTAGTGAGAAGGTGTGCAGCCTACAACTCACTGGTTAAATGAACCAGCCCTGTATAAAGTCTTTCCTTCTTCTCAGTATATTTATGTACTGGTCATTCCCTGCTGCAGCAGCTGCACCAGCACTGACCCATGACAGCTGCAGTTGCTGGGCTTAAGGTGGTGACAAAGGTCATTTCAAATGACAAAGTTGTGAACTTTCTGATTAGATTCATAAAGGACTTTTCCGCCATGTGTCCAATATTATGGATTTGACATGTTTAACGTGTGTCTGAGGACAATATCATTTTCCTTTTGAATATGTATTATATGCATGCCCTCCCTTAAAAGAAGCATTGTAATATAAATGTATACTAAATACAAGACTTTTAAGTTGGCCTCATTGACTTTTATTCAAAAGATGTTTAAAAAATGTGACACTTTTTATGAAATGGTTCAGTCAACAATACAACTCTGGGAGGACCAGAGCACATTAGGCAAGGCAAGTTTATTTGTATAGCACAACTCATACACAAGGCAACTCAAAGTGCTCAACAAGATAGCATTAAAATCATAAATAATCACAGAACATTAAAAAGAAAGATAAAAAAATAAAATCCCTCAGTTGTATACACAGCTAAACAGAACTGTTTTTAACCTGGTTTTAAACATTGTCAGAGAGGAGGCCTGTCTCACATCTTCAGGAAGATTGTTCCAGATTTTAGCAGCATGAATCTGAAAAGCAGCCTCCCCATGTTTAGTCCTGACTCTGGGCACTGACAGGAGTCCAGTCCCTGTGCTCCTCAGAGTCCGGGCTGGTTCATATGGGACTAACATGTCACTAATATATTTTGGTGCGAGACCATGGAGAGACTTGTACACAAGCAGAGCTGTTTTAAAGTCTGTTCTCTGAGCCACAGGAAGCCAGTGCAGAGACCTGAGAACCGGACTAATATGGTCGGCACTAGATCATATACGGAATCGGGACGAAAACGGAAGTAACACTCCTACTTACGAATTATTTTTAGACTAATGGGTCCTTAAATGGTGACTGGTTAAGTTTTAGGCGTCTGAGTAAGATGGTTAAGGTTAGGGTTAAGGCTGGGTTGGGGTTATTTTATAGGAATGGCTAGTTAAGTTTAGGCATAAATAGGTGTTTTGTTATATTTACTTCCGCTTGCGTCCCGATTCCGTATATGATCTTGTGCTGACCGGACTAATGTGGTCGTACTTCCTGGTTCTAGTCAGGACTCGAGCTGCTGCATTTTGAATGTACTGCAGCTGTTTTACAGCCTGTTTGGAGAGACCTGTGAGCAGGCCATTGCAGTAGTCTAACCTACTGGAGACAAATGCATGGATAAGAATCTCCAAGTCTGCTTTAGACACTATGTTTTTAATCCTGGCAATAAGTTTGTGTAAGCCCTCAGTCGTACAGGGATTAGTCAAAGCAAAGGAAGGTTTCTCACCCATCATCTGTACTTCTTAGCAAGTTTTCCCGACGTTTCGTCCTCAACCTGGGGACTTCTTCAGGGAATGAATTCTCGGACCGCGCGTTGGAGATTTATAACCTATGGGTGTGGTAAGCCACACCCTAATCCTGATACTAACTCATAAACAATCTCAGGTCTGCTTGATGTAGAAGAGGAGCAGGTCTAACGACCCTGCTGAGGCTAACGACCCTAACTCCTTAGCATGTCACAGACCTATTGTCTGCTGGGATGCTCAAGTGGAGTGCAGGTTTAACTCATTAGCATGTCACTGACCTTGTCCCAAGTTAGAGCGTTGTTTTTAGGATGTCGTCATAGATGCGAGGCAAAACAAATCTTAACCCTCCTCCTCTGTTAAGAGAAGGTTTTTGTTTCCTCACAAAAATGGCTTCTTTCACCCCTCTCTCAAACCAATTCTTCTCCCGAGCCAGAATTTTAACCTCTGTGTCATCCACCGTGTGGTTGGAGGCCTTGAGGTGGAGATGAACAGCCGACTGTGGCCCACTAGAGTTTTCTCTAAGATGTTGGTAAAGTCGTTTCTGTAGAGTTTGTTTGGTTTCTCCAATATAGTGGTCAGTGCACTCCTCTTCACTACATTTAATTGAATACACCACATTGCTCTGTTTGTGTCTGGATGTTTTGTCTTTGGGATGCACTAATTTCTGTCTTAACGTGTTGAAAGGTTTGAAATACACAGGGATTTTGTGTTGCCTAAAGATTCTTTGTAGTTTCTCTGAAACTCCCGCCACATACGGTAAGGACACCCCTCTCCTCCTACTTTCTTCTGTCTGTTGGACTGTGTCTCTGGCCTTTCTCGTCCTTTGGGCTTTAGTAAAAGACCACTTGGGGTAGCCACATCTGGAAAGTGCTCTCTGAACATGTTTGGTTTCTCTGTTCTTTCCCTCCGAGCTTGTGGGGACCTGGTGGGCTCGGTGTTGAAGCGTTCTAATGACCCCGAGTTTGTGTTGTAGCGGATGATTTGAATCAAAGGCCAAGTACTGGTCAGTGTGAGTGGACTTTCTGAAGACCTCAGTCTCTAATTGTCCGTTCTCCAGTATGATGACCTTACAATCTAGAAAGGCGAGTTCACTCTCCTTAGCATCCTCGCGAGTGAAATTTATAAAAGGGTCCACCGAGTTAATGTGTGCTGAAAATGGTTCCACTTCCTGTTTCTTTAACTTAACCCATGTATCGTCTACATATCGAAACCAATGGCTTGGCGCTGTCCCTTGGTAAGAGCCCAGGGCTTGTTCCTCCAGTTTCTCCATATACAGATTGGCCACTATAGGAGAGACTGGGGAGCCCATCGCACAGCCATGAATCTGTCTAAAGAAGGTGCCTCTAAATTGGAAATACGTGGTGTTAAGACACATTTCAAGTATTTCACAGATGTGGTCAGCTGTTAGTTTCGTTCTCTCCCCTAGTGTGGCGTCTTTCTGTAAGCTTTCTCTTACAGCCTCCACCGCCTCTGTAATAGGGACCGACGTAAAAAGCGATGTCACATCAAACGAGACCATTGTCTCATCTGTGTCAAACTGGAGGTGTTTGATTTTATTTACAAATTCTTTTGTGTTTTCTATGTGATGGTGGGTGTTACCCACCAAAGGAGCCAGAATGGTTTTGAGGTGTTTAGCCAGGTTGTAGGTGATAGAGTCTATGCTACATACAATAGGCCGAAGTGGAAAGTTTTGTTTGTGTATTTTTGGGAGGCCATAAATACTGGGGATGGTGTCTCCTGGGTAAAGTTTGTAATATAGTGGTTTTTCAATAATGCCCTCTTTCATTAAGTTCTGAAGGAAGTCTATAATCTTTTTCCTAAACCCACTGGTAGGGTCCCTCTTCAATGGCTGGTACGTGTTGGTGTCCACGAGTAACTGATTAACTTTGGCCTCATAGTCTGAGCTGTTGAGGATAACTGTGCATCTGCCTTTGTCAGCTGGTAAAATAGTTATATTCTCATCCTTTTGTAATGCCAATAATGCTTTTTGCTCATCTAATGAGACATTGGATTGTGGGGGCTTCGCACTTTTGAGTGTGGCAGAGACTCTCAGTCTGAGGGCCCCTGCCTCACTCTCAGTTAGTTTGTTGTTTCTAATAGCTGCTTCTGCTGCTGTGATGTATTCAATTGTAGGAATATCTTTTGGGGTTATTGCAAAATTTAGCAATAAATTTTGCAATCCTGATACGAGTTAGTATCAGGATTAGGGTGTGGCTTACCACACCCATAGGTTATAAATCTCCAACGCGCGGTCCGAGAATTCATTCCCTGAAGAAGTCCCCAGGTTGAGGACGAAACGTCGGGAAAACTTGCTAAGAAGTACAGATGATGGGTGAGAAACCTTCCTTTGCTTTAATCCTGGCAATGTTTTTTAGATGGTAAAAAGCTGCTGATGTTACTGATTTGATGTGGCTATTAAAATTTAAGTCTGAGTCCAGTATTACCCCTAGATTTCTGACCTTGTTTGAAGGTTTTAGGGAGAGAGACTGTAGATGACAGATGACGCTCTCTCTTTGTTTCTGGGGACCAAAAACAATCATTTCAGTTTTGTCTGCGTTTAGCTGAAGGAAGTTGTTTTGCATCCACTCACTGATCTGTTGGATACAGTGAAGGAGTGAGTCCACTGGTCCATGTTCTCCTGCAGTCAGTGAGACATAGATCTGAGTGTCGTCTGCATAGTTATGATAGGACACTTTGTTTCTGCGTATTAACTGACCTAACGGCAGCATGTAGAGATTGAACAGAAGAGGTCCCAGGATCGACCCCTGTGGTACTCCACAGGTCAGGGCCATATGATCTGAGACACAGTCTCCAATCTCCACAAAGTACTTCCTGTCTTCAAGGTAAGACCTAAACCAACTTAGGGCGGTGCCAGCGACGCCAACCCAGTCCTCTAGTCTCTGTAAGAGGATCTCATGGTCGACAATGTCAAAGGCAGCACTCAGATCTAACAGGATTAGGATTGAGACTTTGCCTGCGTCAGTGTTCAGCCGGATATCGTTTGTAACCTTAACGAGAGCAGTCTCAGTGCTGTGGTGGGGTCTAAAGCCGGACTGAAACATATCAAATGAGTTGTTGATTATAAGAAATCTATTTAGCTGTTGGTGGACAACTTTTTCAAGGACTTTCCCCATAAATGGCAGATTTGAGATGGGACGATAGTTGTGTGGTTGTACAGTGGCATCCAGACTGCTCTTTTTTAGCAGGGGCCTGATGACTGCAGTTTTCAGGGCCTTTGGGAAAATTCCAGAATTAAGGGACATGTTTAAATTACATTTTATTTATGCCTTATATACTTCAGATATTAGATGAGATTTGATAGATGAGATAAAATAGAATATACTAAACATCATCAACCCACAAGTCCACATCTGTGCAGAGAGGAATTACGGATCATGATGAGGCAAGCTGCGTTGTTCAAAGCAACAGAAAATATCCACTAACGCTTCCTATCAAATTTCCTAGTCTTTCCCGACTAAACATAAGCTAAAGCGACTAATCAAAGGTTCATGCTGAGTTTAAGAATGATGGTTTCTGACAGATATAGTAGATCTGATGGGTGCAGTCCTTCTTGCTCCAGCTTTTGGCATTGGGACTTTTTCCGTTCAGCACGGCACAGTCGCCTGCTTCAACTCCGGAGTCTAACCAGAAACTGAAAAAATACATGTATCATTAATATGTAATCAAGTTTGCTCTACACGTATAATTCGACTACAGGATTGGATTTTTTACCTGACTATGTCACATATATCTGGTAATTACACTCATTTGTTAGAATCTTATTGGACGTTCATTAGATTAACCAGTTAATGTTGATTTGAGAATAACCAATCTGTTGGTTTTGATTTAAGTGGTTAAACTAATGTTGGTTGGATGAGTCAATATTTGCATCAGTTGGCACTTTGATGGTTGAAAATAAAAGCATTTATAGATTGGTTGTTTTAACCAAAAGATCTGTCCAACACATACCTACAAATCTAACTACAGGTGAATTATAATCAGCCATTTGGTTGCTCTAACTAATCTGTTTTAGAGTGTTTCCAGTACATCAAACACAATAATGGTCATTGTCGTATGTGTCTAACATTGAAAATCACCTGTTCGTTCTGAGTTTCTGACCGTCAACCCAAGCCCAGACCTGGTTCTTCAGGCTCAGGCCAATCCAGTATGGAAGTGTTGCTTCCTGCATCAGGAAGTTCTGGAAAAAAAGAAAAGTCACTTGATTTTTCATTGAGGTTTACAATTTACTAGGATGAAATGTCATATTTAAAGCCCTCATTTGCTAATATTAAAAATGTAACTGTACTGTGATAATAAATCCACTGAGGAAGCCAACAAAATGTAAAAAAAAAGACAAAGAAAAAGAAATGCCAAGTAAGTTATATTTTTCATTCATTATTTTTTCATTTATTCATTTCTTTAAAATATTAAAGGTTCTCTGAGGAGCTGCTTGAGTGGGCCATTATTTGGAGCTTTCACATCACCACAAATGAAGTGTATTTTACTCTTATTTGATCCAGTGTGAATGTGATGTAAATGTACCTGTTCAGTGGCGTCTGTGATCACAGCCAGACTCCCTCCCTCCTGCTCACAAAAGTCCTGACTCTCAGCCCACGACTTCCTCCCGGTTGAAAAAAGAAAGCATCTCTGACCTGACTTCACCCAGCCTTCAGGACACGGGCAACCTGAAAAAATACAAACAAATCAACACCTTTCTCTGTTGGTAGAAGTGAGGAATTATATGTTGGGATAATTTTGTAATCCTTAATAGTGTGTGTGTGTGTGTGTGTGTGTGTGTGTGGGCGGGGGGGTGCTCTCCGAGTTCTCGTTCACATTAAGGCCCAATTATAATGGATGTTTACATGACCACAGATGGACATAAACCATTGTAAACATTTACATAAACGTCAACTGAATATGTTTGAATATGCTGACGATACAATTAGTGTACAAGGAAATCATTATCTGGACATTAAAACATGTAAACATTAGTTTTAGAATATAAATGAGTTGTCTCATATATCTGCATCACAAACAGTCCAACTAACATTCCCATTGCTCTTTAAGATATTCCAAAGTACAGCGCTGTATTGTCCATTTCAGGTACACAAAGTTAATTCATCTCGCTTGTAGCATCTGATCTTCAAACAGACCTCGCATGAAACAAAATAACTTCCTTAATAGATAAATTAGAAGAGCCAAGTATAGAGATTATTTCTGAGAAGTTGCAGTGTTGTGGCCAGAGTGGTGCTTACGGGAACAGATCGCAGCAGGCGCCAGAATTGGTGCTTCAACTTCACAAGCTTCATTCTTCTCTGAAAAAATAACAAATAATGAAATGTGTTTAGTATCTTTGAATCTATAAACGTCCACCATACCCCAAAGATGCAAAGTTATTATTGTTACTATGGAAGGTCTATTTCCAAGATACCAGTGCAGTGAAGGATGATGTGAGATCTATCACTCATGCTTTTTGGACAAAGTATGCTCTTTTGAGGTTTTAAAAAAAACATACAGGAAAGGACAGATATTGTACAAGCAAAATTTCTTGTTCATTTCTCTCCACGCAAAACATACATGAAAGGGATTGCAAGCTAACAGACATGTCCAAAGTATGACGCAATTGCCCCAAATACCTTTAAGCAGCTCTTTGCTGGTTGAGGACATACTTTTTTCTTGGGCATATTCTAAACAAATCTGTCACATGCTATTGACTCAATTCAAAGTTGTGTTAAAAACATTTTTGATGGATTCCACCTCAATCGGTCCTTGTATGCATTACACTCACTGTCCCTCAGTCAAAAAAGTAAATATTTCTTCATTAATGATACAGACGTTTGATGATCAGTATGACGATGATGAGGATGAGGATCACACACATCGCCCCGAGGACGAAGCAGGCCTTTCTCCACAGTCCTGAGACACATCCACAAACCAACCATTAACACCACAACCCTTTGAATTGGACAATATCTATGAGAAGCTTTTCCGTCACCCATGACCACAGGTTTGTCTAAAATATTAATATAATGTTTTTTTATTGCTCATAATTATCAACTTTAATCAACACATATTCTTTCACAAACTGAATTTGTGAAATAAGCAAAATGATTATGTGATACCTACTAATGTTGGGTTAGGGTTAGGGTGTTGGATTACTGGCTTTTTATCTGGACAGATTAAAAATAACGTAACAATAATACCAGATTTTGTTTTTGAAGGTCGAGACAACCGACGCGTGTCCACGTACTGATCCTCAGACGGACTCTGGAGACTGGAGTAAATGTCTCCTTCTTCTTCATCTGAAACAAAGAGAAAAATAGCAATCAGATATAGTCAATAGAATTCAACTTAAGACTCTAGGTACAATTTAAAACGTATAAAAATCCAAACCTCTGTAATTTGGTGTGCTTTTTTACTATCAGACCTACTGCAGCAGTGAATCTAAAATTGTTCTGGAAGATCTTGGAAAGTAGTAAACAAATGTCTTTTGCTGTATGTGTTGCGCAAGATTCTGCTGCACAGAAACGAATTAAAACTTTTCATTATTACACACTTTCACTCTGGTGGAGCCCTCTGCACTGGCTGAAAATTATTATCTATTTTTTTACTCTTGTCCATGTCCAAAATGGAATTACATTAGTATTTGTTGCATACCTTTAGTCTTGCCCTGGGCTCCACTTGTTCCTTCCCCGGTGGGGTCAGGTCTCTTTGGTTCTTTGCTGATCTTCTCCAGCTCCATCACTTTAAACCTCTTTCAACGTTCTATCACATTTGTATTTTCAAAGTCGTGGAGAAAGGCACCGGTCATGAGGCCGAGAGACGAACACGGACTTTGTCTACATCAACAAAACCAAGAAGACAATTCAAGACACTTCCCCCTTCACTCCTTCCTCTAAAGTGTCTTTACCGTAAATGAAAGAAATTGATGAGCATCACGTTACCAACATTATAATTAGGCAAAGGCATGGCAAGTTTATTTGTATAACACAATTCATACACAAGGCAAGTCAAAGTACTGAACAAAATAAGATAGAGACAGTCACACATTAGAAAGAGTGAAGATATAATTCCCGCAGTTGCATGCACAGCTAAAATGAACAGTTTACCTGGATTTGAACAATGTAAAAGAAGAAGCCTATCTCACATTTTCAGGAAGACTGTTCCATATTTTAGCTGCGTGAATCTGAAATACTGCCTCCCCATGTTTAGTCCTGACTCTGAGCACCAGCAGGAGGCCAGTCCCTGTGCTCCTCAGAGTCTGAGTTTGTTCATGTGGCACTTACATGTCACTGAACCATGGAGAGACTTGTAACAAACAGGGCTGATTATATTTCATTTAAGACTAGAAAATAGATTAAACTGAGTCCATTCAAAAGTGCCATATAAATAAATGTCCTACATATTATGCATATTTGTGTGAATAATACAACAGTGTAGATTTGCTTGGGCTCAATGTGTCGCTCATGGCACAGAAACACAGTATTATTGTTTAACGAAACTCTAAATTCTCTTCTCGTGCTTAAGGAGCGCTCCCAGTGACTTCACTATTTCTCTTGTTCCTGTTTGAAGTGTTTCTGATATTGACCTTTCCGTATTGTAATATGCACATTACATTCTAAAGTATAAACTATTTGGCATAATTTTCCAATCTAGTGCTTTTGTCTGACTAGCTCCAATCACAAGGCGATGGAAAGTTGTATACATAAACACATAACTGGAAAAAACTAAAAAACCAAGAAGACGGTTGCGTTTTCAAATTTATTGTCAACAAAAGTTTACATTAATTTACAAAAGAAACACTATGTGCATTAAATACAGATGACCGAGAAAGACCAGAGTTTTTCCAACACTTTTTTGGCTTTTTCTGTGCTTTCTGATTAAAAAGAAATGAACCTATCATAAGTACAAACAATTCAAATCATGCTTATCCCGTAAATACTGACAAATCTTAACCAAGCCGGAATCAAGAAATCCTCAATGAGGTAAAGCATAAAGGAATAATATCATAATAATTGTGTGCGTTAGGGAGACTTGAAACGCATTGTACTTGTCTGCTCTGGCCTTTTCTGTCTTCACTCAGGGCTTGGCAATAACATGAAGCCGATAATAACAGAATACAAATCACTTTTATAGATTTAGGTACGGTTGTAGCATATTTATAGTCTCAAGATAATGAAGTTAAGTGATGACTATGCACTTCCAGGCCCAGGCTAAAGCCGATTGAAAACAAAACTAAAATCCGTCTGCTCGATACTCTTTTTTTTAACCAGTGTTGGGTCAGTAAGTTACATACACATTTTTTTTAAAGTAAGAATTTACCAACTCAGTTACAGCCTACATTACCTTTAGAGTCACACTAATTTGGGATTACTTAAGTACAATTTTATAACTAAATTCAATCACAGTTTTTTGTGTTTTATTCAAGCTATAAATACATAACTACTCCTGTTCTTTATGTGACTGTAATGCTATATAAGAACAAATAAATGAATGAATGAATGAATGAATAACAAATTAGTTATTAATCAAACTGACTCAAACTACTTAAAACAAAATCAATAATAGAAATAGATTTCCTGCTTCACCTGCTGGGCCACTCCAAAAAGATCCATGTTGAAGCTGTATTTGCTTGTTTGAACTGTGACGATACATTTATCATATACTTGCAAAACCAAGTATTCAGTCAACTGTAATCTAACTACAAGTATTTTCAAGTTAAAGTTTGACATTACTTCATTTCTTTGTAAGTAAGTTTGAAACATGCATTGCTATAGTCACTTTGAATTTTTATTGTACATAATATATCTTGCCAAAAAGAGACTTTTTTTTGTTTAACCTTTTAACACGTTTGCCCACTTCCGGTCTTTTTGCACGCCCAGAGTGATTCTATTTTTGCCAAATGTGACATGTAAAAGTCTTCATTGTGAGATCAATAAAGTTATCCAAGTTGAACTCAACACTGGTTATAACAACTCATACTAACCATAACTCCTTTACTCATGCAACTGCTGTTTATATTTGTGTTAAATTTGAACAAAACAGAGACAAAGCAAACCAAGTGAACTATCTGCAGCTTTCAACCCGAATGTGAGAAGTGATGTCACACTTAAGAACGACAGCCACAACTACGACACTCCTTTGTCTGCATAGTTAGAGTGGACAACATTATTGAGACACGAACGAGAATTCTGCTCATCACATGGGCAGATATCTGTTCAGGCTGATATGATCAAATAAGTGCCATTAAAACAGGGGCATTATAGACATTCATCTAAGTTAAATGACTAAAATATAAAAGGCAATATTAAGTCACTTCAGGCAGGAGTTTAATTTACTACTACTTCAACACTTGTACTGGGATCATTTGTGTTATTATCAACAAGCAATAGTTTTAAAAGATTCTGTGTCTTTTCACAAAATGTCCTTATAGTATTGGTCAAACATCCTATTCTGTCTTGTTATTGTCTTGTCAAATATACATGTTAACTCTTTTATACAAAATACGAAGTTAAAGCCAAGCCCTGGTCTGCGTCTTCAGCCGTACACGCTCTCGTTGCTGTAGGTCATGTACAGGAATAAGTCGTCGTCGTGGTGCTCCTGTAAGAACAATTACAGATTAAGATTACACAAATACGTTTAAATCAATGTGTTAAACTACGGTAAACCAGATCCAAACCATTTTGTGAGTAAAACCTCGAATTCCAAAATGAATCAACAAGGCCAGTTTCACATCATATTTCATACTGCCAATTATTTCTGTTTTGGAATCTGATGTAAATGTAGATAGTAACTGTTGGTTTGTTTGTTTCTATGTCCAGACACCCGGGACATAGAAATGCATTACAAATCAAATGTTGTATAATCCTACACAAAATAACCTCTGTCACTTTCACACTTCCATTGGTCACTATGCAAATGTTGAATAATTTAGCTCATCTAAAACCCTCATAATTAATGAGGAGGAGTTTCATGAATTATTCTACGCCTGTGCATATCTGCAGGGTTTGTCCCACACACTGAGTGCAGTGAGTCAAAGGTGAACCTTGTGTTGTTTTGAAGAGCAGAGGGAGTATATATTTGCCTGTAAGCTGAAACTGACGGCATTTCCCAAGATGAGCAGCTCTGTGGCGGTAAATAGACTTGGAGTGTGGAAAGGCCTACAGGGATTTTTAAAGCTGCACCGTAAATAATTATAACACAGTCACTGAGCACAATTACATAATCACAAACAAAGCAAAAGAAATACTGCTTCAAGAACTGAAAACAAAAGATATGAGGTATCAGTGGCTCTCTGGAGCGTGGTTAGAGAATCCACCAAAACATTCTAAACATTTATTATAACACCAAGGGGTAATGTGATAGCTTCTGTGTGTGTGTGTGTGTGTGTGTGTGTGTGTGTGTGTGTGTGTGTGTGTGTGTGTGTAGATTTAGGAAAATAAACTACAGTCACACACACAGTGTGTGTGTTTTTTTTAATTTATTTTTTTATCGCGCGATAAATATTGATATATAATATTGATGCCGTTAATATTGATTTGCGTTAACGCGTTAACGATATTTTGGACAGCACTATATAAAACATAAAGTATCTAGCTTCAAATTTAAAATCTGTTTGGCAGTGGCCATCATTTCTCATCTCTCAAACAATGGCTCATGTGTGGATCAATGAGTGAGGAGGAAGGGGGGAAAGGGGGGGGGGGGGGGGGGGGGGGCTTTGGGGTCACTTGCCTCATAAACAGCAGAGAGCGGGGAGCTGGAAGGGGGGAGGGAGTTGTTGACGAAGAAGAACAGTGCCTCCTCTGGCCTCAAAGACACACGCTGACGTATCAAGAAACACAACTGCCCCACTGAAACAGAAGCACAGAGACATGAGCTGGTGAGAATAGATTTGTTTTATCAAAATAAGGAACAGAAACGACTGAAAAAGTGACCGCATCAGGACCGAGCGATGCCGACCACACAGTTTGTCACCCATTCACACTTAAAAAACTAACTTCTCATTTTTGACATTTTTATAGACATTTTTCCTTCTCTAATAGAAAGCACAAAGCCATTTAACTCCACCGTGCGCTGGATTTGAAACATTTGAGACATTTTTATATAAAAGGTTTGCAACTCCCTGAATAGACTGGCAACTTTTTTAATGGGGGGTAAATAATGAAGAAAAACACAAAAACACTACATTATAGGTGGAATTAGGACAATAAAAGGAAATAAACGGACATAAGCAATAATGGATAAGGCACAAATGGACTCTTCTTATGCTTTAAATTGATTGAAATAGCATACTGTACTAAGGGGGGCCCTGAGAGAAAAGTTTGAGAAGCCGTGGAAAGGCTTAAAACATTTGATATAAATGTAAATTCTAGTGAATATCCACAAATAAGCACATTTTAACAAAAAGTGTGTTGAAACAGTGCATGCTTACCTGTTAAATCTGATGGAACGAGGTATTTCTTCTTGTCCAGTTCTGGCGCTCGGGACCTCTGAGCCCTTTCCACAATGATCTGAAAAATGAACCCACATGTACAACGTTTTAGTCATGTGACAGAATATTAGTTTTTTTTTTATTGTTGAACATGTTTACTGACTGGTATTTTGTCTGGATGTTTGGCCCGGACTCTCTCTCCCTCTGCTCTCCTCACTTCTAGAGGCACAGAGCGCTGGTAATGACTGCCCATCTGAGAAAAACACACAAATTATCATGTTTTTAAAGCTGTTACATCAGAATGAAATACATGACTGGGGCATGATCTACTATAAAAATAGAATCAATGCACAGAAAGTTTCAAGTAGGTTTCGGACAGTAAAAGCTGAGGCCCGATTCTGTCCATATTTTTGAGCGAGTCACGCTCAGTGAAGCTGTTTGAAGACAGTCAGGGTTACTTTAGTAATGTAGTGTGGACCAGATACAGGACACTCACGCTGTAAAGACACGCTCAGCTGGGTTAGGGTTAAAACATTGTAAATCTACCCCAACGATTATATTGGACTTAATAGGATACAAATAAGGACCAGATGATCCACTAGTCACATCCAAAACTAAACCCTGGCACCATCAGAACAAATAATAAAGAAAGTGAAAAGACAACTCCAGTCATGTCCTGATGAACAGCCGTGGGGTATGTTTACTCTTGTCCTGGTTTATTGTTATTACAGACTTTAGTTTAGTCTCATCCTTGATTCATTCCAGTTTTTTTTTTCCAATTTTAGTTGATGTGCATGTAAAGCAAGCCTTTGACTAGAACTTTTCCTTTTATTTTCCAGTTCTTTACTTGGGTTTCTATGACCAGAGGTGGCCTGGTGTGTGTTATTGCTTATCTTTTGTGTACTCACGTTTTCACACGTCAGATAAAGACTGTTTAAAGGTGCATTGCGCAACCTTTATGGTGGGAGATGTTAATGCTTTGATTGGAATGTACCCCAGCATTCTATCGACCTTATGTATTATTAAAATACGGATTTTTCTGCTAAAATTTGATTTCTTTTATTTTTTATTTAGCCCTGTGAAGCCACTTGCTTATCTCCAGTGCAGATAGAGTATTTAATGCCATAAGGTGGTACATTCCATGCAAAACAGAAATATTTAGATGGACCAAAGTTAAAGAGGACCCCCCCACCAAGAAGGTTGCAGAAGGTAGTGGACCATTATACATCTATAAAATATAACTTTATTGCAAAGATATTTAATACAACTATCTTTGTCAAAAATAAATGTAAGCAACTACTTTTTTTATCATTTACAAAACTCATCAAATGCAAATACAGCACCTGACTTTGAATAAAGGCCACGAAAACTCAAAGCAGTCTTGGATTTGACTTGATCTTGTGGGCCATGGATTTGAAATAAACATGTTATAGCCTGGATTAGTCCACACTATGGCATTAAGCACAACATTCATCCATGTGCACGTTGTATTGTGCCAGTCCCCCACATTAAAAGCGTTTCTATACCGTGAACTTTATAAAATGTTTATTCCGTCCAGTCCAGAACGTTGCAGAGGAGCCTCACAGCAGCAGAGGCCTAACCACGCCTCTAACAACACGACTGATAAAAACGCATAATAACACTACTTATAAGAATATATAACGTATTATCATTATTGTTATTATTATTATTATTATTATTAATAAACACATTTACCTTTAAATGTGATTCAAATCTCACTAACATCCAACAAATTGGTCTTTCACACATTCTTGGCGACCATTTACCCTCAGACAAACACCTTCAAGGGTTGTTACAAATTACAAATAATAGTATTATTGCCCCCTAATAATTAAAAACTGAGGGCATTGTTTTGTGTTCTTCATTTTCGTTTAAAGAAGGCCCCAAAATAAGCGCAGATTTTGCACGCTTATATCTCACATTTTGCAGACGAGAAATGATACAAAAAGTCGATTTTCACTGCAAGTGTTTGGTCCCACGTGATAGTAATGATCACACACAGCTGTTAGTAAAATACGGTGTTATCCTGGATTGTTAATAAGTGCTTGGTCCATCGGTGTGCAGGACCCACAGAGCATTAAAGATGTCGACTGGCCACTTCTTTGGCCTTCCGACGAAAACAAACAACAAACAACTGACAACCGCCTCTTTCTCAGCATGTGGCCAATCACAGAGCGTGTGGCCCGCACCCTAGCCGTGATGTTTACGCCCCCAATAAAGACCTGCCAACACGTTTGTGGCGCCACAGCTATTGGCCTCTTTTTTGTGTTCAGTCTAATTCGAACCTCGGCCCTAGATTCTGGTTAATTGACGCGTGCTGATGCCAATGGGAGAGCTTTAAATGTTGTAACCGAAACCAGTCTGGCCACGGCCCTTGTTTGCATTCGATATAAGTGGAAAATAAGCCGTGGCTTTATGTTTTGTTGCTTGTGCTAATATGCTGTGCACGAGTAGACCATCATGTCTTCTAGAAAGCTGGTAATTTTTTGTTCTCACAAGAATACATTGGGATCCATGCAGAATGAGTATTGTATAAGTTTTTTTTTTTTACTACAATACTTTTTTGTGAAGTAATGAGACAACATTCACAAGTGCTTAGTGGGAACTATGGGAGCCTGTCCGTTCAGCAAACAGTTTTTAAAATAACCTTTTCTGTCCCCGAAAAAAAGCTGATCAAAAATGAACAAGAGGCCAAAAAACATGAATTGTTTTGATGCTAATGTAATATTACTATTGATGCTTGTGGGGCTGCCTGCAAGTTTTTTTTCCTTCATAAAAACTATATAAATAAATGATGGTATACGGTCACTCGCTTTCGGCCATCATGGTATTTGATAGTAGCTAGAGGGCGATGTTAGCCCTCAGTTGGTAGGAGGCATTGGCCTTAAGCCCAGAAGTCGTGGGTTCATATTGCTTGGCGTTATGTCCTGGGGCAAGACAATTAAACCCCTCTTTGCCCAAAGCCCCACACTGTAAGATCTAGGCCTATGCTCACACTCTGAGAGTGACAGCCTGTCCCTCGTGTGGAGACCTCAACCACCTGCTGAGGGTCTCGTGAGGGGCTTGGTGCTATGAGGACTGGGTGGCATTCTTCTGATTGGCCACCCCTCCTGACCCAGAAATGTGATATTAATGGGGTAGAATAATGCATGGATGGTATGGATGGATGGTATGAATAGTGTGATTGATGATGAGGCGGTTCACACAAGCAGGTCTCATTCCATCAGTGAGCCCTAGGGTAGCTGTGGCTACAGTTTATTGATAAAAGATTTGCCACCACACTTAATGCCTTCTTATACACAGTCAGTGTTTCGTAATCTTTACATTACTGAAATTATCAGTGAGTCTGTACAACATGGAAGGAAACAGTTTGCGTGTTCTCTTTTTTTATCAGGACATGCAATTCACAGAACACAGATTGTTAAATAATCTATATACAGTCTATGCACTGGGCTGTATTTAAAATGATCTATACTCAATTGGATTATCCTGCATTTTAAACTAGTACTAAATTACATTTGTTCAATAAAAATATTTTTGATCTTGACCTGCAAGTCTTGACAGCTCGTATTAGTTCCAGGGCAAGTTCATTTCACAAAGTCCAAACCATTGAGTGGACATTTCATGTGACGCTTTCTTGCAGAGACTATTTGAGCTTATTTGTTGGTTGGTTCAATGGTTTGTATTGCAGAATTCATTTTCAAACAGTGTTCACATGAGCTCTGATGTTTTCACAATTTGCATGCCTGGAATCCAAAGTTTTTCAAAAGAGTCTTAAGGAAGTATACAGTTCTGGAAGGGGGAAAAAACAGGGATTCTCAAACTCAAATGTTCAATGCTGTAAGTTTAGGACGAACCATTTAACATGGTTTCTTTAGTCCGTTGATTTGGCAAATAAAAAGTCTCCTCGTGGTATTTTAACTGTCCAAGCAACGTTCAACGGTTATTAGCAGGCTGTAGACCTGTTGCTGTTGCCGTGGTGAGTTTGAGGCGTCGGGAAAGGTTGCGTTCAACGGATTGAGGAAATTGCTGATGTGTCCAAATGTGATTCTGGGGATCATCCACGGTGTCTATCGGATTAATATGGTCCAAATTCGACCCTGTTCTGTGGACAATCTAAAACAAACAATGAATTGTCAGGTTTTATAATAATGATATTTCAAACTTTATACTATTTCAAGATGCCAAGTGATTATTTAAATGTACTTTTGAGATGCAGAGGCTTGATGTTGTGCCTCTGATGAGCTATTTAATGTTAATTTATCAAACTCTAAAAGATGTTACCCAAATTTTTCTGGTAAACGTATGATCTCTGGTTGGTCTACTTGGGGGGTGGGGCTAATTGTGGAGTAGAATTAAATTTCGAGTCATTTCACAGAAGATGGATTTAGCTGAACATAGGTTTTATGTGATGAAAACCTGTTAAAAACTCAATTTCACTTTTTATTTTGTTCATCCACTTTTCCTGGGGTTTTTTCTATGGGGATATTGTGTCTGAGTGAATAAGGCTGAGTAAAAACAAAAACGGTGCTTTATATTTTGCTACTACTTTCTGTTTGTAATATTTTAATGGGTGTTCTGTTTTTAGTTTTTAGTAAGTTGTTTTTTCATTTATTTGCTTGCTGTTTTTTTTGTGTCAGTTTAAAAAAAGAAAGGAGCAGCATGAATATGTATGCCCACACTGATTGAATGTATGAGTTCCATTTTTTTAACATTATCGTCCATTTTACTGGATCAAAAATAAGTATAGTCTTTCTGCCTTTATGGTTCCACTAAGGTAATGTACTTGTTTGAACAATGTACTTCAACATTGATCTTCGGAAAAATGGCTTCTATGAACATTTCTTTTTGTTCCTTGTTTTTATTTTGTACACTGTATAAAACTATGAAGATTTTATAGTTTAACAAAAGTCCAATTGATTTATCCTAATACAATAGAAAACAACAATTGTTAAAAATAGAACAAAAGTCTTACGATCGATGCTCTGTTTGATGACTAGAATGATATCCGCTTTTCTCATGGAACAATTGTCGGTTTGTTGAGCCTAAAATGCTCGTATGCACTGCATCTGTGGAAAGTTTGCTGAACACACACAAAAAATTATTAAGATATGAAAAATAAATTAGATTCTGTTAGCAACTTTGAGCTTTTGAAGCAGTTTGTGAAGCAATTTTTAATGCCATTGATGAAAGACATCAATAAAAGCCTGGTTTTTTAACATTTGCTTGTTTTTTATTATAAAAAATCATAATTCTATGAGCCAGAATATAAATTGTTCACTGGCAACATTTACAGAAATAACAAGCGCAACCTTTATTTTTTTGAACTAGGCCAAAAGAAGACGATCTCTCACCAGCGCTCAACACACTTCACGGTCACTCTTACTTACCTGTATATCTTTGTTATTACATGGAGGTTATTGGCTTGAGAAATAACTGTAAATCTACATTTGTAAGGAGAATAGATTGGGCCATATTTTCATGCTGTGAAAGTTATGTCACAAAGTCTTTTTTAAACAGATAAACTGGTTGTGTTTTGATAAGGACGCATCTAATTTTGAAGCTTTCCTGAATAAGAATTAAAATAAACAGGTTTTGTTTTACAGAAAAAAAGACATGAAAACTCTGTTGCCATGTTTCTTCAATTGTGGTATAAACCCAGTTCTACATAAAGATACTGACGTCAACAAGGACATCCATTGATTGTATATTTTTCTGTACTTTCTTTTGAGACATGGCGTTTGTTTGCCTACACCCTTTTTTCTCCCTTTTTGCCGTAAAAGTGAAATATCTACTGACCTTGAGCTGTGGGGAAATAAATGTCGACTTCGAATTGGCCCCGTGACAGGCAGAGATTTCCCATCTTAGCTTATTCACTTCTGCGAAGTGCAGGGATTTAGTTTATTTCACTTATGGTGCAATAACCTTTTTTGTTGGGACATAATCACATAAAACATCTCTTATATGAGCCAACAACATAATGGTCACTAAACGGGGTTTGTCAAAAGAGCCAAAGATACACACCTGAGATTATCAGGGTTGGGATAAGTTGTGGAGATGAAAAGACTGGCTTCAAAACTCTCGTGTAACTGGGCCTACTTACAATGCGTCACCTCAGGTTGCAGGGGCAGAAGAAGTGTGGACAGTTGATGGGAAGGTGTACGGAGCCAAATTCAGGTACAGTATTAGATGAATAGTGCTGTGTGGGGATTCCACCTTAGTATTTACTCATTGCTTATTTTACTTATACTATAATTCTATGATTTTAAGAAAAAATGAAATAAAGGATGCACTTTTTTTGCCGTCACACACATTGTTAACTGTTGTTTGTGAACTTTTAGGAAAAAAAATAACATGGTTATGGTTGTATACAGACATGACTCCTCCCTTTATGGATTTTGACCTTAAAAAAACACACTCACAGTTATAATTTGTTGAAGATTACAAGATAGTTATGGGAAAAGCAAGAACAGAAATTGAACCATTTTTAAATGATATATATAATTGTTGAGTATTGTTATATGAAATCTCAACATAGTAAAGGGGACTCTTTGTTTTGGGTTGGTCACTCACTGAGTGTCCGTGCCGCAGCAGCAGGGGGATTTTATGGACATGTGCAGTCTGAATACATTCTTCTGGAGCGTGTTGAGTTTGATCTGGAAGTTCTCTCTCTGAGCTCAGAAAACGGACATGATGTCGATCACAGTGAAACCGGCCTCCTATGCCAACAAACAAGGACATAGATCAAGATAATCTGGTTTTAAAAATACCTCTGTATGATGCGAATATGAAGAGCATTCACATAATATATATAGTTGTTAGGGAAAAAAATTAATTTTGCACTCTAACCATAATCATATCAAGTTTACCCCTTACAACAGACCATAATAACAATTTTCTTTTGGCCCTTCTCTCCGCATCAATAATGTTTTGAGGATATATGACATTATATTGTACAATTAAAAAGTCTAAATACAATTTTAATCAATAATTATATCCGGAATTTTACTAAGAAAAATTAATATTTTACTTATGTTTGTTGCTTTTTATGTTGTATTATACTTTTATGTTAAGGTCCTATTCATCTTTATTTGATCAATACTATGACTGCTCACTACAGTTGGCCCTTAACAGAAGGTATATTCATATGTTTATCTGTTGTTTAACATTACCTAATCCTTTTGGCTCCCATGACAGAACAGTGAGATTTTACCTATACAGGCACGTTTTTGCCATACTACCAATGAGAAATGGGTAGGGGCTTTTTCCTTAGAAAATTACACAAATGCTGAAAATATGAAAACTGTTGAAAATTAATATTTTAGGGAACCAGACTACTAAATTACCCATATTTTCTTTTTAGTGAATATTTTCTCTCTTGCTTATTGCATGAGTAGTGGAAAATAAATACAGTATATAGTAAAAACCAAAACCAGGGCAATGCATCAAAAGGGAAACAAATCATTTAACGATGCACAGTTATGGATTTATTATTAGGTTGATTTGTTAATTACAATCTAATTTGTTTGTGATTTCAAGTTGAAAATAAAACAGACATACTCTTTTGTTGGGAAACCAGCAAGTTGTCGTTGAAACAAGTGCAATATAATACTCTTCTGTCCTTGAGGGGAAGTCCATGAGATATGTTACGTTTCCTTCTCGCATAAGGGATCCGGTGCTGATGACAGATGGGAGCGTCTGGTGGAAAAGACATCATCAGTTTAATAATGAGAACCTCACTTTATCACTTACACATATTTTTTCTGTTGCTTGCATTTACCTTGCACTCGAAGTCACTTTAGCGCTCAGAGAAAACCAGAGACTCTAGAAACGCAAGGAGGAAAAATACAGGTTATGCTTGATTCCCAGAAACGCAAGGATTCATGGGCCGCAGGGTTTAGAGAACTTGAAAAACCAATTATGTTGGCTGCAATGGAAGACGAGCGGGACGATCGGAAACAGAGGAGGAGAGAAGATGGAGATACAGAGAGGTTTAGGGAAAGGGATAGGGACAGGCCTAAAGATCGTGAATTCTACAGAAGAAAAGATGAGCGGCTGAGAGACCATTATCGTGACTATGAAGATAAAAAAAGAGGTGTGGACGCCGAAGGTCGGAGGGACAGATGTGACATGAGAAAGAACGACAAACCAAGAGCCTTTGAGAGAGAGTCTTCTGCAGAGCGGAGAAGGGACAGAGATGTTTACCGGGACAAGGCCCAGAGGAGGGATGGAAGGCGAGATACAAGGAGTGAAGGAGAGGTAGACGAAAGAGACAAGAGGAGGAGGGAGAGAGTGAAGGAGAAGGATGAGGTGCACTATCAGCATAGCAGGAGTGAGGGGGAGGCTAGGGCCAAGGGGGAGAAAGACCGTAAGGATCGTGATAGATATATAGAGAGATCGGATAGATCCAGAAATAGGGGTGATAGGTATAGAGATGATAGAGAGAGCAATAGGACGATGACAGATGACAGACGGCGGAAAAGAAGTCAAGACGGCAGAAGAAGAGAACAAAGATATATGGTTTCAGAGGACCATAGAAGAGAAAGGACATTTTCAAGGGAGAGAGCCAGAGATCCAGACAGGAGTAGCCAGTCACAGCCTCCTCTTGTGAGCCACAATAAAATTAACAAAGAGGCAATGCAGCAGTTAGAGCAGAGACCAAAGGAGGAAAATAGAAAAGAAAACAGAAAGATGTGGCTAGAACCTCAAAGAGGTCCGCTCGGCAGAGATGCAACTTTAGTGAGAGAGGGCAGAGAGGTGGTAGAGAGATTTATTAGTGAGGAAACAGAAGAGGTGAGTGTAGATGGAGAGTTGAATCCAATTTGGGAGAAAAGGCCTGAAAGTTTGACAGTTGATTCAGAAGATAACACAGACGATTTCGAAGACAACACACCGGAAAGTGATGACAGAAGTGATGAATGGTGTGATATGGACAGAGAGCGAATGCAGTCTGCGGAGGATGGATTTATTACAGTGTCCAGCGGCGGCGAAGATGAAGAAGATCGGGAGGATGAATTCAAAGACTGCATGGAATCCTTTGGAGGAGAGCAGGATTTGAACCAGGCAACATCAGATGACTCTTCATATGAACAAGGCAGAGACACCCCTCCAAAATATGTGTTCTGTGTGGTCGGTCAGCCAGATCACTCACCTGGTGATGATAAAATGGCAAAGAACTGGTCAGCAGCCCAAATTAAAATCGAACTCGAATATGATGAGGTTAGAGAGACATTGCCCGTTGTCACTTCTGTCGACGGTGTCAAACTGAGAAGCAATTCTCAAACTGAATTTGGAACAATTAAACGAGATTCGGAAACAGAAAGACTGCTTACGCGATGGAGGGAAAATCATAATGATGAGGAAGAAGGGCTTTCCCCTATACCGAGTAACCCTTATGCAGATGTGCCTGTTCAATTGCCTTATGAAAAAATACAATCCACTTTGCGGATATCTGGCCCTCTGACTCCCGAGGAAGAAGAAGCTATCCGGATTAGAATGAGCGGCGCTTGGAGCATGTCTGAGGAACCTAAACGGCACTCCCAAGCCCCCCACCTGAAGTGGGCAAAAAATGTGGTACGTGAGATCCTTGGACAATCCGACGAAAAGATTGACAGCCCAGAGGACACCAAAACAGAAAGGAAAGGCGAAGAGATGCCGATTCCAGTCATAAAAGCAGATGATGAGCTGGAGACCAAGGAGGAGGAATCTTTGGAGGGGTTAAGAGGTACGGACACAGGTCAGGAAGGCATGCATGGTGATTTGGGGACAGCTCTGCATGGTGATGGTGATGCACGCACGCACACAGACACAAATGATGCAACGCCTCCTGCTCATTTAGATTCAGTGGGAAATATTAGCGATGAAGGCAAGGTAGATTCCAATAATGAAAAAGAAGTGGACACTTATTTAACTGTTAACAATACGCTGTACAAGCCAAACAGTTGCCCTAGCCTTAATTATGAATTGGATGACCTAGAGGAGGGGCAGGGTCAGGAGGAGGATACATGTCTAAGTGAGGAGGGAGAGCACAGTCCTGAAGAATTGACAGAAGTTGCGGTGGAGGCAAAAGATAGCATGGAAGAGAGGCCAGAAAAAAAAGGAGTAGTGAACCTTAAGAGCAGCTGTAGTTTTCGAGATTTGGGTTCAGAGGCGCGTTTAAGAAGAAGGGGAATTCGCAAAACAACGACCAGAAGAAAAGAAGATCCTGTAAAAGAGGAAGAGGAGGAGGAGGAGGAAGGTGTGGGCAGAGATCGCAGACCAAGAATGTTCTCCACATCAGGTAAAAAGCATTGGGCGCTGCTGGTCTGCTGAATCTTGTCCTTGTATACTGCTCAAACCTGCTTAATAAGGCTGCATGAGCTAAAATTTGGTTAATTCTAAAAAAAACAAATAATATAAATTATTTATAAATTATTTTAATATAAACTGTTTAAAAATATTTTAATATTTAAACAAAACCAGAATGTAATACATGTTTTGAAACAGTAAGTGTAATAATCAAATAGGATTTGAGTTCTAGTTAAGATGTGTTCCGTAATTATACGTAACTAAACTTACTATTTGTAATTTTATTCCTTGTGTTTAAACTGAGAATGAAATTACTTGATTACCAAAAGCTTTTCAAAGGTGCATTCCTGGAGGGTCCGTTTCTTCCCCAAAATCTTCTCCCTTTGCCTGAAATCTACCACAAAATGGCATTAATTTTGCATTTAAGTTGGAAACGCACAACATTAGTAGTGTTGGGTGTAAGTAATTATTAAGAAGTAATTAAGAAATTAGTCACTGTAATTAGATGTGGTGTAAAATACTTCTGATTAAATTACAGATTACTATCAAAAGACTAATTTTATTTATCAGTATGTACGGGGAGTGTTCTTCCCTGCCGGGGGACTACGGATGTAAATTAGCTTAAGGCTAACTCCAGTACAATGCATCAAAAGAAGACGTTTATGTTCTAATTGTACACGGTCCCTATTTTTAAAAGAATAAATAGTTACACTCAAACATGTGTTTCCAATTATTATGACAAAAGTTATCTCAAAGCAATGCAACTCAGTCAGTCTCAAGAAAGTAACTAAGTAGTGTAAAAGTAGGTAAAAAGTAATTAATTACGTTCTCAACATTTTTAGACCTAGGTATAGGCTTAAGGTGAATTTAACTATAATGCAGCACAATGTTTCTATCTACAATGTATCTGTGCAAACTAGATCAAGACAAACCAATAGTTCAGATCTAAAATTTTCATGCCTAGTTATTCCTTATTGGCAGTGTTTAAGTAACAATAATTCACTTTTTCCTTTCATATCACCCTTTTCTTGATCATTTTAATCACATTTCTGTCATTACACGCTGCTTCTCAAAATAATGTGATAAAGATAGGATCAGTTTAGTCGTGTGTGCAGAGTTTACACTACGTCACTTTGCTGCAGTTTGTGGGTGTTGAGCTGAAGAGGAGGGGCCAGAGAAAATTTCCAAAGTTGAGCCATAAACAGAGGCTTGAAAGAACTTTGAATCAGTCTACTGGGACACGTTTTAGAAACTGCTACTATATTTATTTCAGTTCTCATTTAATTTCTTTTAATTCTTTTGGGAAAGTGATGCAATTAGTTTCATCAATGGGATTGTGTTTAATTCTAGATGATGAGAACGAACGAAGCAAAAGCTGGGGAGAGCTGGATCTAAGGTGAGCATACTGTTTGTTTACTGTAAGTAGAGATGTCAACTTGTCAAGATCTTTAATCCATAATTGTGATTTAGATCACAATATAATCGTAAGATATATATATAGTGGATATACATATGTGTGTGTGACATTTTCAGAAATATGTTCATTAATCTTAACCCAAGTAAGTGTAAATCTTGAAGTATTTTGATTTAGTTTTTTTGTTGTCAATTTTTGCAGTGGAAGATTAACAATTTCAGATTTTCTCCAAATAGTGGTAATGATTGTGAATTATCACAATCATATCACAACAATTACAATTGTTTTTATTGTGGCATCCTCAGTAGTAATGTGTGTATAATTAAAGTAGGCTGTTGAATGTTTTTTCTACTTCATGTAAAAGTGACATAAAAGGTGATAATTCGATTTTGTCGTTGTTGCAGAAATATATTGGATACCCTGGGAAAACGAAAAAGGAACTCCAAGTTTTTCAGTAAGTGTCTGTAATACTGTGCAAAAGGAAACAAAACACTGTATTGTTTCAGTGTCTTTACAGCATTGTAGATAAGTGCAGCCACGTATCCTGTCAGTTCAAAGAAAGAACCAGGTCGTTTTCTGTGAATCGCATCACTCACATCTATATTATGATGACACAGAGGGGTTAGTCTATTAGATAAAACAAAAATCTGACTGTCTTCTCTAACTTCTATTGATTACATTATTATAGAGTAGCGTGGGTGTCAAAAATGTGGACCCCAGTTAGAATAATTAACTTGCCAGCATGGAAGGTTAGAGGTTAATTGTCTACCATGACCTGTTATACATTTGCTGTCTTAAACTAGTGTAGTTGGGCATTTTTAAGTTGTCTGAAAATAAATAATGGACCTACAATTCAGTCTACAATTATTATACGTTTACTTGATTACGTCAGTTACTATCAGTTCATGGGCCACAAATTAATCAGGCAGCTGGGATACCTAAGACTTTTCTTTCATCAATAATCATATTTTTTAAAATTTATTTTGTAAAAGTTTTCTAAAAGCAGAAATGTTTCATCAGACCACAACACTGTCTTCCTCTCAATAGAACACGTGTTCATGTTTGTCAAACTTGTATGAAAGATCCCTGCAAGTCATCATGACCATGATTTATCATTACACTTTATTAACACAAAGCGTTAGATTAAAACCCTTTGGGCTGAGAGTTGATGACTGGGGCGGGGTGGAATCTATTCTTTTTTCTTTTGAAAAGCTGTGACACAATTCAAAACATGTGAAAATGAAAGTTCAGAAACAAACTGATTCGGATTTTCAGAACAGGATTCTCTTGAAGTCACCAACATTATGTTGATGAAATCAAATTGCACTGTAGAATGGAACAACAAGAAATATCAATGCTTCTTTTGCTCTCCATTGTACAAGTATCAGTATGATGATGTCCGAGCCATCAGCCACAGGTCAGATGACACTTTGAAGTTTGAGCTCGTTTTAAAATCGCCACTTTGTATCGTCGTGTGAAGAGTCAGTGGCTGTTGAATAAAAACTAATTCATCAGCACAAAAAGCTGCGTATGTTGCAAAAGGTGGTGCAGGAGAGTGTGTGTGTCTGCGCAGGCCACAGGCAGGTTTGTGCATGCACTCCCATCTCTAGCAGATGTGGAAAAGGAATGTCAAAAGCAAAAAACGGCTCACACTTGTCTGTTTTGACGGAAATAAATATAAAGTATATACTGTTTGATAGCCAACTTTTAACAGATCCTCTGATCTCTAGTCCAATTTTTGGTCTTGTATATACTGTGTGTTTTGATATGCAGACATTGTCAATAATATACAATGACACAGCATCAGAATGGGACAAAAACATGATGTAATCAGAATCAGAATCAGAATCATTTTTATTGCCACGTAAAGTAACAGGAGGTCACAGACTAGGAAATTGCTTTGGCTCAGTGCAACAGTCAAAAAGAGATAATAAAAATAAGAATAAAAAAACACTTCTAAAGAATAAATTTAAATTTAAAATAGAGTTACAGTTACTATTTACAATGTACAAGTGCACATGGTGCACACAATGTAAGGTGACAGCAGTACAGTGAAGTAAAGTGACGTATGATGGGCAGTAAAGTGACTTTATAAAGGGCGGGGGGACAGGTTAAGAAGTGTTCAAGAGTCCAACAGCAGAGGGGAAGAAACTGTTCTTGTGGCGGGAGGTTCTAGTCCTGATGGACCGCAGCCTCCTGCCTGAGGGGAGTGGATGGAATAGTCCAGTGTTTTTCAACCTTTTTTGAGCCAAGGCACACTTTTTTCACTGAAAAAATCTTGCGGCACACCTCCAGGAGAAAATGTAAAAATGTATACAGTACTAATGTAAAAAAATATATACTGTACATACTCTGTGTGATATATAAAGTATATCTTATCTTATAATGTATACAGTATACTCTGTAGCCTATATTCACAATATACAGTTATTCTCATCAAAATGCTTAAGTCCAGGCCTTGAAATTAAGCTTTATTTAATATTTCTCGATACAATTAACAAGAGTTTGGGAATAAAGTGGCACTAACTGTGTGGAAAAAAACTAAGAAAATCCACTCTCTGCCCAAATAGTCAAATAATAACTCACACAAAGAACATGCATTGTTAGTGCATGGGAAACATTTTGGTATCCGAGCTTTAAATTCAGGAGTTTTGGATGAGGGACACGGGAGGTCCTGAACGCGAGTCCATGGTTCTGTCCGGTCCGCATGTCTGTGGTTCTGTCCACTCGACTACGGTCTGCGCTCGGTACCCAGTTCAGAAGTGCGTTCGCGAGAGCTGTTGTACAAAAATTGTACATTTCATAGTTAAACCACTACAACGCGGCCACAGCTACCCCGGGGCAGAGCGGAGGATGTTAATCCTGTTCAGAAACGGCATAATTCATTTTCAAAAACGTCTCTATCACTTTCACTTCTCACTCGCCACAAAGCTCTTGTCTCGCTCCCTCACACATTTGTTGGTCGCATCCAATTTTACCTTTCTCGCCACAATGCTGACCTGTTACAGCCAGTGGTCGCATCCAATTTTTCAGTTTCAAAGTACTTAGCTATCTGCTGCCATCTACTGATTTGAAAAAGTATTACATGGTTACTCACAGTTCAAAACAAGTCACCGCTCGTCAACAGCGAATGCAGTTATTTTTAGACGAATTTCTCACGGCACACCAGACAATATCATACGGCACACTAGTGTGCCGCGGCACAGTGGTTGAAAAACACTGGAATAGTCCATGTGCAGGGTGAGAGGGGTCGGCTGTGATACGACCAGCCCGGCCTCGAGCTCGGGCGACGTACAGGTCCTGCAGCGATGGAAGGCTGCGGCCGATCACTTCCTCTGCAGAGCGCACAATGCGCTGTAGTCTCTGTTTGTCCCTGACTGTGGCTCCAGCGAACCACACGGTGACGGAGGAGGTGAGGATGGACTCGATGATGGCCGTGTAGAACTGCACCAACATCTGTGCAGGCAGCTTGGCTTTCCTGAGCTGCCGCAGGAAGTACATCCTCTGCTGGGCCTTCTTGATGAGGGAGCTGATGGTCGGCTCCCACTTGAGGTCCTGGGTGATGGTGGTGCCCAGGAAACGGAAGGACTCCACAGAGGTGATGGGGGAGTCCATCACGGAGGGTGGGGGCGGGGGGACAGTGCTCTTCCTGAAGTCCACAATCATCTCCACTGTCTTCTGGGCGTTCAGCTCCAGGTTGTTACCACTGCACCAGGACACCAGCCGGTCCACCTCCCTCCTGTAGGCGGACTCATCGTTGTTGGAGATGAGTCCAATGAGGGTGGTGTCGTCCGCGAACTTGATCAGCTTCACTGAGTCGTGGCTGGAGGTGCAGTGGTTGGTGTACAGGGAGAAGAGCAGGGGAGAAAGAACACAGCCCTGTGGGGCTCCTGTATTTATAAACCGAGAGTCCGAGACATTCTTCCCCAGACGCACTCGCTGCTTCCTGTCCGTCAGGAAGTCAGTGATCCACCTGCAGGTGGAATCGGGCACGTTGAGCTGGGAGAGCTTGTCCTGGAGCAGGGATGGCAGGATCGTGTTGAAGGTAGAGCTGAAGTCCACGAACAGGACCCTGGCGTCGGTCCCCGGGGAGTCCAGGTGCTGTAGGATGTGGTGGAGGGCCAGGTTAATGGCGTCGTCTACAGATCTGTTGGCTCTGTAGGCGAACTGCAGGGGTCCAGGAGGGGGGAGGTGAGGACTTGAGATGGGAGAGAACCAGGCGTTCAAATGACTTCATGACGACAGACGTAAGTGCTACAGGTCTGTAGTCATTGAGTCCTGTGATCCTGGGCTTCTTCGGGACGGGGACAATGATGGAGGATTTGAAGCAGGCCGGGACATGGCAGGACTGCAGAGAGGTGTTGAAAATGTCCGTGAACACAGGAGTAAGCTCACTGGCGCAGTGTCTCAGAGTGGCCGGAGACAGGTGGTCCGGGCCAGGAGCTTTGCGGGGGTGCAGCCTCAGGAAGAGTTGTTTAATGTCTTTAGAGGCTATTGTTAGGCATGTTGGTGATCATCAAATAATCAGACATACTGACCTAAGGATTTCACAGACCCCGTTTGTTCAATGTACATTATTGAAACTCTTATAAACAATGTGTTGATTGTTTTTTTTGTTTTTTTTTTGCTGCGCTGAAAACCTACCTTGGAGTATCAAATCCCTCTGTTTGTCAGTAGACATGATAATAGTGACATGAAAATGGTGTTACGGTGGTATCGGAGTTGAGCATCATGATTAACATAAACAAACTAGTGTAATATGCTTGTGTGATCAACTGTGCAAAATGCAGTCTAATTCTACGGAGCAAAAGAAGTTAAAGGTTTCCCATAAAAGAATTGAAAGACCTCAGACTATTCCAATCTGTTTTTTTGTATTATTTGTGGCACGAGGGACCAATATTATGACTAAAAACAGTCCATCTGTGATCTCTAATAGAGCTGCTTTATTCCATAAACCCAGTTGCATCAATGAGCTCTGTCAATACAATCAGAAAGTCTATGCCCATGGTTTTACAATATCGCAGTGTCCCGGCTATCATCGCATACACATTCACTTATAAAAAGGTTTTCAGGACAACAAATTGAAGCATAGACTTGAATAGACAAACACATCTGTGATAAATACTGCCAGCCTTTATACCTTTTATCATTTATACGGAGCTTAATATAAATATTTTGATTATGGAATAGGGGAATATTATATAATACTTTCCAGTAAAACAAAAAGTACCGAGGCCTGAGGGTCGTGAAGATTTGGTCACATATTTTGGACATCTCTGCTTTATCCTCACGCTCCACTTTCTCTCCAGAGGCCGCTCAGCTCTACCAGCAGTACAGTGAAGCGGCCCAGAACTTTGAAATCCTCCGGCAGGCACGCTCAGATGTGGTGTCAGTGGTTGAAGTGTCCTCATCTGCGGCCACATCGCCCCTCCCGGCGCGCAGACCGCTCCCCCCTCTGCCCCAAAATCCTCACCCGCACTCCCTGTCCCACACGGGCTCAGTGTCCAGTGTCCAGAGCTTGCCACTGCCTCCACCGCCCGCACACAGCCAGCGGCGCGCCTCCTCTCCGCGACTCTCCATTTCCCTGGGGCAGTCGGCCACACTCTGGAGAGATCTGCCTGCGGTGAGGAACAGCCCTGAGCTACAGGAGCTGACGGAGGACCAGAGGCGGCTGCAAGAGGTGAGTTGAAAGAGATTTGCTCCAAATGACTTGGGATTATGTTGTTACGTTGCTCCATTTTAGATATAGAACAGAATATCCCACTAGTACCACTAGATGAAGGAGTTTCACTACTTTACACTTTATACATGTTTATCCACGTACTTTCAACTAATATATGTATAATATACTTATAGTATAACATTATATTATTATATTGTTCATTTTTCTTTTAAATCTGTTTATTTTCTCCTTGTCTTTGTGTTCTGTCAAAAATATTCAACAACCTACTGAAATTAGATTTCTTCAGTGACATTAGATCAAATAGCACAATCATTTACTCAATTATTACAATGAAAGTAGAATGATGTGTTGAATTATTACTATTAAAACATTTTACATCTGAGGGGATCGCAAGTCTGTTTCATGCCGAATTTGGGGGTCTTGTCCTGAAAAGTTTTGGAACGTCTGACATTATGAATTCTGTGTTGAGTCTTGCTCATTATGTTGGGGCTCTTGTTTCTGGTTCATATAAACTGCATTTTTCTAATCCCCTAATCTAATATGACTTGTATATACCTACTATAACTGATGTCTCTTATTGCTTCGAAGTTTCTTTTAATAAGACAAAAATGTAAAGAAGCTAGTACTGCTTAATTACCGAACAAGTCTGGCAGAAGACTTCCACCTTTGTCAGAGGTTTATGGAATCTCTTATATCTAAGACGTTAGCAAAGATGTTTGTAATGTAATGTATACAAGTACAATTCAGGGGAAATGATGAATCTCCTTTTCATGTGCAAACTTGCTCGTAAAACAACCCCCCGAAAACCCCTGCTGTCGTTCGTCACTAAGACCGTAAATAATTTTTTCTAGGAACTTTGAGATGTTGCAAGATGTGAATGAGTTTGGCCCCATGGGTGTTGCTCACATCCTTCTCAAGTGGCAGCTCTGTGGGCTTGTCAAAAAGAACAATGAATTATAATAAATGTTATCATTGTTATATTGTATAATTCCACTACACAATGGAATGCATCTTTCACATTGTCTGAAATGTCCCCACTGTGGGACGAATAAAGGATCTCTTAATTGTAATCGTATATTAGCTCTATCTATGTAATAAAGTGGAAGACATACTTTTTTAGTTATTTACTTTGAAATGTTTAAAAACATTGGCTGCATTGGCTTCGAAAGTAGATTATTTAGTAGTAGAATCCTTGTACATGTCATTTTCATTTACTTCTGTCTATATTTCATCTTTTTAACCCCTCTGTTGCAACTGCGTATCATAGGTTCTGTTGTTTCCATTATTTATTAACAATGTGTCCCAGTCCCATCTAATAATGGCACTTGCATATGTTTTTGCGTGTGTTACATATATCTGCTTGTTTGCTGCCGTGTCCAGGTGCGGTTTGAGGTGGTCACTTCAGAGGCGTCATACTGCAGGAGTTTGGACATTGTGGTGGAGCACTTTGTGAAGTCTAAACAGCTGGGGGCGCTGTTGACCACTCAGGACAGAAACTGGCTGTTTTCCAGACTGGGAGATGTCCGAGCCATCAGCCACAGGTAAGGCACTGTTCATGATGCTGTGTTTACTGTATTTAACTTATAAATAAGGACTTTAACCAGCACTTTGTCTACATTTAGCCATGTCTTTGTTTTGTGTTCTTTGTCCAACATAGACCATCTACAAAATGCTATTCTTACTGATCGAAGTGGTGGTTTTTAAAACGGATATTTTGTGATAGAAATTGTGTGTTTGTAAAAGTTGTGTACGGCTCAATGGAGTGAAGAATGTGATTAAACAAATGTTTTGCTTTATTTTACAAGTCAATTTAATGGAAAAATGTGTACAAATCCAGTTGGACCCACTGATGCTTTGTTTTCTGTAGCACCTTAAAGACATTATATCAGAACATCGCTATACTGTAGCCACAGCTGCCCTGGGGTAAACTGACAAGAGTGAGGCTGCTTATGTGACCCATCAACCACTAAACCACAAAAAGAAAAATCCCACATGCATAATATTCACACAGCATTGCAGGTGATGCGTCTTTCCCAAACAGTTTTTGCTCTAGAATTGTCCCACTGACACTGTGACAACTGGTATTCCGGGCGGTCTCCCATCCATATACTAGCCTGGGCCCGTACCTTAGTTTCTGGGATTTTTATGTTTTTCTACACTTGTACAGCCATATACGACTATCACTATATGGAATTCTTTAGCTCGGATTGGTCTTTCTCTTTCAGTTTTCTGTCCAAACTGGAGGAGAAGGTGGAATCTGACGTCATGGCCTTCTCTGTGTGTGATGTCATCGCTCGTCACTGTCAGCGTTTCAAAATGGTTTACGTCCCATACCTGACAAATCAGTCCTACCAAGATGCAACCTACCAGCGGCTCATGTAAGATCCTCACTCGGTCTGGCTATAGTTATCATTATTGAATTGTTTCTTTTCATTTTATCAACAAAATATAATACTGCTTTGAAGGAATGAAAATCAGGGGTTCCGGCGCATCGTGGAAAAACTGGAGCGAAGTCCTCTGTGTCAAAGACTTCCTCTGCGCTCCTTTCTTGTTCTTCCTTTTCAGAGAATCACACGGATTAAGCTCCTGGTGCAGGTGAGACTTGAAGTAATATTTCAAACTATAACGATAAGCTAACAGGTGAAACATTTATATAAAACATTGTAGATTGAGATACAGTGACACCTAAAGACTTACAAAACTGGGTGGCACGGTGGCTGAGTGGATAGCACTCTCGCCTCTCAGTAAGAAGGTCCTGGGTTCGAGTCCGGGTCAGACCAGGGCCTTTCTGAGTGGAGTTTGCATGTTCTCCCAGTGTCTGCGTAGGTTTCCTCCGGGTACTCCGGTTTCCCCTACCACTAAAAATATGTAATATAGGTCTGGCATGCGCCTCCTGTTCGGCGACCCCGCTCCCATCTCTGTGTAGAGTGAGAGGACAAGTGCCCAAAAAAAAATTACAATTGTAAACCGCTTTGTGACTCTGGTCTGTGAAAGGCGGTATATGAATAAAGATTACTTACTTACTAGTATAATGCTTATGACCAGTAGTTAGTTAGTTGTGTATAATGTAAATGTTATGCAGATGTTGTAATATGATCTTTCTTTGCAGAACATTGTGAAGAGGACCACTCCAGGGACCCCACAAGCGATTCAAGCCATCAAATCTTTAAGACTTCTTGAAAAGGTCATTAGAATGTCCATTTGGTGTTCTTTGTAGATTAGACTTGTTTTTATTCAACATGAGACAAATGAGTAGGTACAGACTTGCTGGACTATATGTCACTGCTTTTTTCAAGTTCTCTAAACCCTGCGGCCTATATAGCAATACAGCCAATACAGTATTTTTTCCAGTGCCTTCTCGGTGCAGGAAGTGTTAGGACACATGTTAAGGAAATACACAGGACTTGTTTTTATGTGAAGTATAATCACTTTGGATACTCAATGACGCTTTACAAAGAAATACTTTTATAAAATGAATGCTAAAATTTTCTTTGTTTTTAGATTCAAGTCAAAAAATGTTTTCTTCCCATACAAATATTTAGCATACCTGTATTTCTCATCTAGTTAATTCAAGAGAGCAACGACAGCATCACTCAAATGAAAAGCATAGAGTCTCTGGTTTCTCTGAGCGCTAAAGTGGACTTCGAGTGCAAGGTAAATGCAACAGCAGAAAATATGTGTAAGTGATAAAGTGAGGTCTCATTATTAAACTGATGTGTCTTTTCACCAGACGCTCCCTCTGGTCAGTCAGTCTCGGATCCTGATGCGAGAAGGAAAAGTAACAGAGCTCATGGACTTCTCCCTCAAGGAACAAGAGAGGAGTTTATATTTGCACTTGTTCAACGACAACTTGCTGGTTTCCCAACAAAAAGAGTATGTCTGTTTTATTTTCAACTTGAAATCACAAACATATTAGATTGTATTAACATCACCTAATAATAAATCCATAACTGTGCATCGTTAAATGATTTGTTTCCCTTTTGATGCATTTGCCTGGTTTTGTTTTTACTTCATACTGTATTTAGTTCCTACTCATGCATAAGCAAGAGAGAAAATATCAGCTAAAAAGGAAAATATGGTAATTTAGTAGACTGGTTCCCTAAAATATTAATTTCAACAGTATTCAATAGTTTTCAGCATTTGTGTATTTACTAAGGAAAAAGCCCCTAACTTTCTCAGTGTAGGTAGGGCTAAAACTGCCTGTAGTAGGGTAAATCTCTTCTGTCATGGAGCCAAAAGGATTAGGTAATGTTAAACAAAGATAAACATATGAATATACATTCTGTGAAGGGCCACTGTAGAGCTGTCATTGTATTGATCAAATAAAGATGAATAGACCTTAACATAAGAAGTTAATACAACATAAAAGCACAAACATAAGTAAATTATTAATTTTCTTAGTATTTCAGGTATATTATTGAATTAAATTGTATGTAGACTTTTATATTGTAGCCAATATAATGTCATATACTCAAACATTTTGATGCGGTGTGGAAGGGTACAAAAGAAAATTGTTATTAAGGTCTGTTGTAAGGGTAAACTTTGATATGATTATTGTTTAGAGTGCATTAAAGTGTTTCCCTAACACTAATAGATTTTATGTGAAATGTCTTCTTCATATGTCATCATACAGAGGTATTTTTTAACCATGATTATCTTGTCTATGTCCTTGTTTGGTTGGCAGAGGAGGCCGGTTCACTGTGATCGACACATGTCCGGTTTCTGAGCTCAGAGTGGAGAACTTCCAGATCAAACTTCACTCGCTCCAGAAGAATGTATTCAGACTGCACATGTCCAGTAAAGCCCTGCTGCTGCGCACGGACACTCAGTGAGTGACCAACCCAAAACAAAGAGTCCCCTTTACTATGTTGTGATGTCATTACCACACTCAAACTATTATTTTTATCATTTAATGGTCAGATTTCTGTTCTTGCTTTTCCCATACTTCTTGTAGCTTCAACAATTATAACTGTGTGTGTGTTTTTTTAAGGTCAAAATCCATAAAGAGGAGTCATGTTTACAACCATAACCATTTTTTTTTTCCTGAAAGTTCACACACAGTTAACAAATGTGTGTGAAGGCAAAATTGTGCATACTTTTCATTTTTCTTAAAAATAATAGAATTATGTATAAGTAATATACAGCATGAGTAAATACTAAGTGGAATCCCCAGCACAGCAGCTTTTCTTCTAATAATGTCCTGTATTTGGCTCCGTCCACCTTCCCATCAACTGTCACTTCTCTGCCCCTGCAACTGAGGGTGACGGCAGTGTTAGGCCCAGTTTACACAGAGTTTTGAGCCAGTCTTTCATCTCCACAACTTTATCCCTGATAATCTCTGGTGTGATCTTTGGCTCTTTGACACCGTTTAGTGACCAGTTTGTTGTTGGCTCATATATGAGATGTTTATGTCATTATGTCCCACAAAAATGTTTGCACCTGAGTGAATATAACTAAATCCTCTGCACTTCGCAGAAGTGATAAGCTACGATGGATCTCTGCCCTGTCACGGCCACATTCGGAAGTCGACTTTTCCACCGCTCAAGGTCAGTTGTTATTTCACTTTTACGGCAAATGGGAGAAAAATAGGGTGTTGGCAAACAAACTGCCTTGTGCTCAAAAGATAGTACAGAAATTATACATTCAATGTATGTCCTTGTTGACGGTCAGTATCTTTTGTAGTACTGGGTTTATCCACATTGAAGAAACATGGCACAAGTTCAATGTCTTTTCTGTAAAACAAACCTGTTTATTTAATTCTTATCAGGAAAGCTTCAAAAGTAGATGCGCTTTTCATACACAAACAGTTTATCTGTTTAAAGGACTTTGTGACATAACTTCAGCATGGAAAATATGTCCCAATCTAATCTCTGACCAAATTGTAGATTTACAGTTATTTTCTCAAGCCAATAACCTCCATGTTATAACAAAGATTAACTGGTAGAGTAGAGTGACCGTGAATGGTGTTGGCGCTGGTTGAGAGATCGGCTCTTTGGCCTAGTTCAAAAAATAAAGGTTGCGCTTTTTTTCTGTAAAAGTTGCCAGTGAACAATTTATTTCTGCTCTTAGAATTATGATTTTTATAATAATATAACAAGCAAATGTTAAAAAACAGGCTTTATTGATGCTTTCATGGCATTAAAAAGTGCTTCACAAACTGCTTCAAAAGCTCAAAGTTGCTTAAAAGAATCTAATTTATTTTTCATTTCTTAATATTTTTTTGTGTGTGTTCAGACTTTCCACAGATGCAGTGCATACGAGCTTTTATGGCTCAACAACCGGACGAATTGTCTTTGGAGAAAGCGGATATCATTCTAGTCCATCAACAGAGCAGCGATCGTAAGACTTTGTTCTATGTTTATCATTGTTGTTCGTATTGTATTAGGATAAATCAAATTGGACTTTGTTTAGAACTATAAAACTTCATAGTTTTATACAGTGTACAAAATAAACAAGGAACAAATGTAATGTTCATAGAAGCCATTTTCGAAGCATGTTGAAGTACATTGTTCAAACAAGTTCATGACTTTGTGGAACCATAAAGGCAGACTATTATTTTGTGTTCAGAAAAGGAGCATATTGTTAAAAGAAATGAACCATTCATTCAATCATTGTGGCAAAATATTCATGCTGCCTCCTTTCTTTTTTTTACTGACACAAAAAACTGCAAGCAAATAAATGATAAACAACTTACTAAAAACTAAAAACAGAACACCCATTAAATATTACAACAGAAAGTAGTAGAAAAATATAAAGCTCCGTTTTGTTTTTCTCAGCCTTTTCTCAGACACAATATCCCCATAGAACCCCTGGAAAAGTGAATGAACAAAATAAAAAGTGAATTGAGATTTTTACAGGTTTTCACATAAATCTTATGTTCAGCTAAATCTTCTTCTGTGAAAGGACTCGAAAGTTAATTCTACTCACAATTAGCCCCAACCCCAGGAGACAAACCAGAGATCATAGTTACCAGATAATTTGGGTCATCTTTAGAGTTTGATAATTAACATTAAATAGCTCATCAGAGGGCACAACTTCAAGGCCTCTGCTTCACAAAAAGTCAGTTAAATAATCACTGTGGAATCTTGAATTGGTATAAAGTTTGAAATATCAGTATTTTAAAAACATTGAAATTCATTGTTGTTTTTGTCCTCAGACTGGGTCGAAGGGACCAGATTATCCGATAGACACCGTGGATGGATCCCAGAATCACATTTGGACCACATCAGCATTCCTGAAATCCGTGAACGCAACCTTTCCGACGCCCTTAAACTCACCACGGCAACAGCACAGGTCTAAAGCCTGCGAATAACCTGTGAACGTTTGCTTGACTGTTTGAAATAACCACGAGGAGACTTTTTATTTGCCAAATCAACGTCTATAGAACCATGTTATAATGGTTCGTCCTAAACTTACAGCATTGATTCATTTGTGTTTGAGTAATCCTGTTTTTCCCCCTTCCAGAACTGTATACTTCCTTTATGACTCTTTGAAAAACTTTGGATTCAGGGCCATGCTATTTGTGAAAACATCAGAGCTCTTGTGAAACTGTTTGAAATTGAAGTTCTGCATACCATCCATTGAACAACCACAAATAAGCTTCAAATGTCTCTGCAGAGAAATGCGTCACATGAATGTCTCTCAATGGTTTGACTTTGTGAAATGAACTTGCCCTGGAGCAAATACTGAGCTGTCAAGACTTGCAGGTCTAGATCAAATATTTTTATTGAACAAATGTATTTTAGTACTGTTTTAATGCAGGATAATTCCAATTGAGTTATAGATCATTTTAAATCAGCCCAGTGCATAGACTGTATATAGATTATTTACAATCTGTGGTTCTGTGAATTGCATGTCTGAGAATAAAGAGAACACGCAAACTGTTTCTTCCATGTTGTACAGACTCACTGATAATTTCAGTAAATTAAAGATTTACGAAACACTGACTGTGTTAAGAGCATTAAGTGGTGGTGGCAATCTTTTATCAATACTGTAGCCACAGCTTCCCTAGGGCTCACTGATGGAGATGAGACCTGCTGGTGTGACCGCCTCATCATCATTCACACTATTCATACCATCCATCCATCCATCCATCCATTTTCTACCCTTTAATCCATTTCTGGGTCAGGGGGGTGGCAATCAGAGATGCCACCCAAGTCTCATAGCACCAGCCCCTCACTGATCCTCTGCAGGTGGTGAGTCCACAGGAGGACGGCTGCTCTCTGAGTGTGAGCATAGCCTTGATCTTTCAGTGGGGGCTTTGGGCAAAGTGGGGTTAAGTGTCTTGCCCAAGGACATAACGACAGCAATTGAACCCACGACCTTCTGGGCTTAAGGCCAATGCTCTACCAACTGAGCTACTGTCGCCCTCTACTATTCATACCATGATGGCCGAAAGCGGAGTGACCGGATACATATTTATTATATATGTTTTATGGAAGGAAAAAAAACTTGCAGGCTGCCCACAAGCATCAATTGTATTTTACTTTAGCTTCAAAACATTCATGTTTTTGGCCTCTTTCATTTTTTGATCAGCTTTTTCGGGGACAGAAAAGTTATTTAAAACTGTTTTGCTGAACGGATCAGCTCCCAGAGTCACTAGCACTTGTGAATGTTGTCTCATTACTTCACAAAAAAAGTAGTACTTTGACAAGACTCTTTCTGACAGGGATCCCAAATGTATTCTTTGTGAGGAAAAATATTACCCAGCTTTCAGAAGACATGATGGTACATACTGTGCACAGCAGATTAGCACAAGCACAAAACAGAAAGACACGCTTTTTTCCACGTAGCTCGATGCAAACATGGGCGTGGCCAGGCTGGTTCGTTACACTTTTAAAGCTCTCCCATTGGCTCAGAACGCGTCAATTACCAGAATCTAGGGCGAGGTCAGAATTAGACTGACACAAAAGAGGGCCAATAGCTGTGCGCCACAACGTGTTGGCTGGTCTTTATTGGCGTAAACATCACGGCTAGGGGCGGGCTCTCGTCTGTGATTGGCCACAGCTGAGAAAGAGGCGGGTTGTCAGTGTTTGTTGTTGTTTTCGTGGTGCCAAAGAAGTGGGCCAGTCGACATCTTTATGCTCTGTGGTCCTGCTCAACGATGGACAGCTTTTAATCCAGGATACACCGTATTTACTACAGCTGTGTGTGACAATTCTACACGTGGGACCAAACCTTGCAGTGATATCGACTTTTGTATCATTTCTCGTCTGCAAAAGGTGAGATATAGCGTGCAAAATGTAGGGGATGTGCGCTTTCCTGTCTGAGCGCAGACTCCAGGCTTTTGTGCAAAGACCGTAGATCTCTCAGCTTGGGGAATGTTTATATGTGTGTAGATACCATTCTGTTTAATACACTTGAAACAGGATTGGCCTTTTTATGAACAACTAACACAAATGTAACGATATTATCAGTGCACCATCAGTGTAGCTGCAGTGACGTGGCTTATTTTGGGGCCTTCTTTAAACGAAAATGAAGAACACAAAACAATGCCCTCAGTTTTTAATTATTAGGGGCAATAATACTATTATTTGTAATTTGTAACAACCCTTGAAGGTGTTTGTCTGAGGGTAAATGGTCGCCAAGAATGTGTGAAAGACCAATTTGTTGGATGTTAGTGAGATTTGAATCACATTTAAAGGTAAATGTGTTTATTAATAATAATAATAATAATAATAACAATAATGATAATACGTTATATATTCTTATAAGTAGTGTTATTATGCGTTTTATCAGTCGTGTTGTTAGAGGCGTGGTTAGGCCTCTGCTGCTGTGAGGCTCCTCTGCAACGTTCTGGACTGGACGGAATAAACATTTTATAAAGTTCACGGTATAGAAACGCTTTTAATGTGGGGGACTGGCACAATACAACGTGCACATGGATGAATGTTGTGCTTAATGCCATAGTGTGGACTAATCCAGGCTATAACATGTTTATTTCAAATCCATGGCCCACAAGATCAAGTCAAATCCAAGACTGCTTTGAGTTTTCGTGGCCTTTATTCAAAGTCAGGTGCTGTATTTGCCCCCATTTGATGAGTTTTGTAAATGATAAAAAAAGTAGTTGCTTACATTTATTTTTGACAAAGATAGTTGTATTAAATATCTTTGCAATAAAGTTATATTTTATAGATGTATAATGGTCCACTACCTTCTGCAACCTTCTTGGTGGGGGGGTCCTCTTTAACTTTGGTCCATCTAAATATTTCTGTTTTGCATGGAATGTACCACCTTATGGCATTAAATACTCTATCTGCACTGGAGATAAGCAAGTGGCTTCACAGGGCTAAATAAAAAATAAAAGAAATCAAATTTTAGCAGAAAAATCCGTATTTTAATAATACATAAGGTCGATAGAATGCTGGGGTACATTCCAATCAAAGCATTAACATCTCCCACCATAAAGGTTGCGCACCTTTAAAACACCATAAAGGTTAACACCACAGGCCACCTCTGTCATATCTCCATCTTCTCTCCTCCTCTGTTTCCGATCGTCCCGCTCGTCTTCCATTGCAGCCAACATAATTGGTCCATGAATCCTTGCGTTTCTGGGAAGAGTGTCTCCCTTCTTGACGCCCCTATCCCCCTCTTTCTCATTCTCCTTTTCAATATTGGACAGTGGACGTACATTTCTTTTCTCCTCCCGACGATCTCGGGCAGCATCCTTGGGTACTTTGGGCCTCCTGTCTCTGTCATAGTATCTGTCACGTTCAGAAGGCTCCTTGTATCGCTCATCACGTCTCTGCTCGCGTCTCCGGTCGTCATCCCTCACAGTATGTCCCGGCCTTGGACTTGGATCTCTGGCAATTTTTCCACCTGACAGTAGCATGCGGTCAGACATGTTTTCAGTGGTGTCAAAGGCACTCCGGCTGGGCCTTTGTGTCCCCATTGTCTGCAATGAATCAACAAAACAAGTAGAATTTAGCTTAATTTAAGTTCCAAGAACTTGTAGTACTAGTTTACAAGGTGGAGTAACATGCACTTCTCAAATCTGACTGTGAGCTGAGAAACTTGCCACCTCCACAGAACAGCACTTGACTACATTTAAAAAACTACTTATTCATAAAAAAACAAGGCTGACCAGCATGACAATCCTCATTGATACAATAAATAAATTCAGTATGAATACAGTCTTAATTTGACATAATGAATGGGCAAGTCAATCTTAAGGTTCAAAGTCCAAATTCTGCCCTGAATAAATGACAAAACACTAATTTCTTGAGTCTCACACTATACATTCAAAACGTGTATGACCATTATTGACCATTTGAAACAATTATAATTCAGTTTAATTATTACTCATAGACATACATACATCATTACATACTGTTTTTTTCTCTTAGTGACCCGTACCTGCAAAATTCACAGTTAAGTAGTTGAGTGTGTGAGGCCTGTGACACATAGGCACGGCATGTAACAAGTCAGCCAAAGCCAAATGGGAATTGTGGTTTGTAGGTTAACCCATGACAAATTTACTCAAAAGGGATTAAAAACCAGCAAAAATAGAATAAAACAAAAGTCACTTACATGAATTGTTGCTTTGGGGAGATCTAGGCTCCCCTAAGGTCTCTCCAGATCAGCACACAAGCATTGGATTGCATAATAGTCTAGAATTCCTTCCAGCGTTTTCATTTTCCAAGTGCCATAGCATACATAGCAAAGGTTGTGCTGCAAACCATGTATCGACTGCTCTTCTAAGTGTTATTTTAATGTAACGCCTCAGCTCTCTCCCCGCTTTCCCTGCTTTTGCCCTTGTCTCCTCACCTCCCTCCTGCTTCAAATTCCCTGACAAGTCTCAACACATTGACAACTATCTCAAACCCTCCTCCTCCCTCCTTGCTCCGTCTTCTACTCTTGCTTGCTCCTACTCCTCTCGGCTAATCCTTGTGCTACAATAAATCAGAAAGAATGAGTAAGTCCAACAAATTTACAGAGGTCCTTTTCCCTCCCCCTGGGAGGATTTGAGCGGCTTGCCCTGCGCGGACCCCAGTGCAAAACAACTGTCTGCTTAAGCCTGGCCCATTCTTCCTCCACTAAACATAAGGAAGTGCACCTCCTTAGTGCCAGTGAATCCAGCCAGCGATTGGCTGACATGGATAAGCAGGGTGTGTCTGCATAGCATTCAGCCAGGTAGACTGTATGTGAGAGCAGGGGGGAGGGGAACAAACTGGAGAGGGGCGAAAGCAAAACAAACAGCAGATCTGCTCACCTAGATTACACTTCCCAGACTCCTACAAGACATAAACAGATAAAATAGGGAAATACTGTCATACCATGAAGCAATCAATTATCCTAAATAATACAAGAAGGGGTGGTTGCAAAATCTACTACTTAAGTATTGAAGACTCATGATTTTCTTTATAGTAAAAACCAAGAATGAAATTACTTAATCCTGTCTAAATGTGGATGTTGGTCTGTCATAGGCTAAAAAGGCTGAATTTTGAGCATTTTTTTTAAATGAGATATAGTTTGAATTAACTACAGGTTTGACAGAATGATTTCCTTATTATGACTATAATTTCAAAACTGTTTATTTTAAAATTCACAATAAATCAAGAAAGTGGCTTTAGAGAAGAAATGAGTATAAGGTACAATAAATATTCTTTGAATCTTTGAATGTTTCTTAGTAACAATAATTATTGGCAGAAAAGACTCTTAAAGCAATTAAAATACTTAAAATGAAATTAGAAAGTAAAATGCCATATAAACATTCAAACAACATGTAGTGCAAAGTTTAGGCCAGTTACCAGCCCATATTTTAAATTTATAAATGATTTATTTTGTTTGTTATAAGAGAGAGATAACATCCAATTGGGACTCCAGAATGAATGAACTCATCGGGCAAACAAACACTTATCATTAATTAAATCACCTGAAACAATTGGGGCGAGAAGAGAGAGTAATATGCCATTGTCCATGTAAAGTTGAAATTGAAGATTCTACCAGATATCCTTGAATTAATTTAATTAACTTCTAATTTAATAAAAATAGTCTAAAGTTCAATTGTAAAAAGAAAAAAAAGAAGAACAAATTAACCAAATTAAAGTCATTAACTTTTTAGCCATTTTATTTTTCAAAACATAAGATGTTCACACTAAAGGGTACAAAAGTGTGACAGAAGGCCAAAACCATGTATTTAATCAGAAGATATATTAATGTTTTTAATTTAGCCAAATACCTCTTCAGTCCATTAGTAGTTGCTAGAAGATAACTTTTATACATTAGTCAAATGTGTAGTGGCACTGTTTTTCTGCGTCACGGACATGATGCCTTTGACGGAATGACCTACGCAGGGATTTGTTAAATATTTTCAGATGTCCACATTTGATTAATATTTTTTAACACAGAGTAGAAACAAAGTGCTTACTTTCATATAGTAAACCAATTTAATGTGATACCAGATGATTTTTATTTTTATTTAAGTGGTTTTTAAAGTTTAATTTTTAGAAAATAAATGATGTAAACCATTACATTTGTTACGCATTTTTCAAGGGTCATTTAAATTTGTATTGATTATTTTTCAAAACTCATTCCTTTTTAAATCAAGTGATTTACTTATTAGTCATGTTAATCTATGTCACTGATGTTTATTTTCTATGTTACTGGCGTCACAGTTGACTTATCAAATCAGAGGCTGATCTGGTTTTTGTATTCATCAATCTTGTCTTTTATGATATGTCTGTGTTTGAATCTTTTTTTCTAATCTATGATAGTAATTTTAGTTTTTGAGTTATAACCTTTTAAAGTCCAGATACTATAATTGACACTTTATTGTGAACACATCCATAAACTAAATAGAACAAAGCCAACATACTATTGAGGTAATATTATAGTGGGCAGTATTACTAATCGCAGGGGAAAAAAGTATAAATGTCTCATTCTCTACTGAGCGTGGCTGCATACAAATCTGACCCATACTTCACTGAACCTACATCTTGTTTGGTCTCTAAATATTGCAACATAGACACAATTCTAATACCCTTGACTAATATGTGTGTGATGTTTATATATAGAGTAAAAGAGCAGCGTAACAGATAATAATCACATACGTTTTTGCATATTTACAGGTCTACTCACATACACAGTAATAATGTTGGCAGGGGAAGTGATATACAGGTAGTAATATAGAATGAGAGGCCCCTCGGTCCTAATTATGACATTAGATAGCCGTTACTATAATGACAGGATCTAGACAACTAAACAATTAATTGAATAATTGTCCAATGAGACAAGAGTAGAGCTTGCAACATCCTATGGACAGTTGAGAACTTTGCCAGTGATGAGAAGAGTGAGGAAGAGAAACTGCTCATGATCTAAAACAAAAATTGAACAGTAAAAAAATAGGGTGGTAGTATCAATGGGAGTATGGGACTGCTTATTTACTTATATAGGCAGCAATAAAAAGTGCTCAACTGATTCAACATTTATGGGATGGACAACTTTCAAAGCCTGAGTGCAAAAGTTGTTTGAAGAATGCCAGTTGAATATTTGGCTTCCGCATATCCAATTTGAAGTAACACCGCGCATCTGTCTTATGTAAGATAATAATGTAATAATTTCAGACTACTTTTTTAAGAGACTTGATTAATTGCCGTTATAAACATTTAAAATCCATCCTGAGAATGTTTTGTAGGCCAACATGTCTGTAGCTATGCCTATACTTACCTGCTCAACAGAAGAACGCAGGCTCTGTTTTGTCTTGCTGCTGCACTGGATGTTCTCATGCTAATTCCCAGGTAAACCTAATAGATCCATGAGGTAAGCCCATCCATGGGGTCAGGTGATAAAGATGTCAAATGGTTCCTAATAAGCAGCAAATAAGCTATGTTCCCGTTGTAATTATTATTGCCTTAAATTGAAAGAATACTCTATATCATATCACTGTTTCCAATTCAGTAAAAATGCTTTTCCTTTGTCGAGAATGTTTTTGTTTGATATGAACCCAATCACTTCCGAGCTAATTTATTCTGAAAATAAATAGACATTTACAGTCTTACAATAACCACTGACCTTTCATTCGAACTTATTTGTCTTGTAACGTCATGTGAACGCCTCTTAGATGAAAGTCACGTGGTCGAGTCTGTTTGGCTTCACTTCCGCATCTAGCTACTGTACCTGCATGCAGTTAGCTTGTTAGCTTTTGTAAACCACCCTGAGGAGATTTTCAAATACTTTTGGCATATGAAGCTGCGTCGCGTTTACTTGATCCGCGTTTGCAAAATAATCCCAGTTAGTTTTTTCATCAACTTTGTGATTGAAAGTGATGGAGCAAATAAGGAAGCGCTGTTAGCACAAAGCTAGTTTCCATAACTCAAACATCTGTCTTTCTTCGCAACTTTTTGTTTTTGAATTCTACCAGAAGATCTGATGGAGGTAATTATAACAAGTTCATGCATTAACGTTTGAGGATCGATACCATCTGTTAAAGGCGTGTAAAGTTAGGAACATTTGTCAGAGTACTTCTGCGCTCCACGTTTCAAATTGAAGTTCCCATTTTCAGCTGGTTGTACGCTTGCGAATGCGAAATTATTAATATATTTGGAAACTGTGTTGAAGCTGCAAAAAGAGATCTGAAAACCCTTTTGAGAGCGAAGGCTTCTGTGGGAGCAAAACTTATAAATATCAACTAGTTTCAATATCATCCTTTCATATCATATGTATGCCAATATACTAAGAGGAAATGCGTACGTGAGTACAGTCATTGACTAAATATTTTCTCCTGCACTGGTGTTTTTATTCTCTGTAAAGCACATGGAGCTTCTGGTTGTCAAAAATACCCAGATCTATTCATCCATTTCTTTATTCGTTGTGGTCGAGGTGCCAGCAGAAGCAGAGAAGCGCTTCCCTAGCCACCTCGCACACTTCCTCCAGCTCATTCTGGGTATCCAGAAGCATAGCTGTAACTTATGTATACTGCTAAATGAGCTACAAAATACAGCACTTTCTATACAGTGTGAGCCTTTCTATAGAGTCAGTCACGTTTTGTGTGTTTCACTTTACATTTCTGATAAAGCTCTGCCATCTAAAGGGTGAACTAGTATTGTCTAAGTGTAAACTATTCTTCCATTTCTTCACATGTTCTGTTTTCCAGGTGAGTTGTCTTGGAAGCTGCTTGCTCCTCTTGTTATTTCTTTGTGGAAATGTCAACAGCGCAGAGGGTCCAACCAGCAAATGTAAACTTTCTCCTGAATCAAAGTCAGAACGGAGCACCCTCAATCGACTGGCACCTCTGCTTCACAAAAAGTAAGGACACATGATGAACATTGCATTCATTAATTGCTATGACTTCATGAATGAGTTCCTGAAGTAATTTTCATTTTGAAACTATAGAGCCAGATGTTTTTTTTTTACAAATATGAACGAATTGGTAGGCTTTTCCCTGTATGGAAATTGGTGCGCTGCGTTTAACCCTCCTTCATAGGAAACCTAGGCAACCAGTCAGGTCAATTTAGCACTTTGTGTATGAAATAAAATGTTCATGTGGGTTTACTGATTTTGATTATTATTTTTTGACAACACAGTCAACAAAAGTAGTTATGTGTAAACCTCTCTCCAGTTTTTCAGTGATGGTGAAGAACAACACAGAGAGCTACACGTATGTGTTTCAGTTGTGTGGAGACGCAGATGGCGTCGTAGGAGCCGGAGTTGTTCAGAAAGACCATCAGCTAAAGAAAATGACCGTAGTCGGGAGATACAACTCAACAAAGGCCATCGGAGGAAGTAAGCACATTAACAATTTGCTCAAAGAAGATTCCAGACAAAACTATGAACGAATGTGGTAAAATAAGGTCTTTCTATAGAAAGAAAACAAAGACATTATGATAGATATACTTTATTGATTCCTTGTAGGAGAAATTCAGTTGTCCAGTAGCAGCAAAAACATGTCCATCCACACAAAACACAAATACAGTGCCTTGCGAAAGTATTCGGCCCCCTTGAACCTTTCAACATTTCGCCACATTTCAGGCTTCAACAAGAAGCCTGAAGGAATCATCAAGAGGGACACAATCGTGAAGTGGAACAAAATTTATTGGATAATTTAAACTTTTTTAACAAATAAAAAACTGAAAAGTGGGGCGTGCAATATTATTCGGCCCCCTTGCGCTAATACTTTGTAGCGCCACCTTTTGCTGCAATTACAGCTGCAAGTCGCTTGGGGTATGTCTCTATTAGTTTTGCACATCGAGAGACTGGAATTCTTTCCCATTCTTCCTTGCAAAACAGCTCGAGCTCAGTGAGGTTGGATGGAAAGCGTTTGAACAGCAGTCTTCAGCTCTTTCCACAGATTCTCGATTGGATTCAGGTCTGGACTTTGACTTGGCCATTCTAACACCTGGATACGTCTATTTGTGAACCATTCCATTGTAGATTTGGCTTTATGTTTTGGATCATTGTCCTGTTGGAAGATAAACCTCCGTCCCAGTCTCAGGTCTTTTGCAGACTCCAACAGGTTTTCTTCCAGAATGGTCCTGTATTTGGCTCCATCCATCTTCCCATCAATTTTAGCCATCTTCCCTGTCCCTGCTGAAGAAAAGCAGGCCCAAACCATGATGCTGCCACCACCATGTTTGACAGTGGGGATGGTGTGTTCAGGGTGATGAGCTGTGTTGCTTTTACGCCAAACATATTGTTTTGCATTGTGGCCAAAAAGTTCAATTTTGGTTTCATCTGACCAGAGCACCTTCTTCCACATGTTTGGTGTGTCTCCCAGGTGGCTTGTGGCAAACTTTAAACGAGATTTTTTATGGATATCTTTGAGAAATGGCTTTCTTCTTACCACTCTTCCATATAGGCCAGATTTGTGCAGTGCACGACTGATTGTTGTCCTATGGACAGACTCTCCCACCTCAGCTGTAGTTATCTGCAGTTCATCCAGAGTGATCATGGGCTTCTTGGCTGCATCTCTGATCAGTCTTCTCCTTGTTTGAGATGAATGTTTGGAGGGACAGCCGGGTCTTGGTAGATTTGCAGTCGGTCTGATACCCCTTCCATTTCAATATAATTGCTTGCACAGTGCTCCTTGAGAAGTTTAAAGCTTGGGAAATCTTTTTGTATCCAAATCCGGCTTTAAACTTCTCCACAACAGTAACTCGGACCTGCCTGGTGTGTTCCTTTGTCTTCATGGTTCTCTCTGCGCTTTTAACAGAACCCTGAGACTATCAAAGAGCAGGTGCATTTATACGGAGACTTGATTACACACAGGTGCATTCTATTTATCATCATCAGTCATTTAGGACAACATTGGATCATTCAAAGATCCTCACTGAACTTCTGGAGTGAGTTTGCTGCACTGAAAGTAAAGGGGCCGAATAATATTGCACGCCCCACTTTTCAGTTTTTTTATTTGTTAAAAATGTTTAAATTATCCAATAAATTTCGTTCCACTTCACGATTGTGTCCCACTTGTTGATTCATGACAAAAAATTTAAATGTTATATCTTTATGTTTTATGCCTGAAATGTGGCGAAATGTTGAAAGGTTCAAGGGGTCCGAATACTTTCGCAAGGCACTGTACATTGATCATTCTAACTAGCTGCTGGGGGTGGAGCAGGACAGATCACAGCAGCAAAGGTGGAGTAGCCTCTTGGTTTGGAACATTTAACAAATGAAAACGCTGGTTAAAGGAAGAGATTGAAATCAGAAAGCGGGGCAACAACAGCAGAGATTCAGAGGCCACTAGGGAGAGTGGGCGTGGTCAGTCTGACAGTTCTGAAGATAACTTGCAGCTCTGCAGCCAAAAAATATTGACAAGGTAATACATCTAACTTGAACCACAAAAGACATAATTGAACTACAAAAGACATAATTGAACCACAAAAAGACATAATTCTACACCTCCCCCTGGTGGTAGCAAAGGGATAGGGCATCATTAATACTTCTTTCACTATACATTTTCTACTGAAGAAATTATTTAAATAATGCCTCTTAATTTCTCCTGAAAGAAGAAGGATTTCTTCTTTTAATTTTATTCTTCACACAGTGGTGGTACATTTTCTGGAGCAGACTAACAGTCATGAGGTGGCCAATCTGCCCCATTGGCTCATCCAACCACCACCAATTATTTACACATCAGCTTCATATTTAGAACCTTTTATTCATGTAATTTTACTCAGATTTAAAGCACTGGTGCTTTAGACAAAATAAAAGGCTAAAGGCTCACTGCTCACTAACACATATTTGTGAAGAGTATCTGTGATGTGTTTGTTTGATCCGTGTATTTCTATTTCTTCAAATCACAACTTTGTTTTTGCCATTTTGTAAATAGTGTATGTAATTTGATGATGTTCTGTTTGCAGGTGACTGGGTGATGTTGATTTATGAAAATGGGGATAACTATAACAGCCACTGTTCGGGAGCAAATAGACAAGCCATGGTTATGATTTCCTGCGACAGAACGAAAGATCAGGTAAAAGAACTGGTGCTTTGATTATATTATAAACAATTACAAATGTTTGAAAGTACGTTTGGTTCAAAGCACCATGTAGTTTATGAATGAGTGTGGTATGTCTGGGATAATGGTGGCAGTAAGTAGATGTACGGTACTTATTGTAATTATTTCATACATCTGAGGAAATTGTGAAATCATGATGTTATGTTTTTTTTTTTTATATTGTCTTTGCTGGTTTTTAATAGTAATAGTTTTGTGGGGGTTTTTTCTCCTCAGGGCTCACTGGAAGCAGTGATGGAGGACAGAGACAGAAAAGACTGTTTCTATCTGTTTGAAATGGACACAAATGCAGTGTGTCCATCTCTCGACTCGAAGCTCAGCGCAGGATCCATCATACTCATTGTGTTAGTGATACAAACATCACATTCTTTTCAGCGTTATTACCAAAGAATCAAAGTATATACATGATTGTTTCTTTTAGAGGGCTCTGCCTTGTCGCGGCATATTTAACCGGAGGGTTTCTTTATCAAAGACTAATTGTTGGAGCCAAAGGAATGGAGCAGATTCCAAATTATGCTTTTTGGGCAGAGATTGGAAACCTCTCAGCGGTGAGCAAAATTAGGAGAATTTATTCTGTTTTAATTGGTTGGGCTCAAGTTTCATGATCTGAAGGCATTTCACACTGATGAAAAACTTGGTTTTCAACCAAAATCGCTGGTGCTTGTTTTGTTTAGACTGAGCACCACGTGCTGCGTATTAGATCGACTCAGCAATGAAACCTCCTTGTATCCTACACTTTTTTACATGGACGAAAGGGGAAGAAAATGGATGGATGGATGCATGCTCAGTGGGAACTGGCAGACTAACCAAATAACAAATTTAGAAAGCAAAGAATGCTGTGTAGCCCGTTGCTTATACGCGAGTCAGGTGAAGGTTACAAAACTACACAAGTAACAGGAGGGACAATACTTCGCACAATGTCATTTTAACAAGATGTGGAGCAGTGAAGTTCTGTCAAAGTTTGTACACACTGTTCTTTCCTTTAGGAAATTGTCCTTGCTAAATATATGAAAGTGCTTAAATACCAAAATACAATACTTGCCAGTTAGTTTAATTGACGTTTTAAGATTTGGGCCACTTGTATAATTTGGGATAAATGTCCTTTAAATAAGCATACCCACCACTTATAGTGATTTATTAATGCCTTGGTTTTTTATAGTATAAGCTTTCTCACAATTAAGTAATGTTCATGTTACAACACAGTTAAGGAGGAAATCTGTATTCTTCTCAGGATGGATGTGACTTTGTTTGTCGCTCAAAAAACCGTGAGGAGCCAAACGCATACAGAGGAGTATCGTCTGAGCCTCCAGAGGAGGACCCAGAGGAACGAGACGACCACCTGTTACCCATGTGACCTTGCTGAAAGACTGTGTGTGAATGATGTTTACTGTTATAGGTTTGATCTACTCAACCCTGCGCATTTGTCTGTTTCCTTGTTGATTTAGGACCTAAGCCTTCTGTTCAGCTCTAGACCAGGTTTAAAAATTTAATGCAGTGTGTGCAAGCATAACTTTTCTTCTGTATGAAGTTGTTCGGTCAATGAGCTATTCTGCAGAATATGTGATTGCTTAAATGGGACTGTATATGAGAAGACATTACATGTCTTCTCATATATTGAATTGTCTCTAACGTTTATTTTTCCCAGATCTGGTTTGAGTACTGACGTTATGAGTAGCACATAACGCTGTATATTGGTTTTATGGGTTACCGTTTAAAATACAGATGTATGCAATATTGCGCTTTCAACTCCAAAGAGTTTTAAAAGAATGTAATAGTTATACATATATTTGTACAGTGAGTGTATTGTAAAATATCACTTACACTGATTAGACAAAAGTGATTTAGCATTATGAATTGTGTAACCATCGGAATTCAGCTGCAGTCCTGTTTGAAGTACTTTACAAAGTACTTATAGTTCTGATTTGTTGACTGATAATATTGGTTAGAGAAAGGGATTAGACAAGAGAAAGTTAAATTTAAAAGTAGAGATTCATGCCCATCGATCACTTCATTTTGTTCAATCTGTAGAGCTAATCATAGTTAATATGGTTTAATTTAAGATTACCAGTGCTTAATTTGAGCCGGAACATGTTCCTCTATCTTCAAAGTTGGATTCAGTACCATCATAAATGTACACGATTGAAAATATCTGTTACCACTGATAGCAATACAACTGGGCCAGAAAATTGACTCTGACAAAATGTTAGTACAATATCACTAGTAAACGGGTAGGTTAAAGACTAGTTCTTTGGCATAGTCTTCTCGCTCGTGGTTGGTGAACATAAGACCAAATGGATTATAGGCCATTTTATTTATCAGTTTAATCAAAATATTACACAATATAATACGTGAAACACAAATAAATGTAAATTGAGTAAAGTTCCTTTAATTATTTCGAATAATTAGATGCATTAATTCATGTCTATCAGTGCTAATCACAGGTGAATGAAAACAAAACAGCCTTAAATAGAAGAACAACAAACAAGTGCAGCCACAAAATTGAAACTGCAAATGTCAACAACAAAACTACATTAAACACAATCTGCTACAACTACATGGATGTAAATTGCCTCTTCTCTGTTGCTGATGATTTTGTTCAGCTTAATACCGGAGATCAAGTCCCTATACATATTGTCTGTTAAGTGTAATATTGTGTCTAAATAGTTTGCACAATATGCTGTATCATGATTCTTCGCGGGTTACAAATTAAGCACTGAATCATACCAAATCCTACATGAGTTTATTGTACTTTGTAGCTTGACACAATAGTAAAGACATCACAATGTTTACTTAAGCTTTTGCTTTTCATTTACACAATAGGTATCAATAAAAATGTCAGCGCCTCTATTTTATAAAAAGGCATTAAAATATATATAGAAAAAACATAAATCTGCTTTTTGAATGGAGCTTCATGCATTGTGTGTGTTTAATACATATATGTTATATATAATTTTCCTTTTTTTTTTTTCACAAATGCTCTCTTGAGTTGATGAGATGAAAATATTTAGCACAGGTTATATCCAGAAAACAACTTACCCTGTTCGACACTGGCTTTCTCAACTTCCTCACATGGTACTATTATGTTCACTTTTCCAATTGAATAGTGCACTATTTAATCATGTATGAATTGCTTCTTCTCAAATCAATATCAAGCTTATCTTTTAAACAAAAAGCCAGTTTTGTCTGAAAGCATAGAGTTGACTTTAGTGTTGAGGATTTTCTTTGTGTTTGATAACGGTAACGTTTTGACATATGTATATCCAGAAAAGTAAACAATGACTTGAGGAGCGAATGAAATATTATTTTTGATCACATTACCCCAGGGTCCAGTCCACTCATATGTGTGAATGTTTTTTGAGTTTAATAAATGTGTATAGAAATATTTACTGATGCTTCTGTTATTGTTTCTAAACAACTGCATTAAGCATCTTTCAGCATCTTTCTGTCAGCTTCTCTACTGGCCTATCCACTCTCCCCTAATAGGGTTAAAATGCCATGTCAACAATTGCACTGCATACCAGCACACCTTGGTATGCAGTTGTTTTCTATGTAATGCTTTGTCTTCTCTGTCTTCACACTTCTGACGTCACACAGCTCAACAGCAAACATGTGACCAAATATAACTCGAAAACAAATAAATAATATATGACCAAGTGAAGGCTTAAATCTGGAGTCATACAGTCATACTATAATATTTACAGTCTATGAGTCATACATGACGGTAGAACCTAACTTTGAAACCACAAATTTAAATAAGTATTAAAATTCATATTAAAGTTCTGAGCCCTCAAAACGGTTCTATCACTAGTTTTCACAAACATGTATTTTGGCCTCTGTCACATCTTTAGATTGATCATTTTTTCTGTGAAAAAGAGTATACCAGCCTCCACTGAACCAGATCCGATACAATGTTTTGAAGACCGCTGTTACAACACATGTAGTCTCATTTGCTCCCAAAATGTTACCAAAAATTTCTGTTGGGACCATAGACAAACAAAATCATTTTTAAACAATATGATGTTTGTTACTGTTTTTGGGAATAGAAACATCCTTGAAAATATTGATTACAGCTAAGTTCCTTCTTGAACAGAAGATAGTTCCATAGCTCAGCCACCTAAATTTATTTAATAAATTCTCAATTTTCTTAAAAAAAGTAACATTCTGTGAACACAGCGGACCCTAACATGCTACACTGTCTTAATTTGTGATAGAAACCATTTTTCTGATAATAATGTGAGTCAATAATTGACGTTTTAGGGCAGGGACTGATTGGATTAGTCACTTTCTGTGAAAAAGCTGATCCAAAGACGTGCCCAGGGCCACACAATAAATGACTGTGTAAACTAATGGTAGAAGCAAACTATTTAGAGAGCGAGGAACAAGTATTTATAAGTTATTTTATTACATAGTTCATTTTTTGTGGTCTTTGGGTTGCCCTAGCTATTTGTAACTCAGAGTTGCCATGTCCTCTTGAAAATAAACACATCTTGTACCGCTCCCGCTTACACTTTTCGAGTCGAACCACTGGGTGTGCGAGCCAATCACGCGCCAGTCTGGGGGTTTAGGGCGGGATATCCGGGTTTGACGAAAGCAAGAAGTGCCGGGCCGAAGCAAAACAAACATGGCTACGCAGGAGGACGGACGCAAAGTCAGTTTTAGCAGAATCTCCAATTTCTTTTTTGAAAGATGAACAGCGAGAGGCGCTTTGTACATTTCTGGACGGCAACCTTGGTAGGCGGGCACACAGCGTCACTTCGCCCAATCAGCTTCAAGTATGCTGCTGCTTACCCCTCCTTTCCCTGAAATGATTCTCCGGGAGAAATCCCAGATTGATATCGCGGAGAACGCGTTAGAGTTCTACACAATCATCAATCTGGCTTTTGCCAGGTTACAAAACGACAACTCCTGAATACAAATACATTTTAGAAAAGCCAACCAAAAAACAACTTGGAAAATTGTATTGATGAGCTGAGGAATTTAGGTGAAAAGCAATAGGGCACTGGACAAGTGCGGTAAAGTTAGTTTTATAATGGATATTCGACACATTCAACACATTCAAATAATCTATTTAGCCCTTTGCCCTTTAGGCCCTTTGATTTCAAAACACGTTGGGTTTATGTATTCTGGTCCCCCACACATGAAACAAAGCTTATTTTTTCAATATTCCCTTTGGATGATTTTTTTATGATTTTTTTGCTATTAAAAAGTCCCTTTAATCTATTTAGCCCTTTGCCCTTTAGGCCCTTTGATTTCAAAACACGTTGTGTTTATGTATTCTGGTCCCCCACACATGAAACAAAGCCTCTTTTTTCAATATTCCCTTTGGTTGATTTTTTATGATTTTTTTGCTATTAAAAAGTCCCTTTAATCTATTTAGCCCTTTGCCCTTTAGGCCCTTTGATTTCAAAACACGTTGTGTTTATGTATTCTGGTCCCCCACACATGAAACAAAGCCTCTTTATTCAATATTCCCTTTGGTTGGTTTTTTATGATTTTTTTGCTATTAAAAAGTCCCTTTAATCTATTTAGCCCTTTGCCCTTTAGGCCCTTTGATTTCAAAACACGTTGTGTTTATGTATTCTGGTCCCCCACACATGAAACAAAGCCTCTTTTTTCATCCCTACTACATCGAGTAGGAGTCTGGGACCCGAAGCGTCGCGGTTCCGGCGGCGTCCGGTGAGCTCTCGTCGGCCCTTGAAAATCCAGGGGAGAAGGTGTAAATCTCGCGCCAGGCCGTACCCATATCCGCAGCAGGTCTCCAAGGTGAACAGCCTCTGGCATGTAAGGACAAGGTAGATAAGGGAAGTCGGCAAGTCAGATCCGTAACTTCGGGATAAGGATTGGCTCTAAGGGCTGGGTCGGTCGGGCTGGGGTGCGAAGCGGGTCTGGGCACGTGCCGCGGCTGGTGGAGCAGCCGCCCCGTCGCCCCCCCTCCTCCGCCGCCGGAAGCTCGGCGCGCGGCCCGTCCGTGGGGGTCCTCCGCACGGGAGGACCCCCACGTGGCAAATTCCACCCGGAATTCGCCGGGAATTCAACTCCTGGGCCTAGGTCACATGACAGTGGGAACAATGACATTGGCCCATTAGCGCCCCCTACAGGCTGACTAAAGGTATACATGGGGATACGACCAACACGCCCCTGTCTGTGTCTATGAGAAAATCGTTAAATCTCTGAAAAGTACACCTCGCTCAAACATCAAACCAGCCACGGCAGTTTCCCTAATTTGTCTGAAAATCGCTCCACATGGTGTCCACACATGGACCATCAATAGTTGCATATAGAGTTTTAATTAGTCAAACGGTCTGAGTGTGACAGACCCCCAAAGTGTGGTTACTTTCATAGAGAGGTGTGAAGTTCTCATGTTATCCAATGGAGACTGTATGGACACACTCACAGATTGTATGAACAAACAGAAGCACATTAGCACTAAACTTGACTCTATTGTTCAACTCCTGGGCCTAGGTCACATGACAGTGGGAACAATGACATTGGCCCATTAGCGCCCCCTACAGGCTGACTAAAGGTATACATGGGGATACAGGAATTTAGGTTTTGACCCACTGAACAAACACAAAAACTCACCAAACTTTGCCACAATTAATTATTTCTTTCTTTCTTTCTTTTTTCTTCTGCGCTTTGAACCTTAATTTGACCCCCTGAACATTGATGAAAACCAAGGTTTTACAAACCCCGCCCGACGGCGCGTGCCCAGACACTGACAAAACAGTGCCGGAGGCACTGAATGGCTTTGCTCCTGCTGTAGTACACACTGTAATCAATGGGGTCCTATGGGGGGGGTGGGTGACCTCATGATGGCGAGGTGATTGACGAGCGCGTCAGCGCTCGTCAATCACCGAGAACCCAATAGTTGCGTTCGCCTCGTCGTTCGCTTTAAAACGACGTATCATTTGTATTATAGGTTACTATGGAAACCTATATTGTTTTTGCTCAAAGTTTAAAAAAAAAAATTCCTTGGTTTGGTTTGGTTTATTAGGCCCGAGCCCCAACCGGGGTAAGGGCCTATTGCTTTTCCAACGAGTAATGCCTGTGCTCCGAACAGGAGCACAAAATCAACCAAATGGAATATTGAAAAAATAAGCTTTGTTTCATGTGTGGGGGACCAGAATACATAAACCCAAATTGTTTTGAAATCAAAGGGCCTAAAGGGCAAAGGGCTAAATAGATTAAAGGGACTTTTTAATAGCAAAAAAATCATAAAAAACCAACCAAAGAGAATATTGAAAAAATAAGCTTTGTTTCATGTGTGGGGGACCAGAATACATAAACCCAAATTGTTTTGAAATCAAAGGGCCTAAAGGGCAAAGGGCTAAATAGATTAAAGGGACGTTTTAATAGCAAAAAATCATAAAAAATCATCCAAAGGGAATATTGAAAAAATAAGCTTTGTTTCATGTGTGGGGGACCAGAATACATACACCCAAATTGTTATGAAATCAAAGGGCCTAAAGGGCAAAGGGCTAAATAGATTAAAGGGACTTTTTAATAGCAAAAAAATCATAAAAAACCAACCAAAGAGAATATTGAAAAAATAAGCGCAAAAAAATCATAAAAAACCAACCAAAGAGAATATTGAAAAAATAAGCTTTGTTTCATGTGTGGGGGACCAGAATACATAAACCCAACGTGTTTTGAAATCAAAGGGCCTAAAGGGCAAAGGGCTAAATAGATTGTTTGAATGTGTTGAATGTGTCTAATATCCAATATAAAACTAACTTTACCGCACTGCACTGTCCGGTTTCCGAAATGTGCTAAAAATAGTTCCAATGACTGCGCATGCGCTTATGTTTCGGACAAACTCTGTCCGACTCCGTTGAGTACTACTGTGTTCTCCACATAAGCGTGTGTATTTATTTGGGCTAAATCATTGAATCATGGTGACAACAAAACACTGCAGTCATGGTGCTTGTCGGAGCGATTTCAGATACTCTGAAAAGGACTATATGAAAGTAACATTCAACCCGTTCGTTAAACCACAACATCGGACCAGACCAGGACCAGACCAGGACCAGACCAGGACCAGATCAGACCAGGTGGGTGCTTGTGGTCAGCAGAATTTCTCTCATGAAAATGTTAAAAAGGACATGTTTTTTCAAAACACTTCGCTGGACCAACTGTGGAGCCTCCAGATCCAGTCCTAGCTACGTTTAGCTGGGACTGGACCTGGACCGCTGTATCAGGTCCGTCTGAGCTCTTCTGAATGTAGTTAGCACAAACTCTCTCTTTACACCATTTACCCCCATCAATCCATATTAGTATTGTTTGTCCTAATCCAGAATGTATACAATTCTCACACCTGAAGAAAGATGAGAGGGATTTTTTCAACTTCGTGACTATCGGAAAATAAGCACAGACGAAGCGCGTTGGGGTCCGCTTATTATACGGCTTTGTACCAACTGAACACACAAAATAAACTTCTGTCACTATTCATGCCAAAAGGTTTATTTAATGAGTGCAAAGAAAATAGTTCCCAAAGGTTTTAGTTCACCTACTTTAAAAAAGCGATCGCTTTTAGTCGCATTAAAAAAGTATTTTTGTCATGAAAACCTTAACAGATAATTCTGAAAACCTCTGTGCACGTGTGTTGTATGAATATTATATTCTAGCATTAACATTTAAATATGTTGATTGATTGTCGTTTGCGTTTACTGAGTGTGGCTAGCTCTGATAGTTTCTCTCTCAGAGACAGTAGTGGTGTAGCCCGTTGTGACCCCATGGATCTATTATAATATCAGCTGACTGTAGTTAACTAAATGATCAAACTAATTACGAAATGGACAGTACAAAAAACAACTTGATAAATGGAAGTTAATCAGAGCAAAATAAACAAAGAAGGCGCTAACATTGCAATTTAAATGACTAGATAATGTTAGCATAATCCTCACCATTACCTTTTTATCAAATCAAACTTTCTACCAGTTACTGGAAGACCACGACATTCAAGCCAACGTTTTAATTGGTCTAAACTATGATCCCTGATGGTTTGGTGGTGGAATTTTGCCCCTGGTTTATCATTTTCGTCTAAAGTGACAAGAGGTATTTGATTCATTTTGGCAGTGTTTGTCCGAAACATGTGGGCGGGAGTTGACAGGCGGCGGGGGCGTGTCTTAGTGACGTCATTCAGATAGTTCGCTATTCTCGAGTGTTTGTGAACTCACAAATACCGCGAGAATTCAGCTTGCAGGCAAGGTTAGTCGTTTTGTAGCTATTTTTCCTTACCCATTCGCGTTTTGATCACCGAAAATCTGGCAGCCCTTTGAAAAGGGGCGAGGAGAAAGTTGGAGCCAAATTGTACATGAAAAAAAGTGTTGTAGTTGATATTTGAGGCCAGAGATTTTGGACCGAAAACTGTTTTAACATTTTAGTTCTACGAAGATCAGCGAAGGGGAACAGACGAGCACACTGAGAAACAGGTACAACACTTTAATCTTCCATTCGCTTCATTCACTTCTGTGTTAGCATCTTCTGTGATATTAGCAAACATCCAACGCTTCATCTAAATACACGTATTTTGGTTCATGGTTTCCCGCGTACACTTTATATTCATGTTTAACCAGCTACAGTTTGCTGGTTGTTTACCGCTATAATGCAGCGTTGTCACATTGTTAAGTCACCTGTTGCATTAGCAGCAACTAACTAAGGCTAGCTGTAACGTGAGTCCCTAAGTGTATAATACATTCATGGGTTGGACTTGCTGGTTGATGAGTTCCATATTATAATAAATCCATGTTGAAGCCACAATCTATAATTATTTGCATTATTTTTTACTATTTTTCTAATGCGTCAGTGATCCTTCCATACAAACAATAACACATGCTCAATGACCACCCAACCTTCCCACCATAAACAAGGCATTAAAAACTCCAACACATAACTTGGCCAATCCTCACTATTGCTTGCACACTGTATTCAACTTCATTAAATTGTTTCACTAGAAGAAAGTCAGATAACTATTTAGTTAATGCTTATTTTAAGGCATCTCGTTTTGTTGTATTGTTGTACTAGTTACTGGTGTTTAACCTTGAGTAATGCTGTTCTGTCCTATTTTCAGGTGCTGATATGGATTCAAATGAAGAGCAGAACAACAGCACAGCGACTGGAGTAGCTCAGACTGGAGGAAACTCTCGCACTGCGCAGATCGCTCATATGTCTTTGTATGAGAGGCAGGCCGTTCAGGTTAGTCTTTACACCTTAAAAAAAAGGTATTGAGTTTGATGTAACCAAATATAAGGCCTTAAAAGCTTTCAATTGGACAACATTTGAGATTGTGGCATTAAATATTATGTAATTTGTAGATTCGACTTTTTTTTTTACATGCTGGTTGCATTCTGTGTCTTCACCATGTTGTGTCCACTTTTCCTTGTTTTCTTGCTTTTTTACTTTTGTGTCTCGTTTACTATGAGACAAAACAAAGTAATACATGTCATTTTCCCTTGTTGTAACATGTTTTGCTTGTTGTTTTAGGCACTACAAGCTCTTCAGCGACAGCCCAATGCGGCTCAGTATTTCCAGCAACTCATGCTCCAGCAGCAGATCAGCAGTGCACAGCTACAGAACCTGGCGGCAGTTCAACAGGTGGCTACCATCTGAGGTTGCATTCAATACGATTTATTGTTATTAAACTGATTGTTATGTATTTAAACAGGCAACACTTGCTGCAAGTCGGCAGTCCAATACTCAGAGTAACAGCGGCTCCCAGCCTGCATCTACAGTAATGCTATTGATGTGCCCTGCATATTCATTTTTCTATAATTATTTTGTTAATATATTGTTTATTTTTCAAGGTGAACCTCAGTACCATGTCTCCTGGAGGGACCACTCCACGGCCACATTGTGCCACAACAACAACAACGGCTCTGAGTCAGTCTGTGCTGATTGGGGGCAACTCTACGGGACAGGGACAGATGTATTTGAGAGTAAGTTTAACACTAGAAAGTGATAGTTGTCAAATGGGACTAAAAGCTTTTGGTGACCCCTGAAATGATTTGACTAATTATCGACTTGCAGAAGAGGGTTAATATGGGCTACCAAGTCTTATATGTTATACATCATTTAAAAGTGAATTGTATCAGAAAAAAACACATTATAAATTTACAAGGACCAAAAGCCTGTTGCTAGAAGCCACTTTGGTTTTTGTTTATTGAAAGTTCAAGTTTACTTTGAGTGGCGTCCGAGTTTCCCACTGGGGTTTGGGTTCATTTGCGTGTCAGTCACTGCGGTAACATGCTTCACACGGCAACTCTGGTCCGGAGCTGGGTAACATTAAGTTGATAGAAGGAGAAACCAGAAAGAAACCATCTTTCTTTAAGCTTTGGAAGTGGAGTGTCATTAATGTTGGTATCTGGTGCAAGCTGATGTTGCACTACGTTGTTGCACACAACAATTGTAAAGCGCTTTGTGACTCTGGTCTGTGAAAGGCGCTATAAATATAAAGATGACTTACTTACTACATACTGTGTTTTTGTTCTTCATTTGTATTTGTTTCCATGTTAATTTTGCGCTGTAATTGTACCTGAATTGCTGGACATTAACTAATCGTATGAACATTACACGCATGGACACATCTTATGCATTCATGCAATTTGTGATCTTCTTTCACCTTCTGCGACAGTGGCTGCTGCGACAGTGTTGTACTTTGCGATACATCTTCACATTTATTCTTCCTACTAACTATTGTTTTATATCCATGATTGTGATTTGGTTAATTTTATCATATGTTTTGTCTGTTTTCCTTGCAGGTTAACCGTTCTCTTCGTGCTCCTCCTCAGTTCATCTTCATGCCTGGAGGAGCAGCCACCGCGACAGTGGCGACCGTGGCCCAGACTCAGACGCAGCAGCAGCAGCAGCAGGACACCACATTGAATGGAGGAAACCAGACCGACAACGATCAGGTCTTCACACAAAACTTATGTTGGTTTCATGTTAATTGACACTGAAGTGGTGCAAAGATGAATCTGGTTGTGACAATTTAGATACTGAGAAAATTGGGATTACCTTGTGTTCCCAAATAAAGGCCTAGCAAGTTTTTATTAATAAGAATTTCTCAGGGGTGTCATAGAAACAAGAGTTTGACTAAAGTAAAAGATTGTAGCCCTTTTAGATGGTGTCACAGAGATGCTACTAATGCTTTGAACATCTTTGTCTCCAGGTACAAAACCTCGCTCTCCACCACGTGTCCACACCAAGGACACTATCTATTAAATCTGAGCTTCCGGAGAGAAAAGACTGCTTAATCCAACAGCAGGCCTTTGGACAGACCCAACAAGTCCAATCACAGCCACAAGCGACCAAGCCGTTTAACCAGCTGCCCAACATCTCTGTGAAGACTGGGAACGCCACCACCATGACCGTGACCCCGGCTGCATCAGTTGCACCTTCTCCTTCCTCCAATGCGCTCCCCCTCTCACAGCTCCTCCTCTCCCCCTCCTCTGCCCCGGTCATTCTAGTCCCTACATCCAGTGTCTCCACCTCCGCACAGGGCTACCCCATGGCCTCAGTAACCCCCAAACCCAACATGAGCGCGCAAACTCTTGTGGTCCAACCTCTGCAGCAAACAAACTCGTCGGAGAAAGGCTGGATCCCAGTGCCGATCCAGCCCAAGACGCCTCACCGTTTGCCCGTGCAATTGCCCCCCCGGCTTCCCACACCCATCCTGCCAGCCCCCCCCAGCAGCGCGGCCTCGACAGGGGGACATGGCGCGCCTCACGTCCCGGTACAATTGGTGGGGGCCAGGCAGAGCGCAGGAGGAGGGGCTCAGGCTGTGGCTTTAGCACAAGTGCGGAGTAATGTGGCTGTGGAACACACCCTTGGGGCAGTCGGTGTGGCCAGCAACACCACATCCAATATGGTGAGTGCAACACTTACAGCTCTATGCCTCATCCACTGAAAAAGAAATTAGCTAATTACCAGAAATCGTCCTTCATATTTTTACCCCAGTATTCTTCCATGCAGTGACCCTTTTGGAGTGTTTAATGAGTCCTTTGTGTTGTGTTCAGACAAAACCACTTGTCGGATCCCTGAAGAGGAAGTCTGACTGTGACGTTCCCAGTGACATCACAACGTCTGAACCACTTGACTCTTTGTCCATTAAAGACGCTGCGCCGCCGCTGTCTCCTGCTCCAAAGGACACGGGTAAAACCACCTACACATAATATTTCTAGAACAAATGTTGGTTCTGTAAGCAATACCATTTTCAAATACACTTTTACTTTTTTATTCAGTAATTAAATTAACCCTTACCCCATATTTCTGACGTAATTTCGGACAGCATTCTGGTGAATTTGAGTAATGGGTGTTTCTCTCTTCTCTTCACTAGTGCCGCCTGCAGTGGCTGCCTTCTCCACTCCCCCCACTCTCTCTCTACCGCCGCCTCTGTCCAGAGTAGGACTTGGAGACAAAGATCGGCCTGCTCTTCCTCAGGCTGTAGTCAAACCTCAGGTCCTCACTCACCTCATCGAGGGTTTTGTCATCCAGGAGGGAGCCGAACCCTTCCCCGTACGTAGCTTTCACAGATAAAAGAATGTTGTTATTGTTGAATCTCTTGTGTGTAACATTTATTTACATTTAAGAACAGAATATTATACATTATCTATTTAATACTGTTTAGCCCTATTCCTCAAAATAACATCACATTAAACGGGGTGATTTGGAGGAGAACATAACCGTCTAGTAATATTCATAACAAAGATGTGTCATGTTTTAGTAGTTTTTGGGAAACTATCTTTCGTTTTTGAAAGATTGAACCGGCACCATATCATATTTCATATATCAGATTTCTCCCATAATCATTTAATGTTAATGTCACAGGTGGCCGGACTCCTCAAAGACAGAGATTATTCCCTCTTGATGCTGTCAGAAAATGGGTCTGCGTGTAAGTATATTTAAGTCTGCCTTAAAATTCCAATGTGATAAAATTTCTGATTAACGGAAGAACTTTAGATTTAATAATTTGTTGATGCTTTAGTGATGAAGTGCGAGTTCTGTGGAAACCTCATTCCTGCCCATCAAATTAGAGGATCCAAGAGATTCTGCTCAAACCCATGCGCCAAGAGGTACAGGTAAATTACCGATTTGACGTTCTTCAATGAGCCGTATTGACCTGAATTTCATTCTTCATTAGCAATGGTTTCAATTACTGAATTCAACAAATACACTAAAAAACTATGGGTTTTTCCACAAACCTTTGTTTTGTAAACTAACTACGGTACTTGTTGTCACTGTTTTCATACATTAAAAGATTCTTTTGCTCATCCCAGAAATGTAAAGAAGCAAAACTTGCTAAATCCACTGTAGTCATGTGCAATTAAGTAATTGTGTTATTTGACCTAATTTCACTTTTGTGTCCCATAATTGGTGAACAGTGAAAGGTTTTTAAAGAATCCTCCTGCAGCTCCCTAGCTTAGTGTCCCGCCCTCCACTTTGACATACTGGCTTAAAGTCTTTAAAAGTCTTATAACTGATGCTGTTTGTTTTAAAGATAATTGTTCCAGTCTAAAATGTCACACAATAATTAAGATGTAGTTGAAGATATAGATGTGAATGAATATTGTGCTGTGTGTTTTAGTGGAAAATATGAAGTCTTCAAATCTATTGTTGTTTGTGGTCTTAAACTGGACTCTCGGTCTCACCTGTGTGTTTGTTATGGTCACAGATATAACATGAGCTGCAGTCGGCATTTCAGCAGTGGGAGGAGTGGAGCAGTGACGCCTGAGGGGCCCAGGCGCAGAGGGGCCCCACGCCGAAGCAGCTCTGACACCAGGTCTAACAGCGGCCCCAACCGACACCTGCCAATAAAGGTACACAGACATGATGGCGTGGGTGGCTGCGAATCCCAAAGGCGTATTCACCCACATTCTTGTATAATTATGAGCCTCGGGGTCAGGGTCATGTGTCTTTTATTAGGAACGTTTGAAATTAAATGAGCAAAAATTATTAAATAAAAGCATAGACTGAAAGAGACTTCACCTGTCATAGTGTTTTCCCTGTGGCGGAAAAAGCCAACTCGAGCTAGAACGAGAACCTGGAACAACTAAAGATAATAATGTGGCTCTTGTCAGTTCTGCTCACGCTAATTCCGACAAAAGATAAACTTGGGGACAGAAATCACCTGATATTTGGGGTCATACCTGAATGCTCCATAACAAAAATCAATGATTTTAGTGGCGTTTGGTGTCCCCTGCTGTTTTTTAAGGATAAAATCATGGGTAACAAACGAAAGGACTTTGCTTTTCATTGTTAGTGAATGGAACTTCGTAAAAACAGTGAAAAAAATCTGCACAGCTATTTACAGTGCCTTGCGAAAGTATTCGGCCCCCTTGAACCTTTCAACATTTCGCCATATTTCAGGCTTCAAACATAAAGATATAAAATTGCAATTTTTTGTCATGAATCAACAACAAGTGGGACACAATCGTGAAGTGGGATGAAATTTGTTGGATAATTTAAACTTTTTTAACAAATAAAAACTGAAAAGTTGGGCGTGCAATATTATTCGGCCCCTTTACTTTCAGTGCAGCAAACTCACTCCAGAAGTTCAGTGAGGATCTTTGAATGATCCAATGTTGTCCTAAATGACTGATGATGATAAATAGAATGCACCTGTGTGTAATCAAGTCTCCGTATAAATGCACCTGTTCTTTGATAGTCTCAGGGTTCTGTTAAAAGCGCAGAGAGAACCATGAAGACAAAGGAACACACCAGGCAGGTCCGAGATACTGTTGTGGAGAAGTTTAAAGCCGGATTTGGATACAAAAAGATTTCCCAAGCTTTAAACATCTCAAGGAGCACTGTGCAAGCAATTATATTGAAATGGAAGGAGTATCAGACCACTGCAAATCTACCAAGACCCGGCCGTCCCTACAAACTTTCATCTCAAACAAGAAGACTGATCAGAGATGCAGCCAAGAGGCCCATGATCACTATGGATGAACTGCAGATAACTACAGCTGAGGTGGGGATGGTGTGTTCAGGGTGATGAGCTGTGTTGCTTTTACGCCAAACATATCGTTTTGCATTGTGGCCAAAAAGTTTGATTTTGGTTTCATCTGACCAGAGCACCTTCTTCCACATGTTTGGTGTGTCTCCCAGGTGGCTTGTGGCAAACTTTAAGATACTTTTATTGGATATCTTTGAGAAATGGCCACTCTTCCATAAAGGCCAGATTTGTGCAGTGCACGACTGATTGTTGTCCTATGGACAGACTCTCTGAGACTATCAAAGAGCAGGTGCATTTATGTTTGAAGCCTGAAATGTGGCAAAATGTTGAAAGGTTCAAGGGGGCCAAATACTTTCGCAAGGCACTGTAGCTCCCAATCAGTGTATTTTATTTACACACCAAAAACGTTACGTTTCGGGCTGAGGCCCTCGTCAGACATAAAATCCAGACACACCTGGTAGCAATTTTAAGGACTGTCACGTGACTGGTCCTAAATACACATGCTGCCGTTAGGTCAGTTAATACGCAGAAACGAAGTTTCCTATCACAACTATGCAGACGACACTCAGATCTATGTCTCACTGACTGCAGGAGAACATGGACCAGTGGACTCACTCCTTCACTGTATCCAACAGATCAGTGAGTGGATGCAAAACAACTTCCTTCAGCTAAACGCAGACAAAACTGAAATGATTGTCTTTGGTCCCCAGAAACAAAGAGAGAGCGTCATCTGTCATCTACAGTCTCTCTCCCTAAAACCTTCAAACAAGGTCAGATATCTAGGGGTAATACTGGACTCAGACTTACATTTTAATAGCCACATCAAATCAGTTACATCAGCAGATTTTTACCATCTAAAAAATATTGCCAGGATCAAAAACATAGTGTCTAAAGCAGATTCTTATCCATGTATTTGTCTCCAGTAGGTTAGACTACTGCAATGGCCTGCTCACAGGTCTGTTCAAACCATAGACTGTATATATTAACGGACAGAGTCACGCCTATCTCCGCCGTTCTAACTAATGGGCCAAAAAATGTGCTCTACTGGAGCAATCCAAAATGGCCGCGAGTTGTCCCGCCCACAAGAAAATTGTGAAAAAACGCATCTGCGCATGCGTCAGCTGGCGCAACTCCATTCATTTGAGCCAGCACGCTAGCTCAAACTACAGGGATGTGCGGCCTTATTTGAAACATTAGTGAATGGAACTTCCACATTAGTTGTCAAAGAGCTAGGGAGTTAGCCGTAGACCCGTATTCTCTCCTGACCTGGTACTCCTCTACCAGGGCGTAAATGTGGTCAGATCAAAGGCTCTGCTTGTACTCTGTGTAAACACTGCAAGTGTCTCAAATTTCTACTCTTCAATTCCATATGAGACCTGATCCTTGTTTACTACTGTTGTACATCCATTCTTGCTGTCATTTGGGCTCACACTTTTGGTTATAAGAAATCCTGGATTTTAAAACGTGAAAGGGTGATATGTTCAAATATTGAGACGAAACATAAAGTATGCATCTTTGTATAAACGTGTGCTGCCTTTGTGTTCAGTGTCACTCGGAGTCCAGTCACTCGGAGGATGTGTCCAGTGATGGGGAGGACGACTCTGCATCAGTGTCTCGTTCCTCATCGCGTTCTGGCTCCAGAACTGAGGCCCCGCGGTCCGACTGCTCTGCCCCCGGAGCAGGGCCTCTGGAGGGGGGCTTTCTCTCCTCCACACCGGCACAGTGGAGCGTGGAGGAGGTCTGCCGTTTTATCTCCTCTCTACAAGGTCAGTGTTTATTCAAATGATACTCATGATAACTCATGACTTTGAGCTTCTTGGCTGAAAGGAATTTGATTAGATTCAAAGTTTAATACTGCTGAGGATAAAACATACTTTCAGCTTCCTCTTTCATGCAATATCTTTTTACTCCTTATCCTCATTTTGAAGCTAAAGCATCAGACGATTCATACACAGGGCAATTCAAAGTGTTTTTTCCCCAAATAATAAAGAATATATTAAAACTCATAATACTAACAATTAAGTTCTAGAGTCAAATAATGTTTACAGCTGGGTGTCCTCAAATAGCCATGTCATGTTGGGCTTAGATCTAAATTGGAATTGCATTTCTCAATTTGGGCAATGCAAAAATAAATATTTTTGATTTATTATTTTTTTAATAACCAATAAATAGGATCTTTGATATGCAGTTCCGGCTTTAGGGTTGACTCCACATTAACTTGTGGCCTCGTTTTTTCATTTACTCTTCTCCAGGCTGTGAAGAGCTGGCTGCTCAGTTTTTGTCCCAGGAGATCGACGGCCAGGCGCTTCTGCTGCTGAGGGAGGACCACCTCATCTCCACCATGAACATCAAACTGGGACCAGCGCTCAAGATCTGTGCCTCCATCAACAGCCTGCGCGAGTGATGCCTAGAAAAGCTAATTTAAGAAGTGTTGAATGTACATGTTTACTTTATATTACTGCAAAGTCTATGTGCAGTTAAAATAGTTTGAATTCATTCATCATGATGATCTCAATTCGCTGATTTCTAACGACACACTAGTTAAGGGCAACACAGTGACCGCAGTGGTCCTGACAGAGGCCCTGGTGCTGTAGAAGGATGAGACCAATGCACAGGACAGTTTTCCCCACTCTATGTCTTTACTGTGACAATACAGTGTAACTTATTCTGCAATCACAAATTAATATTGTTTCAACTGTTAAAACAAAATGCTTCATCTCTATTTGGGAAGACCTCTTCTATGTCATTGAAAAATGTTGAAAGTGTCAAACACTGTTACAACCCGGCTCTGTGAGGGTGTAAGAAAGTAACAAAAACCAAGATGTCAACTTAAATCATGATTTGTTTAAAAGTATCTAAAAACGAGTAACAAAGATTGAATATTTATAAATGACCTATATAACAAAGGCACAAGTCGCATCATAAGACAAGAAAAACCCGAATGGCAAACTGGACTCAAAGATCGGCAGCTTATGAGGTTTTTGATGTTATGAATTCATGCTATTTGTTTAGTCGTTAAAAGTGCATGTGACAGGTTTAATGTTCTTATTTTTGGTATAAGGTCATCAATATTTAATTGCTTCACTCAAGAAAAGTCACAGATTGTGAAGAAAAGTTATAAAATATATTTAAAGGATTGTTCAAGTTCAGCACATCATTCTACAAACACATCTATGCCACAGTTTTTATTTAATTTATGGAAATATCAGATTTGTTCATATTCCCTTCTAAGTGTTTTGGATCATGGTTCCTCTCTAGAATTCCTGAGTGCAGTTTTTCCCGTAGTCGGAAACCCATGTGGCCTTCCTCATCCATCAAAAAAATCACTTAACAATTCACCATTATTTATCGTACGTATGTTTTTTCCCAGATTTTATATTAAAACAAAACATGGTTTCAGTAGAGGGGAAGGGGCGTGAAATGACCCCACTGCCAAACAGAGAACGTTCTAAAGGCTGAGGCAGACGTTAAACATGGTATAAGTGTTTTAGGGAAATGTGTCGCCTAACCCTGTCACATGCACTTTGTTTTGCAGTGTGGACCCTGAATGTGCAAATTTGTTTAATAAGAAAAATATTTTAGATATCGACTGAAAAGTTTACTCTTAAAGCTGAGGTACCCATGTTAGTAGTACAGGTACCGACATGTATTTTTATTTTTTCATAAATAATACAGTTGTTGGTCCATAGTATTGTAAAAGTAACATGGGAAACATATTTTGGATATTTTATTACATCTCTGTAGATTGAAACTTAGGTACCCCAGCTTTAACCACTTGGGTGAAAATCCAAGTTGCCTTCTCTTCGATCACTTTAACTGTAGCTGATGCAGGAAACTAATGTAAAAAGTTTGTATTGTCAAAGTTTATCTGTTTAAATCCAGGATGCAACCATAAGACCTGGCTCGAAAAAGCTGTTTTTTTTACTTTTTAAATCTAGTTTTGTACTTCTTTGTGTTTTCAAATATATATATTTTTCCACTGAGATGTTTATGTGTGTGATCTATTGAGAGCGGTCCCAGTGAGAATGCAATAAAATTACAAGATGCTTTTAAAGGCACTGCACCTGATTTTTCTTCAAGCGTGGAAACCATAACTCGATTTGTATGTTGAATGGTTTTAAGGCTAAAAAAACAAACGTGTCACAATAAACACAAAAGCAACTTAAGTTGTTCACCTCGACACCATGTTTTTCTTAGAACGCAGCAGAATTCTTTGTACATGTTTGCAGTATCCTCAATAAACTTTACCAAAAATCTTTGATGTCTTGGCTTTTATTATATTTACATTGTGATCTCGTAAACATTTATTACAGACATGGGACACATTAAAGTTACTCTGGTAAAAATAACATTCTTCATGATTCCTTTGCGTTCCACTCCCATTTGATTTACAGGCTTTAGAAATATATTAACTACACAATAAAATATAAAGTGACTTGCAGCTTTATCACGTTTGCGTTTCAACACCGTAACATGGAACATCAATGATTTAGCACAAACATTTTCAAACTTATTGTAAACTTTCAGGTTAAGGGGATGTGTATTAATGTTGACGCAGAAACAATGTGTTTTGGTCATAGTAACTTCACTATTGTTGAATGTTTAACTTTGCAATGTTCTGGACAACATTCACATTAGCTTCTGTGGCCTGGATCCTTTTTTTTTCCTGTGGTACTACATAAAGTTTTGCTTTGATTAAATATAAGCTCAACACAGGTCCCATTTCTCTTCCTTTGGAGAAAGTCAGAATGAACCACAAACAATGTGCAGTGGCCATTGTACAGAAGTCCGTCAACCTGGTTCAGTTTCACAAATGTTTATTTTTTTCCCCCTAAATACAGTGTGAACGTAGAGTAATCCTGGAAGTTGAGAGCCATTTTTGATGCAATAATTCAAAATCTTGGTTATTTAAAAATGACTTGAATTCAGCATAATTTCAGAAGTTTTTAAATAAAAAATCTGTCCTTGTTTGAATTTGGATTCAACTCATTTTAATTGTGGTTAAATAGAAAAAAATGTCAGTGCATCAAACTTTCACCTCCCTTTCATCTTCTCCACATGTTGTCCCCTTGGCCACTTCCATTGTAAAAAAAAAAAAAACCTCTTCCGCTTTAAGCCAAACTGCCCCAGGTTTCAATCCCACATTCTCTGGACCAGCTGCAATGTCCTCTCCCTGAGTACTGGTTGGGATTATCTGAGGCTCCAGTCCCTGAACCCAGTTGTGTGTTCAGATTCAGAACACAGTGTAGTTGTTGGTCTCCCCGTAGCCCGCCTCCTGCAGATACCGCTCGATGTTCACGGCTCCTGGAGACTTCATGCTTTTGTCAGACGCACTTTTCTCCACTGACGACAGTTTACGGCTCAGATCTGACAGAGACGGGCGCTCGCTCTCCTTCCACTGACAGCAGCTTTTAATGATGGAGTGTCTGAGAAGGAAACATCAGAGCACAGAGTTATACATGATAAGTTAGTAAGTCAACTTTATTTATATAGCACCTTTCACAGACCAGAGTCACACAGTGCTTTAAAAATGTTGTGGGCATTTTTCTTGACTCAAACCAGGACCTTCTTTCTGTGAGGCACAAGTGCTAACCACTGCGCCACTGTTAATGAATTTACTTTAGACATAGTAGTTTTTATCTAATGTATTATCGATTTGGATTATTTATTTTAGATTTCCTCTATCTCTTTTAGTTTTGGCTATTGTTTAACATGTATAAACAAAAAACATAAAAAAACTATGGAGTAAGGCACTAGAGAAGGTACATTTTGGACCAGTTAAAGTTAACTTTACTGGACATTCACGGCTACTTCTACAAATAATTACCAATTATAACATGATTGGATCTAATTTTTGTCAGTGAACATACTCTTCATAATTCAAGTTTTACCTTGCTGTAAAACTAATGTGCATTTTTTATAGTATGTTTTATTCACTACTAGAAATACTCAAATACTGCTAAAATTCCACTTACAAGTTGTTGGAGCAGTTGAATGGCTTTTTCAAACTCTTCCCTCGTTGATGAAACTGCATCAGTTCATTCACAGGGATTTCAGCAAACGGAGCTTCTCCTAAAGCAAAAAATGTAAAAAGGCACGTTACACTTTGATTAGACAATTATGTTTTCTTTGAAGGTAAGCATTCTTACCTAAAGACGCCATTTCAAACAGCAGGACTCCAAATGACCAACTATAACACACAGAGGGGAAAAAACATTTTTGATGTTCAAGAGTTTAGCATTTTTCTTTTATTTTGGCCGTCAGCAGATCTAATGATAATGAAACTAAGAAGATAGAAATTTACACGTGTGAATGGAAGTGAGGAGCAAGCTTAAAAATGCAACCCCCAAAATTTGATGAAAACAGCTGTAAAGACATAACTTTGTTCTTGTCAATGTCAAAGTTAGAGCTATTAGTTTGAAATGTGGATTTATTTGAGTAAACAAAACACACAAAGTAAGGTTTAACTCAGACTAATAGGATGAGTCATCTGTCTTCTTTTCCAAACAGACATTCTCATTAATATAAAATGTTGAATGCAGTATTGTGATGAGTGTTCTCTCACATGTCGCTGCTGTGGCTGACCGGCCTCTTGGCCAAGCACTCGGGCGACTGCCACTTCTTCATGCTGGGGTCGTCCCTCTGCGTGCTCTGGTTCTTGCGGGAGTAGACTCCATGAAGCCCCCACAGTTTGGCCGTGTAGCTCTGACTCACCAGGACACTGCGAGCTCGAATGTTCCCGTGGAGCAGGTCTTTACCGTGCAAAAACTCCTACACAAAAATGTAATTAGTGACAGAAAAATACACTAATTATGTTGTAAGCTCGTGTCATATTTAACTGACCAGTGCTGAGGCCACTTGTGTGGCCATTGTGTAAATTCTTCTTTCTGTCATCTCACACGGAGGGTCAGTTTCCTGTAAAAACAACAATTCTAAATCAAAAACCAATATTGGCGGGCCCACAACAGAACAGAACCATAAAGGGGATGTATAACGCCACAGGGTCTTTTTTGAGCTTGTTTGAAAGTTTAATGTAAAAGTCCTGGATTAATATCTTGTCCATCCATGGGATCCCTCTCTCAATATAAAAAAAAAAAACATTTCCCACTTTTTCCGTCTGTATTTTTCTTAGGTTGTTACTTGCCAATTCAGAAGGGTCTAAGTCGGACTGTGATGATCCGGAATCGGGTGAAATCTACTTGTATACTTCCTGCAGTGGACCATTGAAGCCTGTTCCTTAGCAGTGACCTGGTCGAGCACTTGTGTCCACTTTTGGGTCTCTTGTAATAAGATAACATAAGATGTGCTTTATTTATCTCACAAAGGAGAAATTTAGATGTCACATTGGCATGGATAGAGACACTCAGATTGTGCAAAAGAAAGAAATGTGCAAACATGTTACATGGAGGATAATTATGTACAACAAAAGTGTCAAGTGTCAATTGGAAACAGTGTCAATTAATAGTAGTATGAATGTTATGTTTTGGTGTTGTTTTTCCAAAGCCTGGGAACCGCTGTCCAAAGAGAAATTTCTCATGTGGGAGATAAAAGAATCATCTTACAATTCATTTCAAACACTTTTGTCAGTAATTTTTGGACCCCTGACGCACTCGCTCGCATACTGATCTTCTTACAGTACTAAAATCATGAAGCTTTGGATAAGCTAATAACAGAAGAGTAAGAGCTCACCTGTCTGCATCTCCACAAGACACTGAGCAGGTCCCTGTTCTCCAGCTCCTCGATGACTGTCACCAGGGGAGCTCTGAGTGACACCACCCCCAGCAGCTCCGGGAGGAAAGGGTGAGGTCCGAGCTGAGCCAGGAACGAAGCAAAGCCCAGGAAAGAGTGTCGCTCAGAGGCGTCCGCCGTGTCTGAACAGCCCAGAGAAGACAATATTTGAGCCTGCCTGGACTGGGAAATATCTGAACCGTTTGAAGTTTATCCTTTATGACATATTCTGCACAACTTCAACCTCAGTTATGATTATTAGAGGTGGTAGTAGTAGTTAAAGCTTGTATTTAAAGGTTACCCATTCTTTAACATTTGTCGTTTGGGATCAGTTGTCATGTGTTCAGTAATATCCAAAATAAAATAAAGTTATAATTGTTTTAGTGTGAATCTGAAAATGACCGTTTACCGTTGAGCACGCGCAGCACCACGTTCCGGTTCTCCATTTGCGCTCGGTAAAGCTTTATGCAGGAGTCTGAGCGCAGGGAGAAGGCAGTGGGCAGGGGAGACACCAGGTTGAACTTCTCAGGTAACCTCTGCCGCGGAAGCTCCCTGGGCTGAGCCACGGGCACGAAGCTGGGCCGGAAAACCTCTGGTGGCGGGGCCACAGTCTCCACGGGGACGCGCAGGCTCTTGGATGAGGCGTACGCCTTTGAAGGGTAGGTGTGGGGCAGTTGGAAAGTGGAGTAGGTGCTGTTGGGCAAGTCCAGAGCAATGCTCTCGTGCTCCAGCGGGTTGAAGCTGGGAGGAGCTGCGAATAGAGAGTATGGCCAATGTAATCATTATAAAAAAAGACCAGAATAACATAAGCCAAACATAATGACAAACATAACGATTTATCTGTTATTGAGTGCCGCTGTAACATTTCCTCTTTGGATAATCAGCATTATCCTGCATTGATGCTTATGTCATTAACCAATTACAAGCCTTGTTCCAAGTTGAAAACAACAATTGTCAGCAATTGTCAACAAAAAAAGAAAAAAATAGTTCCACCAAGGTCACAAGTAAATATTTTGGCCAATTCACATTAAAATAGCCTTAACCCACAGGCAGATCCATGCATTTCAACTAATGCAACCAGTGTGTGGGTTAGCTGTATTTGTCCACTTATATTGTGCTGTGTGCTCCTCACTCCCACTGTCCTGTGACTGGTGATGCAACACTGACATTTCCTACTGTGGGACGAATAAAGGATCTCTTCATCTTATTTGTGTTACTTTTCTATATGCAAAAAATATTTATTGTTGTTAAGATCCCAATGTTCCCTCTCTGTCTCTCACACACGCACACACACACACACACACACACACACACACAAACAAACACACACAAACACACACACACACACACTTTTCTCACCATCGATGCCGCTGAGCTCTCGTCGGTTGCGCTGAGGGCGGAAAGACTTCTTGAGGTTCTCAGGTCGTATGCGGTCCACTCGCTCGGGGCAGTACCGCAGCAGGAACACAAAGACCATTGTGACCACAAAGATGGTCAGCAGCAGGATGGGCACAACGATCACCTCCTGCTCGTACACACGGATCTCTGGGAAATCACAGGGACACAAACTTTAGTTTTAAATAAAACAAAACAACCATTTTTAACTTTAATAGAAAACAATGTTGTTTGTTTGTTAAATGTTCTGACCAAAGTGCAAATCTTGCGCAGAATAGGTTTGAATACTTCTACTACAATACAAATCAAAAAGTGTCTCGATAGAAGATATAAAAAAACCATATATTTTAATAAAGATAAAAAAACACATATTTTAGTAAATATAAAAAAACATACATTTCAATGTAGTACAGATTAACACCTGCAAGATACTGTATGAGCAGAGAACCATATAGTCCTAAACAAAATTATCAAAATAAGATGTGCACATCTTTCTTTCTATTATGGAGGACCAAAACTGTCCAAAAATAATAAATAAATGAACGAATAAATGAATGTCACAATCTGCAAATATTTATCAAGATAACTCTACAAATGAGATTTAATACATATATATTATTTTAACACAAATGTTTTTGCTTCAAAACTAAATAATAGTTTATTTATTATTATTATAATATTATATATAATAATAATTATTATAATTATTATTATTATTATTATTATTATTATTATTATTATTTATTTTCTCCACATCTTCCTTTATTTCCTTTTTTATTAATGTTTTGATTCATTAATTCACGACACATCATTCTTTCCTCATGTCTTGGAAAGCAACGTAAAAGAAGGGGCGGAGCTACAGGAAGTTAGACCAAAGCAGATTATCTGAGATGAGGAGGTCTGACCCACAGTGAGGAGGTCTGAGGAGGTCTGACCCACAGCGAGGAGGTCTGAGGAGGTCTGAGGAGGTCTGAGGAGGTCTGAGGAGGTCTGACCCACAGTGAGGAGGTCTGAGGAGGTCTGACCCACAGCGAGGAGGTCTGAGGAGGTCTGAGGAGGTCTGAGGAGGTCTGACCCACAGCGAGGAGGTCTGAGGAGGTCTGAGGAGGTCTGAGGAGGTCTGACCCACAGCGAGGAGGTCTGAGGAGGTCTGACCCACAGTGAGGAGGTAGTATAATAATACATTTGTTACATATCATGATTTGTAGCATTATATTGATAATATTTTGCATTCATTTATTTATTCATTATTTTTGACAGTTTTGGTCCTCCATATTCTATCATGAACTGTAATCTCTGTGTCTTTTCCTTTGAGACGTGCAGTAGACATAGTTCATGTATTTCCTGCTCTACCTCATGTGGACTCACCGCAGATGGTATCGCCCTGTTTGCAGAGATAGTCCGATTTGGTTAAGGAAGACATCCTGTTGACAGTAAAACAAGAAACATTAGGCATAAGTGCAACTTTCTATGTGATATTTAGCAAACAAGGAAATTCGAAAAAGGTTTCAACTTGATCTCTTGATTGCCTGAGAATGAGATAAAAAATAAAAAAAATAAACAAAATCCCATGAGCAGTAACTGGACTCTGAAGTCACTGGTCTAAGTTACTTCCTCTGAACTCGTCCCTGGGTTCTGATTAAGTAACTTAGACCAGCACCTCAGCTTTTCTTACCACTACAAAACACTGGCTTGTATTATTTAGACTGCCAGCTCACACTTCAAATAGCAACAACTTCAGAAAACAAAATACACACCCAGCCTCAGTCCTGTCTCCCATGTAACAAGATTACACAGGTTTTTTTTTTTTTTCATTGGATTCCAAGATGAATATAGTTGATCATTAAATGCAGGGTCGGCCACAACCACATATCGATCACTCTTGATAATATTTTACATATTGTTTAAATGCAGCATAAAGTGTGATTTCTCAAACTGCACAATTCTTCAAAATGTTGCCATTTTATGTTAAAAAAATCTGTCATGTTTATTTTAATCTTAATTCAGGTAAACTAAGTAAGTCTTACTTTTGACTTTGCCATTTTTTTTTCATTACTAATACTACCAATGTTGGCTATCACAAGGCACCTGCAGGGCAAGGGTGTCCAAACTATTGTACTCAGTGGGCCAAAATAAATTTTTTATTATGTGTTTTTTGTTCAGTTATGTTTGTATTTAACTGGACCAAAGGGAGTAAAGGCTTGTCATTATAGACTGACAGTTTAATTATACTTTATTTAATTAACTAATACTAATTGTTTTGAGTTCAATGCTTGGAATTAATTAAATGGCATGGGTGGTTTCTCAAGAAAATTGGCTTAACAAAGGTGCATAACATTACCATCAATGCTGCAAGTTGATAATAATAATTTGTTAAAATAATCATTTTGGGGGCCACTAACTGCACTAGAGATACTACTTACTTTCTTGTCTGTTTCACATCAGGTTTGTAATGTAGAAGGTTAGTTTCTCATTGAAGTAATAAGTTAAGGAAAAATAAGATGAATTGATCTCACTCTGGAGAATTGTGCATATAACAATTGGCATAGATAGTCACTCAGATTGTGCAAAAAGACAGAAGTGTGCAAACATGTTAAAGGTTAAAATACAGTCTGTATTATACAGTCAATAAAAGAAACAGTGGCAATAGCAGTGCAGGTTTTTCAGTCCTAGTGCAATAGTGACTTAAAGTGACTCACTGTACAGTCTGACAGCGGTGGGGATAAAAGTTAAGGTAAATGGAATATATAAATTGCGATGTCTCTTCTCACACAAACCTCTCCTCCACTCTCCGCTCTGAAGGGCCACCTGATCAGTGCTGACGTCATATCAAAGACCTGTTCATCTGCATTTCTGCCACGCGACACGTTTACAGTGCGCCCGCCCTCAGTAAACAGCATTAACCACAATCCACCAGTCCCTTCCCGGGCTCCAAACGTGTGCTGAGACTTGTAAAGCGACACTAAGATAGTTTTTTCATCCACCATCAGCCCCAGACGACCCGCTCTGAATCATTAAACAGCTGATGGCGTCCGCAGGGGCTGAGTATCCTGCCGTCTCTCCACACACTCTTATTGTTTGAGCCTCAAACCTGCTGAGATATCTTTAACACCCCTTACTTGTTGTGAATTTTTTTTTCTAAAGATTATACACATGGTTTTAAAAAATTATCTTATCTAAAAAATAATAAAAAATTCAAAAAGGTAGTGGTAGTTCAGTGGTGCTGTTTGTTTTCATGATAGTGACCTTGAATGATAAATAATAATCAAGCTGTAATTATCAAATCCATGTGACTAGTTCCTGGCTCTATCACTTGTTTCCACATGCATGTATTTCGGCCTCTGTCCCAACACTAAATCAGACAGAAAAGAGAAAAAGTGGAAAAAAAGATCGACTGCCACTCATCAGCTCTCAGCTACAATCGTCAAATAGTGATTCACAGGGATCTTTCTTATAAGTAAGTAAGTAAGATAACACGTTTTCTGATACGGGGCTGCAATATTTTTGATATATTGTTTTGTTTGTTTGTTTGATGTATTGTATTTTAATCTGTAGCACTTTGAGGTTTCCTGGAAATGTAAGATGCAATATAAATAACATGTATTATTATTACTATTATTATTATTATTATTAACATTATTATTATTATTATTAAGACAGCAAGTGGTGAACTGATTTGTTTACATTTGACCTTCATTTGATCACTGCATATAAAGTCTTCCTTATTATTATTATGGTTGTAATATTTTGAAGTGTCAGATAATGCTATACTGCAAAACATTTCAGGCAAATCAGTAACGTCACCATGGAAACTGGAAGGTTGCAGTCTTGGCTTGAGTACATTTCCATATCTAAATAAACTTGCTATTGAGTGCAGACTTTGCCTTTTACATTTGCTTTCTAAAACTCAATTAACAGTAAAATCAATTAAGTAAACATTGAAAGTAATCTTAATTTGCACATATCAATGCATCATCAAAGACATTTTTATTTTGGTCATATAATGTGGCACAGAATGAATACAGTATTACAGGTACCGTCTTGTTCTCAGTCTAATGGATCTCACCTGTTCAATGTTGCCGTTGTCCACTAAAAAGTCAGCTTAGGAAGTCCACAATCATGTTTGATCCTGTTTTTTTTTGCGTGTAGGTGCTCCCGTGTCACATCTTCAGTCAGAATGAGGAGTGCCGCGTCGCCAGTTCATCTTGTTTACCTCCGTGTCCGGCTCCAGGGATCAGTGTTGTTACTCTTTTTCATCACACCTTTCGTTACACTCCTCCCACTCCACCTGCACGGCCACCTTTCTCCTTTCTCCCCTTTGCTCCTGTCTCAAAAGAACAGAATCATTACTAACACATATTCGTAGTCATTAAAATACTGGGTTTTTAGTTGAATAATGGCTTACGAGAGTCTGAGTAGTGCTGTCCGCCAGACGCCCTGCCTCTCATGTGTCTTTGTCTCTGGAGAAACTGGTCCAACTGCTTCTTGTCATTTTTAGTTCACCGTCTTTTGTTAACCTTGTTTCCCACATAGCTAAGCAACTTGTAAAGCGAGATTATCTTTGCCCCAGGGCATTCTACTACCAGTAACAAGGCTCGACTTCATTCCTTTTACTCCATCATAATGTTTAATGTCCACTGAAAGAACTTTAGATTTACAGAAAGCTGGAGAAGTTTGAATGAAATAAAATAATAAATATGTAATAAAGTCCATCCAACTGGTTCAGAACTCTCAACAGTCACCAGTTTTACTTGGACTTTTTTTTTTTTATCTCCGTCATCTTTTGATCAGATTTTCCTTAAGTATGCAGAAGATAACATGTTTTCTGATAAGATAAAGACATACCTTACAGTCTTTATCATGTTATGTCTAATTTTCTTACAAAATTGAATTGCTTTTTGTTATTAATGGAAAAAAATATAGATACCCCAGATTTCACATTAAGAAGCCGTTTAGGTTTTAAAATTGTTTGTAGGATAAGCAGAATGAATAGGCCTGTCGCACAGCTTTTTCTAGACGATGTTTTGCTTAAGATACAGGTGAACCTGTAAATAAGAATGTTGTTTAAAAGTTACAAATTAACTTTTAAACAACATTCTTATTTAGAGGTTCACCTGTATCTTAAGAAAAACATCGTTCTAGAGTTAAACTTAGAATGCAAAACCAATATAATAAATTGGTCTGCATGACACTTTACAAGCCTTTGTTTGCCCAAAATAGTCTAATTCAAATTACATGTTTTTACTGTGAGCCATCATAGCAAATTTATATATACTGTATCTCACTCTGTGTGTAATGAGTCTGGCATACATTAGTTTCACATTGCAGGTTGTATCACAGAAAAATATTATGGTTTACTGATTTTCATAGTTTCACCTGTAAATCTTGTGATACATGATAATATTGAAACCACCTTATGCCACTGACACAACAGGATATTCAGAGATTCTTAAACCTTTCAGTCAGGGACCTACAATATATGAGTTTATTTTATCAACTCAGTCATTATTTTTGTCAAAACACTCACTAAAGGAAATACATTGGTTTAACTTGAGATGCTTTTTGTACCCCTCAAAACCCTGGGACAAAGCAACCATCTTTATCTGAAGCTGAAAGTAACATCAACTTATTGGAGATGACGGTTTTCATTTTACTGAGAAAAAAAAAGAAATAGAGGGAAATATGGTCCAAAAGTCACTTTATGCCACACTCATTTTAATCCTAAAAAAGACCAAATGTGACTATTATTTAAAAAAAAAGTTGTATGTTTCATACAAGCCTTATGTCTCCATTAGAGCATCAACTCAGAGGAGCTACGCCCTGTTTGTTTAAAACACACTCTTCCCTTCTCATGTTTACTGTGACAATAAAACAATGTGTGTATTCAATTTAACCTGGTGTTTTGGTAGTAGGGAGGGTCAGAAAACAAAAACATATACTCAAGTGAGAAAGCTGGCTCTTTATGATATTAGAACAAAATAATGATCACAACTGTTTTTGTTCACTACAAGAGGGCAGTAAACAGACTATTCTGCTGTAACAAGAGGCTTTACTCAGTCAATGTGGGCAAATGTCTGTGTTGACTGTGTACCTCCCTCTTTAGAATGTTTGGCTTTTTTGACAGAGCTTCCGGTGACATTATTTAGTTAATTCTGAGAAAAAAAACCCAACTAGGTAGGATTAAAATATTTTGTTTATTATGAAAATGTTTAGCTCTTTCACTTAAGTATGCATTTTGTAGATTTCTTTTTCGCAGCAAGAAGTTATCATTAGACGTATTACTGGCATTATTACAAAGACAATTCAATCAATGAAATGTTTACATTTTACCTCCACCCATGAGGTAAAGTGATACACAGCGTTTGTCTGTTTGCCTGTGAGCAACAAATCTCAAAGTTACAAGAGGATTTGGTCAGAACTTTCAGGAAACGTGCATTGATAGATTCAGTTTTGGAGGTGATACGAATCCCTGGCTGGATGCAGGATTGTGCATCTAGACAGAGGTCTGTGCTCTACGAGTGCTGTTCTAATTTCTTATTTCTACCTTGTTGAAGGCACTGATATCAAAAAAGGACATTGCAGTCCTATAAATTTGCTTGGACTTTGTCTGGTTGAGGCCCAAGCCATTTTTCTCCTGAAAAAGAGAGCCACACTCAATTATTTGAGCATAAAGAATATAGTTTGTATGTTATAATAAAAACCTAATTGAATGTTTTAATATAAACAAATTATTGTACTTTTTTACAAACAGTGATCTTACCAATGCAGTGAGCCATGAGCTCAAAACGGTCTGATCCAAAAAACATTTCTTTCTTTCCATCCACATGACAGACAATCATGGGGAAACCAAATGCCTTAGAGATGTGAAAACAGCATAATTATATCCATATATTTAATTAGAATTTAATTTATGAAAGAACAACTCACCCCATGTTCGAGAGCTTCTTGTGTTGCATTTTTCAGCTTGTCTTTGATTCCGTCTGTTGTCGCCAACGCCAGCGCTTCTTCAATTTCCTTATGAGACAGACCAGCCTTCACAGCAGCCTGCAAAAGAAAGTTACCGTAAACCAATTTGATTTTAGATTCAGCATTGTTGATAAAGGCATGATAATATATTCTACCTCAGTGAGTGAGTCTGGTTGGGTGATGTCCTGGTCTAGGCTCCAGATCCTCCTCCACAGCTCGCGGGACACATTCTCCGTTTGTTTGTCTCCTCCACTCTCCCTGTCCTGCACCGCCGTCACAAAACGCATTGCAGCCAAAGAACCTGTGAAGACATCAAATGTGTCTGAGGTAAGTGCGAATCATTAGATTATTAATATATCTTTTAAAACTCCAAATGTTGGAAGGTCAAAACACAGACACATTATGGCTGGGGCTATTTTGCAAAAGTTTTGTGAGGTCCTAACACAAGACACTTCAACAACATGAACCAAGAATGAATGGATGAATAGAAGGGCTCATGGTGGATTATCGCAGGCTCTGTGCAGTTCATCCGCACCAGGGCAGCTGTGGCTACAGTAGTACTTTACTGTGTGTGCAGCACTTTGAATGTTATGAAAGGCACTTCATAAATGTCATGTCTTTTAAATGTGTACATAAAGATTAGGGCTGTCAAACGATTAATCTTTTTATCGAGTTAATTACAGCTTAAAAATAAATTAATCGTAATTAATCGCATTTCAAACTATTGGCAAAATTATGCCATATTTTTCTGTAAATTGTTGTTTGAATGGAAAGATAAATGACAGCTTAGTGAACATATGTACTGTATTTGTTTGTTATAACAATAAATCCATATAAAAGAAATTCTGTCTTTCTGTCTAGACTCAGACCAAAACCATTGTTTGTTACAGATGAGGGACATTTCAAACAGTCTGAAATGCAGAATGTCATTAAATCTGTTTGATTTGCTCACACCATTACTTTTTTAACATGAACTGGTAGTCGAAAGGAAAATTAGGTATCTCAGCTTTAATTTAGCGAGTGCGCTTCGGGAGAAGACACGGAGGAGACTGAGGCTCCGCAGTCCAGCTTCAGCGCTGTACATATTGTGTGCATCGGTTACGCAACGTACGCACACTAGAGAATAGTTCTGTAATAGTTCTGTGCGTGGTCTTGGATATGATCCCATTACGCAGCGCCGTTCGCCGTGATCACAGCCGCTGGAAGTGGTGCTGCTGTCCAGAGCGCTGTGGCGCCCGCAGCTCATCATGCAGAGTTCATACAGGAAACAACAAGTGCCCCGCGGTCACGCGTGTATTCTTTCAAAACTTGAATTCCCAGAGGGCCTACCTGCTCTGTCCCCATCTTACACACGCATGTGTCCGCGGCATCCGTGGAGTGTTATTATGGGACGCATGGGCATGCGTCAAATGCGTTCATTTTTTAAACGCGATTCATGAAAAAAATTAATTAACGTGAGTTAACGCGAACATTTTGACAGCCCTAATGAAGATATAAATGGTCAACATATGCCATATTTTACCAGTGATATTGTTCCACCTCATTTATTGTACAAATGGATGTTTACCTTTTTCAAACATAGCTTCAGCTGGGTTAGATGGAGGCTGAAGAGGAACGTTACAGTACTGAGCGAGGCGGTCCAAGTCCTTCGACATGTAGAGGAATTTGTTAGGCACCAAACCAGGCGGCTTGTTCCCTGTTCAAAAACAAAAGGAAAAATGTTTTTTTTATGATTCATATTATATTAAGTAGCCCCTAAAGTTCCCAAAAGAAAAAATAAGTATCTTGTGTGAACAAAAAATAACTTGTTCCCACAGGATCATATCTTGTGCGCACAAAATCAAAATACACTGCCTTGCGAAAGTATTCGCAAGGCAGTATTCCCCCTTGAACCTTTCAACATTTTGCCACATTTCAGGCTTCAAACATAAAGATATCACATTTTAATTTTTTGTCATGAATCAACAAGTGGGACACAATCGTGAAGTGGAACGAAATTTATTGGATAATTTTAACTTTTTTAACAAATAAACTGAAAAGTGGGGCGTGCAATATTATTCGGCCCCTTTACTTTCAGTGCAGCAAACTCAGTCCAGAAGTTCAGTGAGGATCTTTGAATGATCCAATGTTGTCCTAAATGACTGATGATGATAAATAGAATGCACCTGTGTGTAAACAAGTCTCCGTATAAATCCACCTGCTCTTTGATAGTCTCAGGGTTCTGTTAAAAGCGCAGAGAGAACCATGAAGACAAAGGAACACACCAGGCAGGTCCGAGATACTGTTGTGGAGAAGTTTAAAGCCGGATTTGGATACAAAAAGATTTCCCAAGCTTTAAACATCTCAAGGACCACTGTGCAAGCAATTATATTGAAATGGAAGAAGTATCAGACCACTGCAAATCTACCAAGACCCGGCCGTCCCTACAAACTTTCATCTCAAACAAGGAGAAGACTGATCAGAGATTCAGCCAAGAGGCCCATGATCACTCTGGATGAACTGCAGATAACTACAGCTGAGGTGGGAGAGTCATTCAGATTCAGATTCAGATTCATTTATTTGCCATTTGCAGTAAAACCACATAGGAAAAACTGTGCAAGACTACCCCGGTGTGCACCAGACACACACCAGAGCTCTTGCCACGGCGCCATCTTTACGGCGCCATCTTTACGGCGCCATCTTTACGGCGCCATGCCATAAAGCACGACTGATTGTTGTCCATAGGACAACATTCAGTCGTGCACTGCACAAATCTGGCCTTTATGGAAGAGTGGCAAGAAGAAAGCCATTTTTCAAAGATATCCATAAAAAGTCTCGTTTAAAGTTTGCCACAAGCCACCTGGGAGACACACCAAACATGTGGAAGAAGGTGCTCTGGTCAGATGAAACCAAAATCGAACTTTTTGGCCACAATGCAAAACGATATGTTTGGCGTAAAAGCAACACAGCTCATCACCCTGATCACACCATCCCCACTGTCAAACATGGTGGTGGCAGCATCATGGTTTGGGCCTGCTTTTCTTCAGCAGGGACAGGGAAGATGGCTAAAATTGATGGGAAGATGGATGGAGCCAAATACAGGACCATTCTGGAAGAAAACCTGTTGGAGTCTGCAAAAGACCTGAGACTGGGACGGAGATTTATCTTCCAACAGGACAATGATCCAAAACATAAAGCCAAATCTACAATGGAATGGTTCACAAATAGACGTATCCAGGTGTTAGAAGGGCCAAGTCAAAGTCCAGACCTGAATCCAATCGAGAATCTGTGGAAAAGGCTGAAGACTGCTGTTCAAACGCTCTCCATCCAACCTCACTGAGCTCGAGCTGTTTTGCAAGGAAGAATGGGCTAGAATTCCAGTCTCTCGATGTGGAATTCTTGCCCATTGCGCTACAAACGCAAGGCACTGTATGTTTTTCTTTTGGGAACTTTAGGGTCTCTGTACTTTATTGATCCACGTGTGGAAATGCACGATGAGCAGACTTTAAATACTGCTGGAGAATGCTCCCAGAATGCTTTCCAGAATTACAGTTCTAATATTTGTATGACTAGTCAAAACAAAAACAAAAAAATACAGATTCCAAACCCCTACTACAAGATTATTTTCGAGACCAGTGTTTTTTTAACCTGACCGTTGGGAGTGCTGGTGCAAGATAAATAAAATAATCCACTTGTTGCCTCTATCAGAAGACCAAATGAAACGTGTTGCCGCTTATCCAGAACCCACAAATTAATTTAGCATTATATGGGCATTACAGTTTATGTATCCAATCTGGAGAAATATGTAGAATAATAAAATGTCTTGGGTTAGTGTAGAATAGATCACCTGCTCCTTTCATGACGCCTCCCAGAAATGCTGGTCTTAGTTTGAGATCAATGTTCCACACGTTTCTATAGCGACACATCACCTAAAACAATGAAACAAATTGGTCCTAAGTACTGATGTAACAGCTAGAGGTGGAAAATGCAACTAGAAAGTATAACTTGGAAATTGGAGTAGGCAAAGTGTGAGAATTAACCTTCCAGTGTTAGGCTCAGGGTTCAATTTGCCATGAGTTTCAAAATGATAATTTAGTTCAATTCAATTTAATGCAAACAAAGCATGAACTTGTGGATTTAACATGCAAATAACCTATTCAACACTGCCTACACATTGATTTATTTATGTATCTTTATTTCTTATTGGCCTATCCATTAGGGCAGTAGTAAGTACCACGTATTATGATTATCTGTATAAAGTTCCACAGTGTTGCTTTAAATAACAAAGAACCAAACCTCAAACCCGAGCCAAGAGTAAGGAGACACAACGTCGTAGAACACCTCTATGACTTTACTCGACGCCATCTGCAGACAGTAGTGCTCAGATTTGTGGAAATGTGGAGGATTGTTCTGTACTTTTCACCACAGCAGCAGCAGTGACAGCAGCAGTGACAGCAGGAGCAGCAGCAGGAGCTCAGTGTGGGCAAAGTTCAGGGGCAAAAGGAAGACTTCCGGAAGCTGTTCTCTGAAGCGCAGGCTAATATGTAAACATATAATAACGCACAGTAGTATTTATGCAACGATTCAGACAGCTCGCTTCTTCGTTTCGTTTTGTTTGAAAATATGCAAACCTACATGATAAGTAATATCTCCCTCTAGCGGACGACAGGTAGATTTTTTTTACAATTGTACATTATTTTCTGCATAAACTGATGCAATCTTCTATCTCCCGCCAGAACGGACGATTAAAAATGCTTTCTTAGACTAGAGGAAAAAAACAAAATATTAAAAGTGATGTAGGACTGATCTGCAGCACGACATACAAAGAGACTTTTCACAGCTCCATCAGTCCAATAAGATAGACGTAGACTACTTGATTGATCCAATAGAAAACCCTTTGGCTCGGGAGCCAGCTCGCTTGATGACTGTGTCTGGCTCTTGGACACATTTTAATTTACATTAATAGTAACAATGTTTTATGTATGGATTTCTTATGTATAAAAATGTCAATGAACAGAAGAAGACATACTAAACACTCAATTATAAACACTCCCACTGAAATAGTTTTTAAAGTATGAGTTTGTTTTGCTCTGAGCTAAAAAGGTGCCTGACCTCTAAACACTGTGAGAAGTTAAACCATTGTTGCAGTCATGTCAAAGAAATAGTGTAAATAAATAAATCCATATATATCTATATAAAATAACAGACACTGACAAGAAATCAGAAAGTGATCCATCCATTTTCTTCCCCTTAATCCATTTCTGGGTCGTGGGGCAGTCAGAGCGGCACCCAATTCACATAGCACCATTTATTTTCTTCAGAATAATTTAAATAATGATAAAATTCATAAAACCATTAAATAAATGAGATACCCTTATGTCTGGACTATATGCCACTACTTTGTTGTTCTTTGAACCCTGCGGCGTAGCTAATATGTGTATTCTCATTGTGGTAGAGTTCTCAGAGCAGAGTTTATAGATTTATCATTTTGACTCCATCAAGTTTTAGTAGCTATAGGACACTCAATAGATGACGGTGAATAAGGATTTCTATTAGTCAAGAAAGTATGGTATTTACTATAGAGCTTTCACTGTGTTGCATCTACAGTACCGGTATGTCCATCTATCTGAATTTGTGACATAGACATGACAAAGTACAGGGAAAACGGTTCAGAGTATGTTGGTTCTATATCTCCAATATGTTTATTTGCCTCACATTTTCAATGACTCCATAAAAAACTAAATTATGTCTTCTGCAGCTATATCAATAAAATACTATACAATTTTACTTTTACATCTATTTACATACTGGACGTCCACATATTCAATAAAATAACTGCTATTGACCTTACAATAAAAATCAAATTAACCATAGACTTCTTTACATCAGTTTCATGTTTCTTCTTGAGGACTTGGGTGGTCTCTGATGTCTGGACCGGTGCCGTCTGAGTTTGTGGACAGAGATGCTGAAGATCTGTCACTGAAAACATTGACATTATGATATTATGATAATTTGACATTGACAAATTATCATAATATCCGTTATGTTTGTGTAATAATGGGATATTGATTGGTACATTACCTCTCAGAGTCCTTCTCTGTCTGTTACAAAAATGTAATGAAATGAAAGAAGTAAAGAACATTGATTTTGTTTGTCGAGTAGATAGAAGGAACTTTGACTCCTCATACACTGAATGCATACAGAAGTCTTTAGGAACAGATATATTTCTTTACCTTATGTTTTTGTGAAGATGTAGCTGTTTTTCGTGGAACCCCAAGAGTCTCAAACGAATGGCTTCTGACTCGGATGGCTCTCTGAACAAACAAACAATCACTGACAATCTGTCCGTATCCTGATGCAGCCTATACTTAACAGTTGTTTATCTTGCTTGAATGCTCCAACTGTTTCTACTGCACTGTTTTAAGATTCCCACAGTGGTGAAACTTCAGTGTTGCATCAGCAGTTACAGAACAGTAAGAATGAGAAGCACACAGCACATAAATGATTAATAACTTTATACTAAATTCAATAAAATAAATCACAATAACTTTTGCATGAAGAAAAAACAAGTATAAAATCTCTATCTTTAGTCAAATGAGTAAAAAAAACTCTGACTTAAGCATAAAGAAGTATAATATCTCTACCTTTGACAGAATAAGAATTAAGTATAAAGTACAGTGTAATCTAGTGAAAGTAATATATAGTTGTATGTATTCATCTGTACATGTTTTCTTATCTTGTCTGATGAGGATCATGGAGGATGAATGAATGATTGAATGAATGAATGAATGAATGAATGAATAAAAAGGCTCTGCCACCTGTTGGATGAAGACCTGTCTATGGAGATGTGATTGCCTTAGCTGTATGTTCTACAGGAAATAACAATACACCTTTCTTTCAAATGATTGTGCCATGATGCCAAAATGAATGAACTAATTATAATCTAAAAACCTCTTTCAAAGTGAGATTGAAACTTCTTCAAGGACCATTTCAAAGGCTCAGATGTATTCCAATGTGGTTTTACTGCAAATAGTAAGTACACTGAGTCTGAATCTATAAAGAAATGATGTCTGCTGTTGACAAAACATGAGTGTACCTTGAAATTCTCGATGAAGCCTCCCGTTCCCTCAGACGTCCTGACGCCTTCAGCCGGTGGGAGCTGAGTGGACAGAGGATCTCCCATCATGCATTGTGACCGCGTGTAGAGCTCTGTGCGGAGCGTCTGCAGCAACGAAGTCCTTGTGCGCAACTTCAAAACAAATATCAAATAATATTCTTATACTGATCCACAAAACTGTACATTGTGGAATTACATAATATCTTTCATACAATGACAAATTTAATCATTTGAATTTATTTAGAAAGAAGATGTCTTCTTAATTTGTAAAGCGGAAAAATGCACTTACAGAAACAAAATCTAGACTTGGAAAAACTGAATTGATCCACAAGAGAAATAACTTGGACACAGTAGCTCTCAAATAATACATTACTTTAGGAGCCACGCCGTGATTTTGTTTTTATCATGTGTATATTTTTACAGGCGTAAATAAAAAATTCAGTTGTTCAGTCTTGGGTAGAGACCCCAACTCTGTTTAAAAAATATATTTTTGTAATGGTTGCGGCACTGTACAAGTATGTATAATTTGGGGTGGCACAATCGTATTTAGAGCCTAGAAATGCCTCGAGCTCGGGTGTCAGGAATCAACCTCTATCATAAAAAATCCCAGTCCAGCCTGTTAAAAATGGCAACACATTAAACACCATTGAATTTAAGGAATTAATTGAAATGTGTCTCCTCACCTCTAATCTGTGGAACTGCTCTGCTTTGTAGCAAGATATCTCAGCGTTGATGAGTTTGGTCAGAAGAAATTCCCTCAAGTGTGAGTGCTAAATGTATGGAAACAAAACATTTACTTGAAAAGAATAAAAGACATCAAATTAGTGATTTAAAAAAAAAAAAAATCTTACATCAGTGAACAATGGAGGGTCTGGGAGCACAGGGCCAAAATTAGGAACGTCGTCTCTGGCTGTTACTGAAATCTTCAAAAGCACAAACATGAATTGAACACCATGATACAAGCTAAACCTGTCTTAGTTCGGGAACAGCGCCACAGTTGGCCCAGACAGTAAAAGGACTAATTCGCCATAGCAATGTTTGGATATTGTGCACATAAGCTTTCATTTGATATAAGCTCAATACAACAACATTTTAAACTGCTCTAATCATATTTGTTTATTTATGCATTTACCTGATATGCAAATCCACTCCCTTCATCACTACTGGCGATTCTCCTGATCACCACAAAACAGTGTAAGAAATGGGACTTTATCACATCTGGAATAAACGGCGTGTGTCCTTCTTGGTAAACCAGCGCCACGATGTCATTTCCAATGTGTCGTTTTCTCTGTAACTTTTGAGACAGAAAAGGAGAAATCAATTCCACATTTCCTATCTAAAGGTATGTTAGCAAGAATGGCATTTCAATACCAAGATGCACTATTCATTCACTCAATACAAACGGTCAACTACGTATGCCACCACAGCTGCCCTGGGGTAGTCTGACGGGGTCAAGGCTGCCAATCTACGCCATTGACTTGCACCCATAAATCATTTACTACTAGACAATGTGGGTGAAGAGTCTTACCTGAGGCTGCAGTCACAAGCCTGGCTAAAGTGGGCCTAGGCCAAGATCGTAATTAGATCCGGGCTTTAGGTGACATGTGACTGCGGCAACTGGGCTTAGGTATAATTGCTGCAATCGTTTCTTTGGCACGGTTGGGAGAGGTGGGCCCAGATGAGGGGGATCAATGTGGTGGGTGTTTTTTTCAATTTTTTTTTTAATTTTTATAATTTTATAATTTTTCAAAAATAAGTAGACAATATACCAGAGCCAATATACCAAACATACACAAACATAAAAAAAGAAACAAACACACAAAAAACAACAAACACAAAAAACAGTAATAAAATAACAAGGAGGAACAAGTTCAGTCTGTCAGAAGATATACACAACACAAATAATGTAAATGACATAAATGGCCTTTACATCAGATCGGCCCCAATTCCACATCGTACCATACCCGTCTATTTGGTTGAGACAGTGCATGCCTATGCACTAACAGGGGACTCACACATGCAGACACACCGCACCAGACACCACATATCTATTGTCCCTCACCAGCATCCCAACACACACTCCCACTCCTCTTGGCCCACTGCACATGCTCTGAAGTGTGTATCCACACACTTCATTACTATTATCTATTTTCCATTTGTTTAAATCCATTATCACTTCAATCCCACACAATATACACCTACAACACTTTCCTAGGTTCAGCGACAGGTTTTATTTTTTATTTTATTTTATTTTTTTATTGATTTATTGATCCCCCTTAGTAGAAATTAGTCCCAACGTACAATCAACCTCCGCTGCACAGTCACAGTTAACCACTGATTCACAATATTCATGTGCTGTCCATTTCTTTTATAAACCATTTTTTGTCAAACTCATGGTCCATGTTCCTTATTTTGTGAGTTAACTTCTCGTTCAATTTTACTTCTTGTATAATATTAATCCATGTTTTAATATCCAGTGGATAACTTTTTTTTCACTCCTTTGTTATGATCTTTAATGCTGTGATTCTAAGGATTTGAAAAATATACTTTTCATCTGAGTTTATATTCATTGGGATTTTTCCTAATATAATATTTTCTGATTTTAAATCAAGTTTCTTTCCCAGTATCGCTTCAACAATTTGAAATACTTCTTTCCAGTAGGGTTGTATTATTTTACAGGTATAAAAAATATGTGTGTAATTTGCAATTTCTTCTCCACAATTCCTCCAACATTTGCAATTTCCCCCTTTATATTTACTCATACTTAAAATAATAAGGAACCCATGGATTTATGGACTCCAGCACAAATCTGTTCCCACTCGCTTTCGGTTATTTGTATATGAAACTCTTCCCATTTTACCTTAACGTTGGTTGCCATTTTCTCTTTTTGTTGCAGAAAAATTTGGTATAACTGACTCATAGCATTTTTTAATTTCTTATTACCATTATTTGCCATATAAGTTATCAGGGGGTTTAGGTCACCTTTAAACTTTCCTGATTTACTATTCAAATAACTTCTAATTTGCAGATATTTATAAAAATGATTTCTTGACGTGATATTGTGCGTCACATTACTTCTTCCTGCTGCGCCTGCTGTGACATGCATTTTCACACACGTCTCTACCTGCAGTCGCACACTTTCACATTCTCCCTTGCTGGTGTTACACCTTTCATGTGAGCCCCCGGACCGTGGTTAAGAGGCGAAGGAGAGATTTATCCCTCCAGGGCCGAAGGGCTGGGTTTACTACAGGGGGATAACTACCTTCTGTTCTGACCCTCGCTGTCACAGTGTGGTGCTATTCCAATAACACTTCAAACTGAACAGAATCACACTTTATTTTGTGGCCAAAACCCACCAACATACACTTGTATCCTGCCTAAGTAAGTAAGCAACCAATCTTTATTTATATAGCTCCAAGTCACAAAGCGTTTTGGGCATTTGTCTCTCACTCCACACAGAGATGCGAGCAGGGTTGCCATACAGGAGGCGCATGCCAGACCTATTGTACATGTTTTTCTCAGTAGTGGTAACTGGAGCACCTGGAGGTAGAGCTGCAACTAACGATTATTTTGTAATCGATTAATCTATCGATTATTTTTACGATTACAAGTCAACATCGTGTAGAAAACATTTATTTTTTCATCACAAAAAGCTAAAGTGGCAACACTCGAGGACGTATTGATGGCGTAAACTTAAAGTAAATGTTTGTAACAGGCTCTTTGTGCTAATTCTGCTATCTGATTGGATGAGACAGACAGATATTCATGAAATTATAAAAACAAAGTTGGTTTTAATCAAAAATACTACATTTTCATGTCATTTTTGCTCTGTTTGAGTCCGTGTGAACCAGAAAACGATTAATCGATTACTAAAATAGTTGTCGACTATTTCAATAATCGATTAGTCGTCGATTAATCGATTAGTTGTTTCAGCCCTACCTCGAGGAAACCTATGCAGACACGGGGAGAAAATACAAACTCCACTCAGAAAGGATAACCTAAGGACGCTACAGTCTCCCATCCAAGTACAACCAGGCCCTACACTGCTTAGCTTGTGAGACTAGTTGATGGTTTGAAATGAAAAGCTTGCTGACCTGCTGTGGGTCGCAGTCTGTGAACGGGAGCTTAGTGGCGACGTGGAACATGATCTCTCTGCCGTGAAAAGAGGTGAAGATGGATTCACATCCCGTTTGCCCATGACACACGTCCAGGCCTCCTCTGAATCTGTGACAGGACAGATATACTCACATTTTCTCATTATCTAAACATAAAACCACACACAAGATCCTACAAGTTACCCAGTGAAACCTTGCAGCTGGATCGTTTCCCCCAAAATTGAAAGAAATTCTTTATATTCATCACTTTCATCGTTGTTGCTCAGAATTTCCTCCTCAGTGAACTAGAACAATAAAATATTGTTATATTGTTTTAAATAATACTTTACTCAGACAAGAAACTTACCTGTTTGTCCTTTTGATATAAAACACCAAATTTAAAATTGCGAGAGACCCTGTGTTCATCAAAAGTCTGGATTAAGTCTGGGGCCTAATGAGAAGAGAAGAAAACATGATGTTGAAAGAAACACATTCAAAGCTGGTGGGAAGTTACTGCTTACTTTGAGATAACACACAGCATCAAACTTAGCCACAGTCACTTTTTCACAAAGCATCTGGAAAGAACAAAAAACAAAATCACAATTATTTATGGAATATACATGTAGTTCTGTATGCCTAAGTAGTTGAACATGGCTCACCTTTGCTAGTTCTACTGTGGATGGGATATTTGGGAAAAGTGACAATGAGAAAACTCCATGCAGCGAGCACTCCTTCATTCTGTTACACAAAACCATTTATATTTTTCATTATGTAAAAAAGATACAAGTGAATCACTTCACATTTGACTGTATATAGAGGGAGCCCAACAAATAGAGAAGTGCTCATGGAAGAAGTTTTTCTCCCCTCTGGTTCCTATTGACTTGAAAAGTAACCTCCTCTTGCTCAGTAACTGTTTGTGTCACACTGACCATTTTGGGCCTAAAACATTTTCCAATCAGATGCCTTCATTCACTGGGAAAACTCCAGCAGCTTGCCTTAGCAACCATGTTAGCAACACATTAGTGTGCATCTGCCCCGGTTGTGGTGCTGTTAGTATTAGATAGCAATATGGCCTACGTGCAGGACTGTACAAGGACTCTACAAGGACTCCATGTTATGACTATGATGTGACTGTCTCTTTGTGACACGTATGTCTTTCGATGTGTGACGTGACAATGACTATATAAACTGTGTACTGCCTTTATTCTGTCTGAGAGAAAGAAACAGAGTAAACCAGTGGAACTTGAGAGAAACTTAAATAAACTTCCAGAGTTTGGCACACCACGATCCGTCTCTGTCTGCCTAAATCCTGACAGATTTGGTGGAGAATGCGCGGCTCAGTGTGTGCCATTCTCTGGATTGTTTTGGGGGAGTTTGCTCTGTTTTTTTTCCTCGGCGTGAGAGATCGGCATGCTGTGTCTGGGAGCGGGGATTCCAGCAGGCTGGAAGAGCTGTTCCTGGATGCTTCTTGTCGCTTCTGTCACTTTTGTTTTTTAAATTGAAGATTCCGACGCGGAAAAGAGTTGGCAGACCTCTCGGACAGTCCTTGGATCCTGTTTGACAAGAATAAGGTAAGCAGACACCTTTTTTAATATGTAAAGTCTGCATAATTGGATATTAGCTAAATTTTGGTCTGTTTTTGGGGTCTGTCAAACTCTCTAAATTGTATTTTGAAGAAGTCTCGGGGTTAAAGTCCCTTTGAGAAAGTCTCGGGGTTAAAGTCCCTTTGAGCCTCGGGGTTAAAGTCCCTTTGAGCCTCGGGGTTAAAGTCCCTTTGAGAAAGTCTCGGGGTTAAAGTCCCTTTGAGAAAGTCTCGGGGTTAAAGTCCCTTTGAGAAAAGCCTCGGGGTTAAAGTCCCTTTGAGAAGAAGCTTCAGGGTTAAAGTCCCTTTGAGAGAAACCATGGTGTAAAATTAAAAGTAATTATAAAAAGGGAAACGTTAAACACTAAAGAGTGCCTTTTGTTACTAGTGTGGAAAGTGATCACTTCTAGATTTGGATGACAAAAGTATAAAGAACAACATCAGTTATATTCGCTTAACAAAGTAATCTTGAAAGTTATTCTTCTGTATCTTTTTGCCTGTGTGTGTGCGTCGCTCTATCTGCTGCCGTTGTCAGGGAAACGGCCCCCTCCTTCGCTGCTCTGGCTGTGAATCTGAAGCAAAGCTACTGCTTTAGGAATTTGGCTTTTCATAGTAGTTATTCCGTTAAATTTGCTAAATTTGCCATTTGAACATTGTGTTAGACACAGTTAAACGTTTTTAAACACCATTAGTGAGTAAGTTTTGAATATTATATGTTTTTTGAAACCCAAATATTAGTGCTAAAAGCTGTGCAATTCTTTTTAGACCTAACATATTTCTAGATTCCATTCTTTTAAATCTGCTGCTTATTTTGTGAGTCCATTATTGATTGACTGCGGAACCTTCCGCAGTCAACCATTGGTTTTGTATTTCTTTATTCCGTCATTTTTTTTGACACGTTTCACAGCTTTCACATTTTCAACAATTTCCACAAGTTATACATCAAAACGTTCCACATGTTTGGGAGATTATTGCTATTACTTTTGGGACTTCAGCGATTTCCGGTTTTTCCGCAATCGGACAAAAATCTGCATTGAGAATTCTGCAATGCATTTTAATAGGCCCATGCATTTTAATAGGACTTCAGCTCTTTCAGACATTTCTACAGTTTCAATGATTCAACAGTTTCAAGGATTCAACAGTTTCAAGGATTTCAGCAGTTTCAAGATTTCAAGAGTTTCAAGGACTTCAGCAGTTTCAAGGACTTCAGCAGTTTCAAGGACTTCAGCAGTTTCAAGGACTTCAGCAGTTTCAAGGACTTCAGTGTAATCATGCAACCTAATAGGGATTTTTCCATGTAAACCAGTATAATGCAACTTAATAGGGATTTTTCCATGTAAACCAGTATAATGCAACTTAATAGGGTTTTTTCATGTAAACCAGTATAATGCAACTTAATAGGGGTTTTTTTCATGTAAACCAGTATAATGCAACTTAATAGGGGTTTTTACATGTAAACCAGTATAATGCAACTTAATAGGGTTTTTTCCATGTAAACCAGTATAATGCAACTTAATAGGGTTTTTTCCATGTAAACCAGTACAATGCAACTTAATAGGGATTTTTCCATGTAAACCAGTATAATGCAACTTAATGGGGATTTTTCCATGTAAACCAGTATAATGCAACTTAATGGGGATTTTTCCATGTAAACCAGTATTATGCAACTTAATAGGGATTTTTCCATGTAAACCAGTATAATGCAACTTAATAGGGATTTTTCCATGTAAACCAGTATAATGCAACTTAATGGGGATTTTTCCATGTAAACCAGTATTATGCAACTTAATAGGGGTTTTTACATGTAAACCAGTATAATGGAACTTAATAGGGGTTTTTACATGTAAACCAGTATAATGCAACTTAATAGGGATTTTTACATGTAAACCAGTATAATGCAACTTAATAGGGATTTTTCCATGTAAACCAGTATAATGCAACTTAATAGGGTTTTTTTCATGTAAACCAGTATAATGCAACTTAATAGGGATTTTTCCATGTAAACCAGTATAATGCAACTTAATAGGGTTTTTTACATGTAAACCAGTATAATGCAACTTAATAGGGGTTTTTACATGTAAACCAGTATAATGGAACTTAATAGGGGTTTTTACATGAAAACCAGTATAAAGGATAACAGTTTAAAGGATATCAGGAGCTTCAAATACTTCAGGAGTTTCAAAGATGTTTAAAGTATTTTAACAGTTTCAAGGATTTCAAGGATTTTTCAGCTAAATTCCACATTAGATCTGTTCCGCAGTCAATCGCAATGGCTTCAGCCATTGCAACGGTTTCTAGTTGTATCTGATATTTCATAGCTGTTAGTGAGAATTTTTTTATGTTTTTATTTTAGTTACAAAAGCCGTTTTTCAAACATTTAAATTAGAATCTGTTAAAAGTGATTAATGATTGTAGACTTCGTCTAAAAAAGAAAGAGGGAATTAGGCTGTAAAAGTATTATATTATTAAGTTAAACTACCCAATTCACATGCAAGTGGTGACTTTTGTTTTTGTTTTGACTACACGCCTGACCTTGTTGCTCCTGCTGATGCCACAGCAGAGGAGACTGGTCTAAAATGTGCTCCAATTCATACTGACTTCATTTGAAAAATGCTGCAATTATTTTAAATTAGTAAAATATATGCTGAGATAAATGCATAGATAATTAATCACACAGTGCAAAAGTACATAATACATATTTTAAAGTTTAAGAAGGTTTAAGAGATTTGAGTCTTGTTTTTTATATTGAGAGTTTCTGGTTTTAAATGTCATCATTAGTAAGATAATAAGTAATCTTTTATTTACATAGCGCTTGGGAAAACCCAGAGCGCTTCAAAATTGTTTTGACTTTAGGGAGAAAAACAATCTCATTCACAATCTCTGTTGTTTTTAATTTGACTATAAGGTTGTTTTCCAGAACCAAGAGCACACACTGTACAGGGTCACTGGACTGCTGGACACTGGACAGCGCAAAGCCCACCCAGCCACAGGTCACAGATCAAGAGCAAAGGGAAATGCCACCTCCTTGCCCCTCCCCCCACTACAGAAGTAAGTGGGAGTGAGACCGGGGCCATGAAAGAGAGGTATCTGGAGACGTGATGGGTGGAGCATCAGGGAGAGACCTGAATGAGAGTTGAGAGTGTGTCCAGTTGGTTTGCATCACCACAGTGTGACCTTTGACACCTACAGGTGGTTCGAGGAGTCTTGAGAAACAACCCCAAAATTCACATACACACACACATACACACACATTCACATTTACATATAGATACATGAAAAAGCAGAACATGAAAAAAGCATTTTAAAAGTTTACTCCAATGTAAACACATTTTTAATTGTCTATCACTTGAATCTTTAGTTGAATCAGTATTTTTTGAGACCAGAAATGTTCATTTGAATTCTATATTGTCATGGACATAATTGACGTCTGTCCTGACACTTTTGATTTGTTGATTTTGTACTGTGTGAAGTAATTACATTGATTAGAATTAGATCTGATAAAAACACAAATTAGAGAAGTAAACTGAATCATTGCGCTTGTTTTTGTCTAAGGGACATTAGCAACAGCATGAATAGAAATTGTGTTAAAGTAGAATCAAAATGACTTAACCATAGAGAGTAACTATTGCATAACAAGCTGTGTACAGGAACTGAGACACTGCACCATTGACCAGAAGTGCGTCGCAAATGACCTGATGTGCGACCCAAGTGAAAAGACTGTATCTGGAGATCCTGATGTGCATCTGGAGAGACAAAACCATGGCTTGGACCCTACTGATGTCCAAGATGACATCTCTCGAAATATGACCTGACCTGATGACGACTGAGACTCACCCTCAGGGGACCTGAGGACCTGAGGACCTGAGGATCTGAGAGAGAAAAAACTGGGGAGTGATGTTTATATTTTTGAAATCATACATTGATGAGTGCTAAATGAGAGAGATACTCATGATTCTTTCTTTTGTTTTTGTTTGTCCCTAGCTTCTGGACATCTGATGATCTATTGGACACAGCCATTTGCAGAACAAGAACCAGCCAATGAAAACGTCTATTGCCGATGCTATTGCTACAACCACAACTGTGACCAAATGCAATATACATGTTAAGTATTCAGACATCTGACAGACAAAAAATTTGACTTTTTTAGTCTGGGAGACTGAGCAACAGTTAAAATGTTTTAAAATGATAAAGTATGAGTATTGTAGCGTTTTAGTAGATGTTAAATAGTAGTAAAAAAGTAGAATTGTCCTTTCTTTGTTGTTCATAAACATATTTCCACGTAAGAGTTAAAATAGTACCCTACAATGTTATCCTTTTGATAGATCAGCTAGAATATTAGAATCAGAGTTATGTTACAGCTATTAAAAGTGACAGAAGTCACAAATTAGAAATATGCCTTTGCTCAAGCTGCAGCCGAGCTTTTGAGTTAAAAAATAGAGTGAAAATAGGAATAGATAAATGCATCAACCATAGATGCTTTCAAAAATAGAGAATATTCTTAGCCAGTGCTAATATCAAATGGTAAAGGGACCATTTCACAAGCATTTACTTCAAAAGTAGATAAAGTTACTTACAGTTTTATTAGATACTTGCCAAATTCACTTGTGTTCACACATGAGTGAATGTTGACAATGCAAAAGTCCATATGAGTGTAGTCTAGATTAATGCCTAGATCAATGAGATAGATTACAACCAACAGAGATTCAAAAGCATTTAAAAGCATTTTGATGCATTTGGGTGTAGCCCAAAAACACAATAGTAGATATTTAGATATTGAGAAGTTTCCAGCACAAACACCATTGTAGAATAACTGACCCCAACCCCAAACCTGCTAAAATAGATTAGCTCTTGTATAATACTAATTTGATTAATGATGTACATTCATCCCAAACTGCCTGACAATAATATCTTTAGATAATAAAAAGTAATAAATCATTGACCACTATAGAAGTGTAAATGTTGACCATTTGCCTTACTGTGTTCACAGTTTTATTCCTGAGAATGAGAATAGACATGGAGCAAAATCCCACTAACAATAAGCCACTGATAATTAGAGTATAATACCACAGAGAGATTTATTAGATTAAAATGTATGTTTAAGAATATGGCTCAATAGAATCAAATATGCAAACATATTTGTGAATAGATTAGAATAGTTTTAAACTATAGTGAATAGTGAAAGTAAAGTACACAGTCTAAGATTGAAAAGTGAAAATAATACAGTGAAATAAGTGAAGTGTAGTGTAAACAATTGTCATTAGAATAAAAGTATAGAGTAATAAAAGTGAAATTAGCTTCAAATTGAGACTCAGCTCGTTTTTTGTCTGTGTTTTGACTGAATCTGCTGAGTTCTACTGTGTCCAATAGTGTTTGTTTGTTTTTTGATTTGTTTTTGTTTGTTTGTTGTTTTTTGTTTGTTTATTTACTTCATTTTTGTTTGTTTGTTTTTTCCCAGGATAGAGGATAAAATCGAATGATATTGATTTGATGATTATGAGTTTAATGCATACGATTTCTTTGTTTTTAATAATTTTTTAAAGTTTTTTATTGGAATTTTTTTTTTTCTTTTTCCACTTTATTGATTGATTGATTTGAGTGATCACATGTGATTATGTGATCAAAGGGGAGGGTGTTAGTATTAGATAGCAATATGGCCTACGTGCAGGACTGTACAAGGACTCTACAAGGACTCCATGTTATGACTATGATGTGACTGTCTCTTTGTGACACGTATGTCTTTCGATGTGTGACGTGACAATGACTATATAAACTGTGTACTGCCTTTATTCTGTCTGAGAGAAAGAAACAGAGTAAACCAGTGGAACTTGAGAGAAACTTAAATAAACTTCCAGAGTTTGGCACACCACGATCCGTCTCTGTCTGCCTAAATCCTGACAGTGCAAAGCAAACCCAGGCAGAAGACGGAAATTGTCTACAGCTACTGTAGCTTAGGTTCAAAACGGCTTCTTCTGCATTTAGCAAACACTATGGGTTACGTCAGCAACTCCTGGTATACAGTCCATGTCTGGGACCTGGGTGCTGATTTTAACCCAGCTGAATGTAGTGTGCAAGTGTGAAAAGGGTCTTAAAGGAAATACATATAATTACAACTAATACATTTACCGTAGTATTACTCTCAGTCTGTTTTCTTCCTCCTCCAGACAAACCGACTGAACCAGTGACCCCAGACACGGGTCTACTGCCGTGAACGAGTGATGGTACTAGACAAAGGAAGAGCATAAGAATATTATCCATCCATCCATCCATCCATTTTCTTCCGCTTCATCCGTTGCCGGATCGCGGGGGCAGCAGTCTAAGCAGAGACGCCCAGACCTCCCTATCCACACACACTTCCTCCAGCTCGTCCGGGGGGACCCCAAGGCGCTCCCAGGCCAGCTGAGAGACATAGTCCCTCCAGCGTGTCCTGGGGCTTCCCCGGGGCCTCCTCCCGGGTCCCGTAAGAATATTACATTAATAATAATTCAATAAAGCTGATAATGTATCTTTTCAAATGAAGGGTTATTTTCACAAGATTATATTTTTCTAGGGTTTTTGTGTGTACAAAAGTGAGAAGCAGTCTTAACAATGGAGCACTCTGATTTAAGATGAGAATGTCCTAGAACATAGAAACATAGAAAATATTAACAGGCTATTTGTCTTTGCATCCACAGTTTAGCACCTGGATTGATAAATACACACCACAAAGTTAGGTACTCCAGCTTTAGGTACTAATGAAAAACAAATAACCAATTAAAAAGCTGAACAATTATTCTCACATACTCTTGATCTAAACACATCTCTGTAGATTTTAGCCTCTGCGTCTCTCTCCATTATGTCATAGTGCTCCAGCTCGGCCCCAGGGTTGGTGGAGGTTGGGCTCAGGTCGGGCAGCCTTTCTGGGGGAGGATCGATCCAGAAGCCGCCCGCCTTGGAGGGCAGGACCAGGGGCAGCGCTCCTCCCAGCGTCAGGAGCTGTGACTGAAATAGAAAGTGGCAGATAGCGATGCTGAGGTGGAGTCAGTTACATGAGGGATTTTGGTGTTTTGGAAACAAGTGTTAAAGCATTAATTAAAGGTCAGGATAACAGCTTTGTTGACAGTGGTTTAAAGCTGCTATTTTTAAGTTTCTTTGATTTATTTTTACCAGTAGATGGCAGGGCACCTCAGCTCACCTCATGAATCCATTAATCATACTGCTCTCTTTCACATGTACATGTATGTAGATAGCATCTAGTGGTGATATGTGAGAATACAACAGAGCCAAGTCGGTCAGTCTTGGTTAAAGGTTAAATCAAATATATTTATTTGAGAATTTGATTTTGGAATTTCTTTTCATCACCTGGCTTGAGAATGTTTTTTTTATGTATTCATCATAACCATTCTAATAAATTCTAATTGGTCACAACTTGCTGGAGTTGTTTTTCATTATTGTATTGACAACACCTAGCATGCTAAAAGCTCAATACAATCGCTTCTTGTTTCTAATGACTCCATAGTCGCTCTAGGAGCATCTTATTTTCACAAATACTGTATGAACTGGGGGAACACATTACTTTATTGCATAAAATAAAATGTATAATAAAAACAATAGATATTTCTATATAATATGAAAATATACTTTAATTGGATAACAATAATAACTATTCAGTGATGTGTTGGCGAAGGCTTTGGACTGGGAGCAGGAAAAGTCAAACCTTTGTTCTGTTGATTGCATGTTCTCTGGTGTTTTCAGTTATTTACTGCTAAACCAAATCAATATGCATGGATAGAAAGCAAAAAAGGCAACTCACATTATATCAGCTGCAGGTCCCTTTACGGGCCACTTTTGCAGCGTAAACAAAGCCGTGAAGCCAGCGTTTGATATTGTGACGTTTACCTTGAGCGGAAGGGGGAACTGACACCGCTGTTCATCGATCCTGCTGCCCTGATGGACAAATGAAACGCTTAGAAATAACATCCCGGCTCCAAGAGATCAGTGGGTGTGGATCAATTGTACAGTCACTCACCTGCAGCTTTTCAATGATTTCAAACAACTCAGTCTCCTGATAAGAGCAACAGGCAGCAGACAGTAGAGAGAAAGAAAAAGGAAATGACACACAAGGGAAAGAGGAACAAAGGGAGAAATGAAAACTGTGTGCAGCTATTTAGGGATGGATCTTTCTTTTTTTTTTAAATGTATCATGCAAAATTACTGTAAAATAGGATTCAAGACAAATAGTAATTTTCAAGCTATTTTTGATAGTTAGTGAGCATTAGCCAAATTGCGAATGGCTCTGTCTAGAATGTTAAACTTATCTTACACACTACTTGATTTGACAAATTTACACATTTATGGATCCAAAAAAATATCATTTCCCACATCTGACCAGTAACTTGGCGGTGGGGGTTGATGAATCCAATAGTATGGAACATTGTATGCAAATGATACTACAGCCGGACAAGCAGGTTACAAACAGCATGATATTATCTTTACAGTAAAGTCCTTTTACTTTCCATGGTTTTCTGAACGTCTCCAATCTTCATACTGTCTCACGTTCAGAATCTAATTAGCTAACTACAAGATTTCAACTTGGGTACATTCTTTGTTAATAGCACAAACCGGTGTATGGGTCTTTTCTTTCTCCATCCTGACATACTTTTTAGAGCGTTGACTGTTTCTTTGTGATCAAACCAATATAATAATACTATTTCAGATTTGTATGGTCTGAATTTTTTTTTTTCCATTTTGAACTGATCAACATGTAGATATGTGTGTTAATATGCTAGCCTCTATTTAAGAAAAGTTATAGTATTTTGTTTTATGAGCTGATGTCTTCATACCATATCTTGGAACTACTGTTTCTAACTTTACTCCATGCACCCTCTTTTGGTGAACTGTTGGTACCTTCTGGTTGGTGCCGGGGACAGGCTGGTGCCCTGAGGTTGGTGAGTCCAGGATGTCCATTAAAGTCGCTCCCATTGACTCAGGTCTGTAAAAAAGAAAAAGTAAACTTTACGTATAGAGAGCAACAAAGTTATAAGTTACATATAAGCAGCAATAAATCAGAAAACTCCAACTCACCTTGACTGATCCTCACATGATCTGTCCATGCTATTGACACAAAGAGATTTAGGATTAAGACTAGTTTAAATTCATCTGGGTTTGATTTGAATATATTTATGTTCACATCATGTAATATTTACATGAAAGCATTCACAGGTTTAGTCAATGCCCTGTGTGAATGTCAAACCTAGACTGGATATTGATTCCATTTTGTTTATATATAACACATACAAATAAGAATAATACGATTGTAATATAACACATACATACAACTTAAAGTGGGCTTTACAGGCTTTACAAGTGCCATTAAAAAACAGGTAGATCTTGTAATTTACACTTTCATTTGAGATCTGAAAATAATTATCTAGTTTCAGCATCTAATTTGCAGACGAGCATATTGTTTACTCACCTCCCATAAGCACCAAAAGTAGCACTTCTTTTCCTGGAGAAGCTTGTATCATTTCTCTTGTCCATCGCTGCACTGTCACTACTCATGTTAACACTTTAGGAGAGTGAATTTAGCTGTGGTTACGGCTGAAATCATTCCCTCTGTCATTCCTCTCTGCTCCTCCTCTCTGCCCCCTGCCTCTGGCTCATTTAAGCTTCTCTTTCCTCTGTCGCGGCACTGTCAACCTGGAGTTTTAACCCTCTATTGGTCCAAACATGCATTGTAACCTGTGCAAAGAACACATGGTCAGATTGGTTTGCACAGAAAACAGCAGCGCTTCGAAAAACACACTGGTGGCATAATTGCACTGTCTAAGCCATAAGGAATACTTCCATATAAGAAAAATAAATTACTCCCAGACCTGTTACCCTTTGAGCAAGTGGGGATCATCAATTATTGACAGAGCCCACAGTCAGGGTGAGGAGATGGACAGCAGGGGAGGCGGAAAATGTTCTTTATTAGCAGATAGACTAGAAAAACCTTAGATTAAACCCAGTTGGAGTGCAAATGTAAAGGACTGTAGTTAAAGGATGGGATATACATTTGCACGTTTGTCTTTTGTGGGAGACAGCCAAGTTAGACCAGTGTTCCCCAACCTTTTTGAGTCGTGGCACACCTTTCTCATTGAAAATAAACACACAGCACACCATCAGTTGAAAGTGATACAAAACGGAAACACGGCATCAAAGTGTATATATAGAAAATCAAACAAGGGAAAAAAAAGGCTTTCAAATCTTCTCTTTCTCTTACTTTTCACAGTATTTTCACCAATTAGGTAATATTGGATTATTTCCAAAGAAACATCCATTCAAGACACGCTGATGTACCACACTGGTTGAAAAACAATGAGTTAGACAACACAATCATTTTTACCAGCACCTCCCTATTTAATACCTTAAAGAAATTATTCATATGATTTGTCACAAGCATTGTCAACTAAACAATGCCATCATGCCTAAACCAGTGAATATGAAGGCATGTTACCCAAAAAGGGGAAATTAAAGAAGCAAAAACAAAAAATCAAAACTGAAAGAGTAATGTTAGAATTTTCCTAACACACTGGATATAGGAAACATCTACAAATGAACAATATTATACCAACAAATGCTGATGATGTGAATCATTGTACATGCAAACACACACCCAAAACCAGTCTACTGGTAAATGCAAACGAATCATGGTGCTACAAATCTCTGTTTACGTTTTTTTTTCATTTTATTTTGCAGAAACTTATAATCATACATTAATTGTATTTTTGCCCACTGTACATACACATACAGATGCATAGATATACCTACATAGACATAAGCAATATTTAACAGTTTAACCACCCATAATTATATGAAATATACTCACAATTTGATATACAATACATAATCTCATAACTGAGCGGAAAGAAGATCAAACGTACAGACTTCCACCCATTATAATAGATCCATGCTTCCACCCCATGTACATATTGTACTTTCTATGTACTTGTATACAGTTATTGAACAATGAAGAATAATAATAGTTTCTGTAATGCCCAGCTTGGTCTAAACATTTCATTTCAGATAGCATTTGTTTGCATTTCATTTGTTGCTGTGGTTTTTAGAGGTGTACCAAATGTATAGCACTGTGACACATTTACACTATGCTCGTCAGCATCAGTTATAATTACACATGTAAAGGAATGTAAAATGCCAAACCGTTAAAAGAACACGTTATGATCTTACAAATAGCGTTGGCAACAACCATACCTCTTTTTAAACAATTGCATCAAAATGTCTTGTATTTTGGTTCTAAAATGCTCACTGTGGTTATGTAGCCAAACATGTGTGGCACACATTTCATATACTTGAAGAGAGCAGCATTTCCATTATTATCTGCCTATACTACTAGAGATACTAATGTATCTAATCTAGACTACAGTAAAATGGTAACAATAGTATTACAATCTATATATGTACGCTCCTTAAATAGGCATGTTTGTGGAAATATAGTCAATAAGGTCGCCCTGCAGAGTCCAATAATCTCAACGTGGTTACTTATTAAAAGGCTCATTGACGGTTCAAATTTAAATCATTATTGACTTTTCAGTTTCCCAGTCAACTTACAGTAGCTCGAGGAGAAACCATCTCATTTGGGCGCTTGAAATGTCAATCAAACAATTCCGATGTTGTGATTGGCTTAAATCCTGAAACGTTTCGCTCTAGCTCCGCCTACGCTCTAGTCCCGCGGAAGTTGTTCACAAAGTGGACGGGATGAAACTAATTTACATAAAATAAGGAACCATATTGACACTGGGCTTTTGTTCCACCTGATAAAACGTTAACAAATTTTTGCATACACCTAAAATACACGGTAAGTTTATCTGTTTTATCCATCCATATTGAGATGTAGAGTTTAGCTTGTTTAGTTAGCGTGTTAGCTGCAGTAATTAGCAACACACATTTTACTACACATTTATTACGCGTACACTGGCTTTCCCAAGTGTTGTTCTGTCACACTTAAATTACTGTTGTGTCGCACTTATAACAAGAAATATTGATTTATATTCATGAACAGACGATAGGATTTTCTACTTTTGAGAAGCGGTGATCTTATACTGTTTTGTCAATACAGTAGTAGCGCATTTACATCTTTGTAGTTGCACTTGATGGGATATTTTACATTTACAACTCCATTCATCTCGACAAATGTTTTTCTGTCTGGCTTTGTACTACATAGTAGGGGTGCGGCTATTATTGTCGTGTTCCTGCAAAATACCTTTACGCTGCAGAACTCGTGTATGTCGTGTAAAAAGCTAATGTCGGGGTGTCCTTTTTGCAGTTTGATGAGCCAAAATGTTGGAATGTGGCATGTTAAAACGTGACAAAAAGGCTTTGCAGAAGTGCTCGGCTATCCTCTGCAAACAGATGGTGGTGGACGAAATGCTCATTCAGTCTCTGCAGGCAGAGGACATACTGACGGAGAGCATGGCAGAGAGCGTGATGGTGAGTAAACGTTTGTAAATATTACGACCATAGATGCGTTTGTCCCTCATCGATCTATTGTAATAGGGGGTTGTCCCTTTGGCTTTTAAAGAATTGTTGGATTTATATGCACAGGCCAATATGGGTCTGCCAAAAAATAAGCGGACAACGACCTATCAAGCCCTTAGAAAGCTGATCCTTCTGCTATTGTATTAGAATTCACCAAACTCCTCCAAAAAACACAAAACATATTGGAGGGGAATGTGAATACCATACCATGCCATCATAGTATAAGGTAAATACATCTTAAATGTATTTTAATCTTGTTTTATAACAGTGTAAACCTCCTGTTATTGTCTTTATGAAAAACTATAAAATACTGCTGTAATGTATGACTTGTAATCCCCCCATGGATCTGATTCCTCCCAACATGTTCATCATTTTCCAATTTTTTGTTTCTAGGCCGAGCAAACTTCTCAGAAACGAAGCTGGAGATTGCTACTTCTTCTACCAAAGCGAGGACCCAAAGCTTTTAGCAGCTTCTGCTCAGCTTTAAAGGACACAGAGCAGCCGCACTTATGTGACCTGCTCTTACAATGTCCTCAGACAGACCTGAGCGAGGCTCGCATAGAGGTAAGAGTCATGAGATGTAATAGACTGTGCTTTATATGCATCTAGTATGTTTAATATTATTCTATATATGTGGCTTCAAAATATGGAAAGAGGTGGATAGTTAGACAATGAGCACAAGAAGGATTTTATGGAAGGTTTGGAGAGTCTATTGACAGGTGAAACTCCGAAAATTAAAAGTTAATTTATTTTTTAAATGTGAAACCAATATATGATAGACTCATTACCCGCAAAGTGACATATGCCAGGCCTTTGTTATAATTTTGATGACCATTTTCAAAATGTTAATTTTCTGAGATGTTTTGTTTGGGGTTTTTACAGATGTGAGTCATAATCATAAACATTTGAACAAATAATGTTGAATAATATATCTCGCTTTGTGCGTGACGAGTCATATATTAGTTATACATTGTAAGTAGAATTACAAAGGGGACTTTTGAATGATATTCTAATTTGTGGAAATTGCCAACATACCATTAGCAGTATCTTGAAATCAAACCTTGTGTAGATCCCAGAAACAGAAGTTGTCTCACATTAGCACTTCAAAAGAAGCAGAGCCTCAAGAAACAAAACAAAGAAAACACAATATAAGTTTCCAGTTCACCAAATGTTATTTTATTTCTGTATTGTTTTTTTAATTTTTGTATTAGTGTTTCAATGACCTGCTCATTTGTGTGTACTTGTTTTGCAACAATCGAGTTCAGTTCATAATGTTATGTCAAGAGTTATTATCGCTTTTATTGTCACATCATTAATTTTGTATTTCAGGTCCAGAGCCCAGTGCGGTCCCCCCTGCCTCACCCCACACAAGAAGTCATTCCTGCCAAGAGACCTCGGACACTCGGTGAGTTGATTTAGCCAATACTAAACATCCTTTGTTCACTGTTGTTTTCTTGTTTTGTTTCTATAGCAACACCTACTGCAGTCATTGATAAGCCTAATTTTGCATATTTATCTAGTTTTTTTTTAAGGTAAGGTAATATTAATGAGCATTACTATTTCATATTCATAATTCACCTAAATGTTGTATGGTAACATTTCTTATAAAACTGACACCAGAGAAAAGTCTTTCAATGTTGTCACCGGAGCTGAGCATGACACTCCCTAAAACTGAAACTCATTATACTTGCAGTGCAAAAAATACATGTATAATAGTTCTCAGACAACTGTTAGAACACTGTTAGGTAGCACTGTTAAGCTAGATGCAAGAAGTGGATTTTAAACAAATTTTATCCTTCAGGTCGCCTTATGCAAATGTTTTGTGTTTATATCCGCCTCTAGTGGAAAAGCGTTTACTGTGGAGTTTATTGCTTAAAGACAATTCATTGTTTAGGAACATATGTTTCTTTAATGTATAAATATTTGTTTGTCTTGTAGAGTCCATGGAAGTGAGCCTGGATACAGACAGTCCAATAACCACTCCAGTTTCTCCATGTTCTCATGAGTTTTACCTCTCCCATTACCAGCAGGTGCAGTGGCCCTCTTTTTCATAATCTATTTTATAAGTTGTCCATGTGAAAATAAAAAAATAATGTATTCAAATTTTTTCAGTCTTATCAAATGAACTCCTCTCCTCGTGGTCTCGCTTTGGTTATCAGTAATGTGGCATTTGACCCTCTTGCTGCTCCAGACCTTGACCTGAGAAAAGGAGGAGAAGTGGACGACGAAGTCCTCAGAAAAGTCTTCACTGAATTGGATTACATTGTCACAGTCCAGCGAAACCTTACTGCGCAGGTAACAAGGATCACCTGGCAAGATTGTTACAGAAAATCATGTCTAACAGGAGGTCAGTAATAGCTTTGAGACATTGGTTATTGGAGATTTAAGAGTATGGAATACCACCAAGTTTTATGTGTAAGGTATTATTAAGAGTTGCAAATATTTAGTCTCAATCAAACAGCAAGTAGTGTTCAAATAATAATTCAATAACTTTCTAAGTGCTTCAGTCTCTGAAAAGATGTCTAAACCTAACTACCATTAGTGGTTCATTGAAGTGTTTCTGTGTTCTCAGGACATGCGGCTGTGCATAGAGAGCTTCTCCAGACGCCCAGAGCACAGGACGATGGACAGCTGTGTGGTGTGTCTGCTTTCTCATGGAGTAGATGGCGCTGTGTACGGCACTGATGGACAACTACTACAGGTCTGTGCTTTTTTTAAACTTTCCATAAAAGTCGATGGAGACATGGGCGTACTGAAGATGGCAGGTCCATCAGCTGACCACTCATCAATACATGCCAGATTACTCACTGATATTTTTAAGTATGTATGATAATTTTTATATAGTATATAGATTAAATATATGAACATGCTTATTCTTAGAAACTTACAAACAAATAAAATCCTAATTTATTTATTTGGTTAGGATAGTACATGTTAATGACCACATCCCTCTGGATTGTAGCCATGGACTATTTTGCATCCGTTGTCCCACATTCGCACTCATTCATTAACCCTGAACTACTGCACATTGTTTTAGTGGTAGGGGACAACACTCAGAAAGGCAGGAACCTTCTTGCTGAGAAGCGAGATTGCTATCCACTCTGCCCCATATCTGCCAACCATACTTTTCCTCAGTACATCCTCTGAATACATGTTCATTTTGCCATTTCAAACTTAAAGTGTGAATCTGTGTGGCCGCAGATTGTAGAAACTTGCACATATTATATACAGTACATGCAATGGTCCATTGGGAGAGGTTTCATCCTATATATTTATGTACATATTTTTCTTTCAGCTTGACTGGGTGTTTGAGACATTCGACAACGCACACTGCCCACTGCTACAGAATAAACCAAAGATGTTTTTCATTCAGGCATGCAGAGGAGGTAAGCTTTTCATTTCTTTGTCCTTTCCTTTAACAACATGAATCAATTCATCAGCTTTTGATAAATGTATTTTGAGTTTCCCACAAGTGATAAATGATTTATTTTCAGAGGACATGGACTGTGGAGTGGAGCAGATAGATGGGCCTATGAGGACTTGCTCACCGAGCTGTGAACAGGTGGATGCTGGGAGGGAGGGCCAGGGCGACGCTAGCCTCATACAGAGAGGAGACATGGGGAAGCCCAGGATCAAGCTCCCCCAGCGGTCAGACATGATCTGCGGCTTTGCTTCTCTCAAAGGTCAGAACATTTGTAAGTTTTAATTTATATTATACATAATTATAAAGTATATCATTCCTTTTTTAGCATTCTACAATACAGACGATTATGTTGTTACGAAGTTGCATGGGCTATACAACATCAATTGACACTTTGTTATTGTGTGTCGATATGGTTAAGGCACTGCTGCGATGCGAAACACCAAGAGGGGATCCTGGTTCATTCAGGACTTGAACACAGTGCTCCGTCTGCAGGCCAAGGACACACACCTCGCAGACATCCTTGTGCAGGTAATGCTATAGAATCATCTAATGTTATTCAGATCTTTAAGGAAAGCTGTCTGAGCAAAACCAATATCTCCAATTTGTGTGTCAAGAGCGGTGAAAAAGATACATTTCAAAGTGATGATTAAAATTGTTGCTGCACTCAAAGAGAGAAATAAAGTAATAGAAAATACACCTTTTGTTCATAAACCAAACCAGCCCACAGAGACCATGAGGACCAACACATACACCTGAGTTTTGCTGCTATTTAGCAGTTCTCTGGCCTTTTTACCGCACTCTACACTTCTCCATAGACTTCACAAAGGCAGCCACTCTGTTTGCTGCTGGTGTGTATGCCATAAGCTACTCTGCTGCAGACAGGTGCTCTTGCTGCACTTGTGGTGTGTAGGAGACATAAGGAGTTAGTTATATTAGACTATAGTCTACTTTTGTTACTTTAGTCTATGGGAGAAAGCCAGTAAAAAAATAAATTAAACATAAAAAAATATCTATTAAAATTGAATCAAAATCGCAATGTTTATCCCAAAAATCACATTCTGCTCGAGTTGACAGTCGGCATTTGTTTTCCTTGTAGTAATCTATAATCCTAATATGTTGTGCATAGGTAAACGGGCGCATCAAACAGCGAGAGGGTCACGCACCGGGCACCGCGTACCACCGCTGCAAAGAGATGTCTGAATTCACCAGCTCCCTCTGCAAAGACCTCTTCTTCTACCCAAAACATGAGACACATAACCACTATGTGCAACTCCCAGACTAGTCCAGGGACGAACAACTCCTCGAATGTTACTATGTTTACATGCATAATTCTCCTGCAAACAATATAAAAGGGTTCAGGGTTGTCTAGTAATTTAGTGATTAAGTTTTGTAGCTCAAAGTAGCGTTGCATCTATTAGACATTATGAAGCTTCAATGCAAATCAAAGCACTTACACAATGGGATCATGATTTTAGAAAATTAGTGAATATTCTTTTCATATTGAAAGAGAATCAACTGTCTTGGTATTTTCCTGGCTGTGCTAACGCCATTTTTGGAGATTTTATGCATGGCTGACGTGCATGTAAAGGTAGTAACTGATTGACCACTGCCACACTCACATTCCTTTTACTACTTCACAATGTTTTTACTTGTGCATGACCACATGGACACTGAGCATAGATTTAACTGGTGTGGATCCAGGTTTAGATTTTTTTTTGTTTACTCAGGTCTACATCAAACTGGTGGTATTTTTAGAATGCCATTTTCCATTAGAAATGTATTTTGTACACAAAATGTATTTTTCTGTCCTTTTTATAAGTGTTATAAGCATTTTTAATTTTGCTTTCATCAAGTTACCATATTTTATAATCGTGACCAATAGGTGGCAGCAAATGCACGTGAAAATTGCTTTTAATCTTCCATGTTTCTAAATCTTCATTAGTATATTTTCATACAGTTTCATAAAAGGTTTTTTTATTGCTATATATTTATTTTTGTACCCACCTGCTCTGCACTTCAGTGGACATTGTATCACAGTCCTCCCACAGAGCAGCTAAGAGCCAGCACTTCTACACTTTTACATCATGTCTATTTCAGTCCCTGCTTTTGTTAAATCAATATTATTATAAATCATCACAATCACTGGATTCCTCTGTATTGGATGTGTTACAGTAAAGCCTTCATGCTAGTTGGCTCCCAGGGGAATAATGGTGCTACTTGCCTTTTGATTATTTTACCAATACTGTTCTAAGTGGAGCTCTTTTGTATTTCTCCCATGGTCTTCCAGCAGAATATTTAAACACGGTTTTGACCTGTTAATGACTTTAAAACTGCTGCTTTGTATGTATTGATTTGGAAAAATACAGTTTATGGCATTCCCATGAAAACATGCAGGAAACAACATGTTTTTTACAGTATTGTATGCATGAAAAAAGTATCAATAAAAGTGTATCATTTGGACTACATCCTTATGACAGGATGTTGAAATAATATGGCTTTCGAAGTTGTTACCAATCCCATCAAATACAACTCTAGAAACTATTTATTATGAGATAAAAAATAAAACTCACAATGACTGCCAAATATTGTACAATAAACAGCCATGGTTATAATGAGCCATTCTGATTATTTATTGAGTTCATTTTTCTAGATATACTGGTTTAGATGACACACACAGACACAGAGACACACACACATAACATCATCATTGTCTTAGTCAAACAACAGTAAAACAATACCCTTACCATAATTAGGTATTTGTTACTAATTATTGCTCACTATGATTGTATTCAAAAATTTACTTCCCAATAGATAACAAGTCACAAAAACATCAAATCATATTATTTATTATTTATTTCAGTTTTTTCCTCTTGTGCTTATTATTTTCACTTTATGAAACAATATCGATTAATAAAAACTGTTAAGAATGAATGTTTTTTTTTTGAGCACCTAGGCCTCAAATGTAGGATGGATCAGGATTTCTCAAAGACCATCAATCAAAATGAAACTTGGGCAAGATAATGTCAAGAGAACGCCTTTATCTCATTTGACACTACAGTATATTGTATGTCTCCTTTAATGTTCCTTGCTAGTATTTGAGTTAATCCTCTATTTTTTTGAAGACTCCCTCCTAATCTCTTCCCAAGTCTACCTGCTCGCCTCAGCACTCTGCCCCTCGGACATATGTATCTGGCACAGCGGGTGCTTGCTGATAATGGTTGCGGTGTATCAGATAGGACGGCTCCAGCAGCTGTCCTCAGTCATTCTCCCGTGACTCACATCGCCTCACACAGACATACACATGCACATGCTGGAGCAACGCAGATTAAGATGTTATGTGCTGGCGTGTGGACCACAAAGCAGGGAGGAGTTAAGGGGCTCTGCGGAGGCCTTTGTGGTTGACATAATAGTGGCCCGTCTCATCAGTGTGTCAAAACTGTCAAATCATTTAAGATATGAGTCTTTGGGTTGCGTGAAAATCAATAATGAAAAGAACATGCGTTATACTTCAATAAATGAATCCCACACATGTGATTGTAATTTAATTGAATCGATATCAAATGAATTAGACATATCCATGACATGACAACGCTTGTTGTCATGGATGTTTTTTCTTTCCTGTACTGTACCTCACGTATGAAATATTTACAATCTTTAATGCCACATGTTTTTACTACCCAAAACTTGTTACATTGGGCCAACTTGCCTCTTCAACAGATAAAACAGATAACAGAAAATAAACACTAATATTCTGGAATTATGTATGACTATGATTTTTATTTTATATTAGTCCATGTTTTCCTTGCTCCTTTTCTCTTTTAAAGCTACTCTATGACAGGCTTTATATAAGAAATATCAAAATATAGGCTACAAGAACCATGCTATACATTGTAAACCATAATAACAATAAACAAAATACATGTATTAGAATACAGAACCGCATAATCTGACTCAAATCTCCCAAAACTGAATGTTAAAACGCCCTACTGTCCAGTTTGCAGATGACACTCAAAAGTCTTGGGAGCAGAGCAGGACCACAGTGGCATGTGAGCGGAGCAGGGATTGCCTTGCATCATTGGGTGATTAGGTGCGAGCTGTCATAGGGGTGTCGTGTGCACCTTCCTTGCTCACGTTGCATGGGGCAGCCCTATGGGGGGTGCCCTCCCAACCCCTCCATCCCAGTGTCCAAACAGAACAGCAGATACACACACACTGATCTAATGGGCGGCTGGCAGGCAGGGTGCTGCTAGGGGCAACAACTCGTGTGTCTGTGTTATTAGGTGTCTGCAGTCCTAATAAAGAAAAGCGTTGGGTCCTTCACTGTCACATCAGATGGCTCTGCTCTGTGCTGTCCGACAGTCTGAGTTTTTGGGCCCCTGAGTCCATAGGTGATGGTCTTCAACTGCTGGATCACCTGGACAAGAGCGTTTATACAAAAGTCATCCTCCACTTGTCTTCTCAATTTTGCTTCCTCAAGAATGGGCTGGAGAGGTTGACCTCTCTGTGTTGTTTATCCGAACTGGTGTTAAGCGTATGCAAGAGGGAGTTGGTGCATATGGTTCACCTCGCACCACTGGAAATGCTGGGGTGTCCGGCGAAGTTATTTTTGGATCAGTGACAGCGTGTCAATGGCTGCAGATGCGTCGCAAAGGAAGGCTCTGAGATACCAACAGACCCTGGTAGGTCTTTCATGATATTGCTTTACCTGTGTGTCTTCGAAAATGTCCTCCATCTGTCACCCACGTGTCCCCTGGAAACACCTGTTTTTGCTTCATCTACGGGACACCTGCAGTTATTAGTTAGTTTGTACGGTGCTAACTTCTCGTTATCCTTATTAGATTCAAATGTTTTATTAAATTGCTCTTCATTAGTTCCACATCTCACTGGCCTTCTTTGCAATCCAGTTCATGTTTGGCGGCCCATATTCATAAAGGTGCGTAATGTAAATTTTTCGGAACAGGGCCTACCACCTGCTTCACTCCACGAAGATGTTATTGCCTGGAATGTTCCACAGTGTAGCTTTAAAATGTCTAAATCTCTTGTCAAATGTGCATTACACTGAGAGACCATTAATGAAAAAAATACTTTCTATCAAATCTATTAAACATTTACAAGAAAGTGAAAAGTTATGTGAAATCGTTTTTGTTTTTGTGTATTATATAAATACTTACAGTATATAGAGGAAACCTGAGCAGACAGGTTGTGATGAAGTCATGTCACCGTATCCCTGGCTTCATCTGTTTAAATGATCAACTGCAGAAGGCTGCCATCTCCAACTGCAGATTAAACACACTCAATAACAAGATGAACAAAATATATATATATAAGATGAATAGGTTTAGAATAGGTAGTTAAGGATAATTTATTATGATTACAGAAGTGCATAAATATCACAAGTTACAGATCTGGGTAAAGGTAGGCATGTGCACAGTAAGAATTTGGATTTCTATGCGATTTTTCAATATTTTTGATCAGTCATATACATTTTAAGATATGTATAAATCCAATTGATTTCCTTTCTCCAGTTGATGGCAGAAGTTAAACCTGTTTCCCCTCATTCATCTCCCCTCACCTGTCCTCACCTGTGAGACCAAACCTGACATGCCATATGCACGCTTTGGAGATATCATTTAAGTGGCGATATGTGATAACACAACACAAGCAAGGGAGCAAGGGTACCTTACAGTGTTCATACATAAATAATCCATGAAAAAGTAAATAAACTTTTACATAAAAAAGTAAAAAATAAACTTTAAAAAAAATCCAACTACAACATGCTGTCTTCATCTTATCAAGCCATAATTAATCCATCAAGTCAATTGCATGGCCACAACTCTTTCATTTCTTTTTGATTTTTCATTCAGTTTTAAAACGACAAATTATGAATGGAAGGACAAAATGGGAATAACACAAAAAGATTGGGGCAAAAAAAAAAAAAACCCACTAAATACATTGTCAATATCAATCAAAGTCAATGAAGAATCTTCCTCCAGTAAAGTTACAAAGGGGACCTCTAACATTTGACATTTTTTGGTACGTTTAGGTCATATATATAGTGCCTTTAACATATTCATACTCATATTCATGCAATCTTACAACCAAAAACATATTTTATCTGATCTTGAGAAAGATCAACACAAAAATGCTAAATGAAACATGACCTTTTGCATTTTTTGTGTGAAAAATTACAAACCCTAAGCCCTTTCCCAGAGAGTCAGAGAAATATATTTTCAAATAGGTTGTTTTATGCGTTGTTTGTTTTTTAACATGTATAGAATTCAC